CTGTGATCTCTGACTGGGCAGCAATTTGATTGAAAAACCCAACGGAGCAGAAACACATCGCAGGCGTAACAGGTTCGCATTCGGATTGGGGCACGGATTGGGGCACGGATTGGGGCATGCATGTGTCGGCAGACGTGCGGTGGCGGTGGCCACCATCCACCACACACCACCCACAAACCCACCATCAACCATCAACCACCCACCCACCACCCACTGATTATGCCTGTGCAGGCAGCGCCAAAAAACTTGAGCTGCAAAGTTGGCCAAAGTTGCTGGCGTTGCGCTGCTCCTCATCCTTTTTGCGACGAATGCCGAATGTCGGAATCGGTGAGCTCAGTGACCCATTGACACGATATCTATGCACATATATAGTGGATTTATGTGTGCTCAGCGCTTACAGTCTCGCCCGGTCGACCGCAAATTAGTTTCGAGTGTCTGGACATTTTGCAGCCAGTGTTTGCGGCCAAGGCAAAAATAGATTTATTGAAATTTATATGTCCAGCACGTATTTGCTTAGCCTTCTGTTCGAGTGTTTGGTTTTTGGATTTAATGGCGGCAATTGCAGCTGCCCGAGGCAAACACGAGCGGGATAATCAAATCGAGTGTGAGTTGTTGGCCAGCATCTCAAGGTTAACCTGCCCGAGAGTCCGAAAGTCCTGACCATGGTCAACAGACCTCCGGCTTCCAAGTTCGCTGCTTTTGCCCCGGTTTTTCCGCTTCCTTCGAATTTTGTTTACGTTTTCAGCTGGACGCGACGGACACATAATTTATTTCTGTATCTGTATGTGTATGTGTGTATGTGAGTGTAAAGGGGGGTGGGGGGAAGGTCCTGCCGCCCCGCATTGCTGCCTGTCAGCGCCCGGGAGATAAGCTGACTGCGAGAAATATGTGCCCGCTCCTAACGAATGTGCGAATAATGAGGAAATGGAAGGCGTAGCGAATGCGGTGCTCCTGCAGGACCTTCCTGCTCCTCCCCTCCACTGCCTCTGTCCCGCTCACCACAGAGGGCATAAATAAAACGCACAATATCGACTTTAATTGGTCACGCCGGTCCATAAGAGAATGCGAATGGGAAAGCAAACGCGAACGCGGCTAAAACTGCGAATTGCTATGGCATGCCCTTCTAGGGATGACAAAGGACAGTAACGATTCAGCCGATCCTTGCAGTTTTATTTTTAATATTTAAATTTTAAGTTTTATCGAAAAACATGGGATCGAAATCTGCAACAAAATGTTTACTACCTGAAGTAGCTAATAATACTACCTTTAATAATTCTTTACAAATAAATTGTTTGACAAGTAATACTGTTCTCTTTAGATACCAACAGATATGATATTACATTTTTGCAGCAATATTTTGTTAGTTAATATAACACCTACAACATTTGTATTATATTTTTAATTTATACTAGTTGCTTGGCAATTTAAATGTACATTTTACCAGTTAACCGAAGCGTTATGCTCATTTGCCTTTTTCTACATTTTATCGATTTCATCTTACTACTTTTTAATAGTCGTATGGTCGCAAGCATGAAGTGGAGCTAATATATAAATGTACAGCCAAGTAACAATTTTTTGCAACGCCACGAGCACATCGCCAATGAAGTGGAGTGTCCCGGCTTCCTTCCTTCGTCCTTCGTCCTTCGCTGGCCGAGAGGAGGTTAATATGGGCAGCTGATTTATGTTCGCAACAGCAGAAACAGAAACGGAATCGTGGGCAGGAGTAGGAGCAGCACCAGCAGGAGGAGCAGGAGCTGGATCGGAGTGGAGTGGAGGACGTCCTACACGCCACGGACGTGGCCATCTTTAGTAGCCGGCGCCAGACGCACGCGGCACATCCTTCATCCTTCTCGCCCCTCCATTTGTCCATCCTCCGTGGAGTCTGGAGTCTGGATTGCGTGGCTCATCGTCATCGTTCGCATTATAAATGATTTTAATAATTTGAAACGATTTGTTTAGTTCTGCATCAAGTCGGATAAACGTCGATGATTAATTAGCCGTGGAGGCGGCGAACTTGGAGCAACTATTGCTACCGAAGGACGGGCATTACATAAGCGCTGGCTACCACTTTTATCGCTTCCGTATTTAAATGCCACGACTCCCCCTTTCCCTCCTCCCTTCTCCCTTTCCCCCTTTTTATCCTTAATCAACTTTTTGCTTTTTTTCCCCTCCGCCGCTGTGTTTGTTGATTCCCAAAAGCGAAAATTAATTGGCGCCCCGATGCAGACTATTCCCGCTCCCGGTTAATTGATAAATGGTTGTTTTTGTTAAGGGGAACCGACTGGAGGGGCCTGTTCCCGACATATGCAAATTCCTCAAAGCTTTTTCCAGCCACTCCGTTGTTTTGTTGTTTGTACAGAGATCGGAAGATAACGCATCATAAATAGGCTTTCTTTGGCAGTGTGGGTTAAGTCTCCCCACTTCCTTGCTCTTCATCGATTGGAGTAATTACATTTTCAAAAATTAATTATTCACACACAATACAGCATTTTGTGTCTGCGATTTGTGCAAAACCAATTTACGCTCATGCATACGTAAATATTTGCATTGAAATGCGAACGCAACCGAATCGCAATTATTGTTATAGGCAGGCGACTTGCAACAACAACAGCAACGGCAACAGCAATTGCGGCAACTGTGGAGCAACCGCACGGCATGCACACATGCATTTGAGGCCCACATCCGTCGGATCCCGAACTGCAGGCCGAATCCCACGACGAAAGCCAAGTCAGTGGCTTCGGAGCGAAATCCTCGACCGCTGACCTCTGGACGACCATTTATCTCGGATGGCACGCTGACAAGTGGGCATTAATTCTAAAAATGTTTGGGCATTAATTAAGGGCCGTTCAGTTAGCTGCAGGTTGAGGTCCCGTGTCCTGTGTCCAGTGTCCCGTGCTCTCTATCCTGTATCCTGTATCCAGGCTCCGGTTTCCGTTTGCCGAGCATTGGGACACGGCCCACCGCACTGGGCAACCGGGCCAAAAGCACTCCCGGGCCAAAAGCAATTTGTTAACACTTGCATTATTGACACATTTAATCCATAATTGTCAGCATTATTTGCTTGGATTAATTTAAAGCCATAAATTGAAATGTAAAGGGTCGTAAAACCGCCTTCCTGCGCTTCTGTCAGTGGTAATAATAAATATTTTTAAATGTAATTTCAATATATTCTTTTGGAAAAAAAACGGGAAATAATAATTGCCGCCTCGCAATTTGCTTTTTAGGCTTGTATTTAATCATGACAGCAAAGTCAAATACTTAATGTTTAATAATCCATAATTTGCATATTTTACTGATGGATGGGCAGAGCAAAAACTACCCGCCAAGAGTTAATTTGGTATTTATTTCTTTTCAATGTTTCTCCGCTTTCACTCGCAAGCGGGAAAATCAATTATTGCAAGTTTTGCTGCATGTTGAGTGGGAAATAAATTAGTCGAGCAATTTGTTAGAAATATGCAGCCAATTAAAACGAGATATTTTTGCGCCTCATTAAGCGACAGTTTCTGCTTGCCTCAAAACCATTTAATTAATTGGAAATTTCGAGAGCTTTAATTAAGTGCCGTGAGTTAGAAAAACCTGCTAATTGAAATCCACTTGGCAGCCATCGATTTGATGCATTCTCTTTGCCAGATACTTGTGCCGAAAAGCGTTTAATTAATCAATTTACAGACTAGGACTTGGACTTTCCCAGTTTTTCCCAGTTTTCCTGACTCAATTCCCTTTCTGCTGGCGATTGCAATGTGTAATTTAGTGAAGTGTGATCCCCTTATCGCATTTCTTGCCCCATTTGATGCCCCACTTTGCACAGTCAACCTGAGTACGCATCGCAATTACTTAGGAAAATTAAAAACCCTACAATTTACCCCATTTAACGGACGTGCATGCGAGAGTGGTCGGGAAATTAATTAAGGCGAGGCTGCACCCATTGGATGACAGATGATGATTGTCTTACCGGGGACAATAAACATCCGCTCGCATTGTGTCCACTTTGTGTCAGCATATACAAGTGTATGCATATATGTATACCCGAGCGACAGGTGGAACAGGTGCTGATTAAATGGCTGCCACGGGGATTAATAATCCCGCCCGATCCGCCCGATATTATCCGCTGAGCAAAGGACGAGGCGAAGCGAAGCTTTTCAAATAAATCTTGTTTACTCCAAGAAAATATTCTCAAGCAATTTTTTCATTACCGACTCCTGCTTATTTTTTGCATAGTTTCGGGTGGGGGCACGCCAGCGGATTTCCATATAAAAACAAACGCCCTCGGCGAGGATATAAATTTATTGCTGAACTTTAAAATACCACGCCGCAGCCGTTTGCCCCTTAACACTTTGCCGCCGGCGAAAAGTTAACTGGGAGCCTGTATTTTTCGCAATTATCCTTGAAAACGCAGCAGCATCGAGACGAGGCAACTCGGGCTGAGGGACTGCAGCCTGCATCCCGAAAGTTGCAGGAGCGTGCCGGCGGAAATGTGTTTTTGCTGGGTGTTGAGTGACTGCGAATAATTTATTAGCTGCGTGAAAAATAATTTATGTTGAGTTATCCCCTCTGCTTTATAGCTTTTTTTCTGTTGCACACAGCGTGCAGTCGGTGGGCGTGACCGGTGGGCGGTGGTTGGGCTTTAGGTTTGGATGGGCAATCGGTCAACAGATGCAGTTCTTCTAAATGAAACAATCTGCCCTACAGTTTGGGTAGCACTGCTTGCAGTTGCGGAGTCACTGGTTTCTGGTGGCTAACTCGACTAGAGTTAGTTTTAGACGCACTGAAAAAACCACTCGTTGGGTATAGTTTATGTAAAAATTTGTGTAGAGTACAGTGGGTGTCAAAAGTGTAAGGATATAAATCCACAAAGCTTATTTATTGTTTTAAGTCCCTACGGTTTTGGTGTATTTTCAGCGATCGAAATGCTATTAAGCGAAAACCATTTGATGTTTTAAAAAACAAGTTTATTTGTTTTTAAGCCTCCCAACATTTCAATGAAAATCTTCATCTAAATCTAAGTTAAAGTCTGATATTTTATTAATTTATAATTATTACTGGAGTACGAATACATTTCACATTTAAAATATGACGAGAATTGCAACAAAGGTTAAAGAATCCTACGCACTAAGCGAGGACATCGCATCTCAGCGGGATGCCAATCCTCCTCCATCGATTGAATTGATTAGAATTACGTTTCGAGTTTCGCATTAATGATTACAACTAGCAACTAGGTGTGGTTGGGTTCGCAACCTCCACGTTGGAGCACCGGGTGGAGGCGTCGTCCTGTCTCGTCCTCTCACTTCGTCCTGGCGCTGCGTAAATTCGATGCGGAGAGCACCGACCGCGGAGGAGGCGGGCGCTCCAGGTTGTCCATGTGGTAGCGTCTCGTCGACGTGGAACTCTCGTTCTTGCGACCTGGTCGACCCAATGTGCTGGCACTGGTGGCTCCATTGTGCGGAGGCGGCTTTCGCGGCAGGGTGGACATCTATTCGATATCAAAAATATACAAAGACCATTAGAAAATATCCTGAGCCTTAAATAATTTTAATAATTATTTTCTAAATTATCTTTAATTTGTAACTTGAAGTTAATTTAACTTTTTAATTTGCTTTTATTTCTGAGCTGTCAGGTAGCTCAACACCTAGAGGAAGTAATTACACCATCTCAGAAAAACAAAAGCAAAGTCGCAGCTTTTATCGTTATGGCTAAAACCAATTAAATATTCAAACAAATTTGTTCAGACTTAGTTTTTTTGAATCGCCTTTGTTCAGTGTTTCTCCACCAAAACCAGTTGCAAACCTAGGGTCTTATCGAGCAGAAAAATAAAATTATCATTTAATGAATAAGCTAGCTTGATTTTCGCTTTCACAGATCTGTGATGGCTTTGGATTTTAATTTCATAAATAGTTCTGACGTTGGTGAAAAAACCCATTAATTATAAGTTTATTTTAATAAAGAACTATGAAATGCAGACACTTTTAAACTAAAGTATGAACGCTAGACAGCTGGAAACAAAAGGCAAATGAACTTAAAATGTGTTTTTAAATGTTCCTAAAACGAATAGTTCATTTAAAGTGATTTTGTAACATACCCGCTTGTTCTGCTCCTGGGAGTAGTTGATCTCGTAGCCCTCGCTGATGTGCTTGGGCTTCCAGGGGGCCAACATGGAGACGGACCTCGAGACGGTGCGGGTCATGGGCTGCAGAGGCGGCGGCTGCTGGGGCGCCTGCTGCTTGCCCTTGCGAAGGTCATCGCGCGACATCGACCGCCGGCGCAGATTGTATGGCTGTGGGATGTCGCCCACCGTGGTGGCATGTAGATAGACCACGCTGCGCTGGCTGTGCAGACTGGACTCGCCCTCGGTGCCGGAACTCTCCGCCGGATAGCGATCCCTGCAAGGAGATATGGTTATAATTTAGTTATTTAAAAATTAATACAAGTTTGCTAATTAAAGCATTTCAAACAGACTACGCCTTGGACAAAGCACTTATGTATATACTAATTACTCAGTATTCAATACCTCTCCAGTTAATATTTAACACATTACTATTATCATTACCTTTTTCAAATTATATCTAGAACACTTTATCTCGCAATCGAGATATTTGCTAGCTAAATATCAATATAATTATCTACTCCCTATACATTAAACAAATTGCATATAGTATTTCATACACAGCCTGTGACTAATAAAGAGCAATAATATTGACTAAATTTATGAAAATGCAATTTAAATACATTAATAAATATGTTAACAACAGTAGAGTCATTCTTTTTGGCCTTTTGCCTTTGGAAATATTTACAACAAAAAAACCCGATTGAATAAATGTAAAATAGACAAGGCCTCAGACCACCCATTTTGATAGAACGTAGTTTAAGTTGGTTTTAATGAATGAATTATTCAAAGACGCACCTGCCGTAGCCCACATTCTCCTGGCCCAAGCTGTTCAGCAATCCACGGCGTTCGGCACTTCTAGCCGGCTTTGGTGGTCCCATCAGCGGACGATCCTCCATCCGCTGGCCACGTGGTGCGTCCAAAGTCCTCTCCAGCGACATGGCTCGCTGACCCGCCGTGGTGCTCCGCTTGTGGCGCTCCGCCGGCTCCGGTTCCGAGCCGCTCTCCGAGATGTCGTGCAGTTCCCGCGAGCGGGAGTAGTGGCGCCTCTTCCGGAAGTCCACCTCGTCGCTTCCGTTGTCCAGGTGCTGCATGGAGCTGGCCCGCTGCCGACTGCTGGAGCTCTGGTTCTGGACTTGAGCCTGGCCAGCCAGCGTGTGCCGGTAGTCACGAGCTGGAGGCGGAGGACTCCGGTCCAAATGGTAGGCACTTTGGGAGTGCTTCGATTGACCCAGCGATGGACGACTCCTGAAGAACATATTTATCTATTAGTAAAACTTATCCTTACTATGCTTATCCTAAGTATTTCTTACCTGGGCATACTAGTGGCCTTGGAAATGGTCGGCGGATTAGAGTCCAGATCTGTGTCGCCAAAGAATCGCAAATTCTTGGCCGGAGCAGCAGTCGCATTGCGTTTGGTGCGCTTCAGGCTCGAAGTGGTCTCACTGTGTCCATTGACGGATACATTGAGCTGGTGATAAGAGTATATAAATTAAAGGGAGTTATATTAAGAATTTTCGTTTAGATTTCCTACCTCCTTGGGACTGCTCTTGGCCCGCCGGTCCAGCGATCTGAACCAGCTCGTCTTCTCGACCTTCGCGAGCGGCGACTCCTTCGCCTTTGGCGTCTTTTTGGGCGGCTTATCCGCTGGACTTCTCTTCAACAGCAGGGGACTAGCTTTGGGCGTGGACAGCCGGCGTCGCATCGAGATATCGATAGTCTATCAATAAAGAAGCAAATATAAAGAAATTAGAGCTAAATTTTTAGTAACTGTCAAAATATTTATAGTGAATTAGTCGAACGATTTAATGATGTAGCTTTCTTCAACATCATCTGTGATATATTGTCTAAGCTATACATATATGATCAATACTCCCTTAAATTGAAGATTACAATAATTTTTGAAATTAATCTTTTGCTTTCAGGAATAGTGAAGAAGTTATAACTTATGACACGTAACTATAATTTACATTATTACACACTTGAATTCTAATTTTACTCCTAATTTTATAACTATGGTAAATGGTTCAGTTTTAACCTGCAAAACACATTGCTTGTTTAATACATTGTTGGGCACATTGCAAACTACACACATTAGTCTTGTACGAGTACCTCCTATACCTACAATTCCACTTTGATTGATATTATTGCTCGTGCAGCCCAAATTTGATTTGGTGGGCGGCTTGCTTTCGCTTTCGGGTCAAAGGTCGCCGTCTCCCGCCGCCTCGCAACAGGTTGCGAATGTGGGGCAGGTGGCCTTTATGCGCGTAGTCGAGTGGGGGGAGTGGGGCGCCGGCCAATAAACTTGTTTTGCCATTTGTGAATGCGACTGTGAGTCGGCTCGTTTTGGCCGGCCCAATGCAACTTTGGCCCACTTGCGGTTGAAACTGTAATAGGTATTGGGCTTTGGGTTTTGAGCATCGAATGAGGGGACAGAGGGTGGTGTTTGGTGATTGGCAAAGGCCGCCCTACTAACTGGCTGAATATTAGATTTCAATACGAATAGAGGCTGCAGGTGCCCAACCCCCGAATGGAGTTCTGATTTGTGGCCCCAGACCATAAAGCCTGGGATTACGCACCCACTAAGTAATTATGCATTCAAATATGCCCAGAACAGAGCGGACAGAGCGACTGCGACTCCGAATATAGTTTATGGCCAAGTTGGGGGCCCATAAATAAACTAACAGAATTATTGACACAAATTTCTGCGGTTTCTCTTTCGCGTGTGTGTTTTTTCGGGCATGTAGAATCTTTGGATTGGAATGAATGGCAAGCACTTAAAGATTTCTGCGAACACTTCGGGCGGCTCGCTTTTTTATTGGAGGCCTCCGTGAATAATGGCAGCACATTGTCCCGGGAAGAGGCCGGCGAAGAGCCGGCTTTAAAAATACCTCTATCACGCAAGCATAATTTTTGACAACGGTCCGAGAAGCCACACCTTGGACCAAAACTCCTGCAGGATGGGCCTACCCCATTCCCTTTTCCCCCCTCGAATCGTTCACTAAAAGCCGACTGATTGTAAGCTTTTTGGGCCGCCCACTTGGAACATCCGGCAGAACGAAAAGTGGCAACATCCTCTAGCCCTCTTAGACTTGGCCAAGAAATCCGCTGAAGCATTGCAAATTGGCTTGCAGCACGCAGCAGCAGCAGCAGCACGCAGCAGCAGCAGCAGCAGCAATTGTTGCAGTTGCTGTTGCATATTGCAGATTGCGCAATGTGGACAGCAACACCTCGGCAACAGTAGCTCCAACCGTTTTGCATCGGAATCTGGGCACAAAACCGAATCGGAATCCGAATCCGAGTCCAAATCTAAGCCCAGTTTATTCAATTTCCCCCGCCTTGATGTTTGTCGTTTAGCTGTCAGCTTTCTTAATTTGCGAGCGCACTGACAAACGGACTGACAGAGTGACAAACTGACTGGCTGCCTGAATGACACAATGACAGCAGCTGCGTGGGTCTTCCACTTCTATATCTTACGTTTAAATATATATATATACCCTTGCTTCTCTCGACGCTTTTGTTCTTGCTCGAAATTTATACGACGCCTCGTCGCTGAATTGCTTAGCTTTTTTCGTGTTAGCGCTTTTCGTTCCGTTTGCAACTCTATTTGGCCAGTTGTCGTTTACTACTTAAGCGTAGTCGCGGCCAGTTCTTTATGGTCTTGGCAGCTTGATCTCCGCCAGAATTCCCCGAGAAGAGATGTGCCCCAAAGTGGACGTGACGTCTTGTCTTCTCTTGCTGGCACCATTTTCGGCCGGACTGCGACGCCCACCCGGCTGCCAAAAGATTTCTGGCCGGAGCAGGAAGTGGATCGCCTCGACTCGGATTGGATCGGTTTGGCTTGGAGTAGAACAATTGGGCAAACACCGGTGGGTACCTCTACCTACTCCTACTGCTACTCCCCCGAAAGGTGTAAGACCCATCGACGCAAGTCTTGATTAATTCGAAATTAATAATAGCCGACCATGACCAAATGAGCCGCCGAGGGTCTGGGGCCCAAAAGACTCAGTGATCTTGGCCAGGCAACCGGGTTAATGACCGCCGGCTGGCGCCATCAATTGGGCATTAGGCCAAAGGGGCTCCCAGTTGCACAACAAAAATCATGTGTGTTTTTTGCCTATCATTCTGTTGCCAACCAAATACTTTTAATCCAATTTAATTTTACATGTTTAAATATTCATCTATTGGAAAATATTTCATGCAACATAAATTCAAATCACGGTCACTTCTTTAAAAAGATTTATGGAAGCTAATGACCAGAACTCAAGAATCTTAAACTGTTGTCGTTCATCCAAACGCTTGTTACTACTGACACAGTAAATTTTGTTATTTATCTTATCGCCTTTTCAACAACATATTGAAGTATCAAAAATGTCTAAAGATTAAAGATCTAGGAAAATAAATGGTGGTGATCTGAAATACACCTTTTTCTGTTATGAAAATGTTCTTGTTTCGACCTTCGTGTTTTGTTGTAATGTCAAAAGATAATTCATTCTTCTCGTCAAGAAACCCCAAAACTTAAGCTAGTATATCAATTTAATGTCAATGCAATTTAGTGGGTTGCTATTAAATTTGATATAAAGACTTTGATACCGTAAGTTTATTTAAAAGACCACCGGGAACTCATTTTGTAACAAACATATAAAATTAAATATTTATCTGGGGATCACAGATCGGGTGGTTGTTTTGAACCACAAGCGAAATATAAGTTTTCAAAAATGTATTTAGTTTTTAATGTATTTGGCAGCATTCTGGAGTTGAATTTATGCATATTTTGTTTGTTAATATACCCTTTAACTGGTAATTAATTATTTAGTTTAAGTTTGGTGGTTTTCGACTTTCAATGATTTCTATCATATTATTTATTTTTGGGAATCACTCACCTTTGGTTCGCGTGAGGTCTCCTGGGCTGAGGTGTGGTGCTCGCGGTACCTTGACCGCATCTCCTCCTCTCTGACCATGTATCGCTCCCGCTCCCTCTCCCTCTCCCTCTCCTTCTCCCGCTCCTTATCCTTATCCTTATCCTTGTCGCGGCGACTCAATGTGCTGCTGTTCCCGTTGCTCATCCGCTCCTTCTTGCCACTGGAAACGTTGCTGCCACTGCTGCGACCACTGCCCCCGTTGCTGCCACTTCCGGCGGTGCCTCCGGTGAACAGCTGCTTCACCTTCTCGAAGCCCCCCAGCTTCTTGTTCCGCTTCAGAGTGCTGGAGTCCTCGTTCTTCTGGGTCTGCGATTGGGAGTGCGACTGCGAGTGCTGCTCCCGGCGACGCAACGTGCTGGTGGCCACCGGGTACTTGTCCAGATGCGGATCGAAGTGGGACCCATCATCGATGGATCGTTCCCTGTAAACGTAGCTGTGCTCCCTGCGCAGGCGCGACGGAACCGCCTGTCGCTGCAACTGTTTCTGCTGGGCGCTGTCCCTTCGCTCCTTGCGCAGGAACGACTCGCAGGCCCTCATGTCGTCGAGGACCGTGCGTTTGCGCCATCTAGATAGTAGGAAAAAAACAATAATTTAAATAAATTTCAAATATACTATTTCAAATTCATAAGTCGAAGTAGAGTATTGCAGTATAATCCTGTCATATATATAATTATATATAATAATATATAAATAATTATATATAATCCTCTCAACAAACTTCCTGTTTAAGTGCAAATCTATTACAACTTAGATACGAATTTTCAGAATATTAAAAATGCTAACAATCTAGACAGAACAAAATTAAAAAAAAATTTGGAAAAGCAATCAAGCTTGCTTAAAATATTAAGAAATACCAAAATATCTAAACAAACTTTATTCAGTTGTAGAGGTGATTTTAAAGATATATGTCGAACTTGACCCAATAACTTTACATTAAACTTATTATGAATATTTAAACAAATCTGCAGTGCCTCCGTCAGAATAATTGTTCATTAATTCCCCCTTACCTTGTGGTCAAGTCTCCGTTGAAGGACTCCTTGCGGAAGTCGTTCTCTATTCCGGAGTCGCCCTTGTCGAAGCTTCGCTGCTGCAATTTGTCCCGCTTGAGGCTGCTCTGCCAGTAGTCCTCCCTCTGCTCCCTTTGATGCGACTGCTGGGCGCGCAGCTCTGGCGAGGATCGGTACTGATCCGTCAGCTGGGAGTCCAGGCTCTTGGGCTCCTGCTCCAAGCGATCTGCTGAATTGAAGTCCCTCTCCCGCTCTCCGATGCGTTCGCGATGCCGCGACTCCCGCACCTGACCATCCCGCTGGGTCTCTCTCACGTAGGTCTCCTTGACTCCACCGTGTCCGTCGTCGAAGTACTTGGTGTGCCGGTAGCGGGAGGTCTTCTCCATTCTGGGCAGCGTGGAGCCACTGTCCACCTGGTTCCGCTCCACCGGATACTCGTTGGAGAGCTCCTGGCGCACGGGGCGATGGAAGCGCTCTGGTTCCCTTTCGGGAGTGGGTCTGCCCACCTCCCGGTTGCGCTCCAGGGCGGCTCCCCGCTCCAGGGTAACTCCGCGTTCCAGGGTGGCTCCTTCTCCGAATCGCCGCGTGAGGATGCGCGTCTCCAGTTGAGCTCGCCTGTATCCCAATTCATCCAGGTATGGGGATGGACTCACGCTCCTGATCACCGGCACAATGGGAGGTTCCGCTCGGCGGGAGAACTCCTCCTCGTAGTAAACCTTCCTGGGCTCGTAGCCCAAGCCCTCGTCCTCGTCGCTCAGATTGCGAGGACTCAACTGCTGCCAGGGCGAAGGCGAGTGACTGGGTCTGTTGCCCAGGGGCACTCCATTGGAAGTGGGCGAGTAGCTCGGTCTCACGTCACTGGCTCTTGGAGGTCTGGCCGGAGCAAACTCCCGTTGGGGGGTGCGCACATCCCTGTCCAGAGGAGAGCGACGGATTGGGTCCTCGCCCAGGTCCAGCTGGGCATAGGTGATGCCCTCGTTGGGCCTGATGTACGAGAAGGCCGGCTGGCTGATCGCCGGCTGCGGGGAGAAGCGCTCCATGGAGAGCCTCTTGACCAGCCCGTCGACGGTTCGTCCCTTGGTGAGCGGAAGTCGCTCCGCCGGCTGCTGGGAGCTGTGCATATTCTCGCCGGACTTGGCCTGCAGCGTTTCGATCCTGTCGCGGATGCCCGCCGAGATGGGTTTGCCGCCCGCGGAGAGGAGCGGCCCGTCTAGCTCCGCCTGGGAGCGACTGCGAGCGAGCAGTTCACTCAGGCCGCGAACGCTCTCATCCTTTTCGCGCAGTGTAACGGCGTCTGACTTGCGGCGCTCTCGCTCCCGGAAGTAGTCCTTCTCGAAGAAGTCCTCCCCGCTGCGCCTGCTCGATGATGGGACTCAGCTGCTGCTTGGACTGCTGTTGGCTGGCTGGCTCCGCTTTCCTGGCTAGCTTGCTGCTGCCCACATCACTCTTGCTGCGCACTAAACGCCTCGCGCCGCCGTCCTCGAATCGCGGATCCCTGTCCAGCTGGCTGACATTCGAGTCGCTCTTCCGGCTGAAGAGTCCGAAGATCGAGGGTCGTTTGCTTGCTGGCTTCTTGGTGGCGGCGTCACTGGCACTCCTTGCCACAGGTTTGCCCTTCTTGCGTCGCGTGGGCAGTGAGTTGAAGTCACCGGGATGACTCGGTCGCTTTTGCTTCTGGCGGAAATTGGGAATGTGATCGCCGTTCTCGGCCTTGCTGTGATGCCTTCCCGCCTGGGCGATCACCAGGGCAGCCTCCTTGCGGATGTCCTCGGGATCGATGTCCTTGGGCAGCTGGTGGTAGCTCGGCTGGCCACCCGAATCGTACTCGCTGGGATGCTTGCCTGGAAGACCAGAAGAGAAAGGGGAAGAGAGGAGTGAGCGGGGATTTACATACAATTGCAGAGGCTGTTCCGCGAACTAGTTGGCATTCATGTAAAGACAAATTAGCACATTAGCCCGGCCGATGATGTAATATCTGGCAGCCAGCTGTGGCCAATTCACACTTGCCAGCAGCTGCTGGTCGCTAAATAAGGCAGCTCGTCTTGTCCCGTCCAGACCAATTCGGCTCGAGAGTTGCGAGACTGGACGTCTGACAATGGATCTGGCCCACGTCTGTCGAGATGCCAAAGTTGCCGAGTTGCCGAGTTGCCAAGTTGCCGCGCTTGCCGAGATACTTTGTTGGGGCAAAAGATAGACACTCGCATCTAGCAGCTAGCATCTCGCATCTCGCTTCTCGCATCTCGTGGAACGCCTGCTCTGTAATCGGACGCTGTAAGCGCTAATGGCCATTGAAGAGGCCGAAGCGCTGCGGTCCCAGTTGATCTATCTCTCATAAAGATTCCTCCACTTCCTCACTTTTTTCATAATCATTATTATTTAATACGCCGAAAACAACAGCAAAGGGGCCACGAGAACAAAACAGAAACGGCAAGGAAAACGTGCCGAAACGAGCATCATCATCGTGGCCAGAACGAGATGTGCTAGCCGAGATGCCGAGATGCCGAGATGCGTGATCTCTCCAGTCGGCCAGTCAACCAGTCAGCCCCTTTTTCCGGCCAACTCTAGTCAACTTGCACGGCAAGAAACGGGGGAACGAATTAATCAAATTCCAAATTTCCCAACAATATATTCTTATGAAAAAATGTTTAAGTTGGAAAGCCCTTCCTCATTCTATAAATAGCAATGTCATTACTTTAATATTTTTTATTTAATCAATATAAAATATATTAGGGTTACTTCAATTAAATAATTCATTTAAATATATAAAGGTATTATTTACAAAAAATTTGTAATTTATATTATAAGTTCTTCATTAATAAAAACACTTCACAATCATTGTACATTTGTACAATACATAAATTTGTTTCAATAATGAAAGCCTTTCTTTTTTTTTCTGTGTAGCTCGCACATCTCAGAACTAAGTGCTCAATGTCGAGATTTCAGATCATCGGAGGCATCACTTCACTGCTGAGCTGACCTTGCCCCGAGATCAACTGGACTTCTGTTGCCCCACCTGGCACTTCCCCAGCTCCCTTTCCCCTTCTCCTTCCCCTCTGCTGATGGAGATTTGTCCATTCACCTGCACAACCTGTCACATTTGTGGAACCACGAACCCGCGGACCGAGCACCGAGAACCGAGAACCGCTCCCACATTCGCTCGATTCGAGCTGCAGAACGGCAAAGTGACACCGATGTCTAATCGAAACTCAAACAACAATGAATAATGACAGAGTTGGGCGTGTCGTGTGCCAAATTGGCTTAGCCAAATGGGATTGGAAATGGGATTGAAAATTGGATTGGGACTGACTGAAAAGGGAGCATTCTTTGGATCTCTGCGGGACTGTATTTAGCCGACTCCGTCTCCGTGTTTTCCATCTGCGGCTGCAATCAGCTGTCATGCGATATGTGTCAAGGTGAAAAGTTGGCTCGCTGCACCATCATGATGGCTCACTAGTCTTGGCCAACTTACAAGGTTTCGCTCGCAGGCCGGCGGCGCTTTGTATCTTTCTCGTTTGCCTCTTTTTGTTGTTTTTTTTTTTTTTTGTATTTTGAGGCAACAGGAAAACATAAATTCGCACTAAGCGACAGCATCAATGTCGGCTAACCGTAAACATTTCAAAGTTCCCAAGACCCTAAGACAATGATCCCGGGGGCGAGTGCAGCATTTGATTGATTACCAGTCGCTGAGAGCCATTCATTAATCTAATCATTGATCCACTTAGTGGAGCCACGCCACTTCCAGCGGCCCAGTGATTTGCAAGAGCATCCGTGAAATGCGATCTGATTTAAGGCCATAAGGAGCTGCGGGTTTTAATAACCTTTTTCTGCTTTCGGAAAAGCCGGCCAGCAAGCATCTGATCCACTTTTCCAACTGGTCGCTGCCTCTGGGCGCCTCTGCCAGTTGCAAGTTTCGGTTTTGGTTATGGTTTTGGTTTTGGTTTCGGTTTCGGTTCCGGTTTTGTTTTTTTTTTGGGGAGCTGCACATAATTTGGCTGTCGTGATGGCTTGGCGACTTCGCCTCAAACACACTGACCAACTTCGTGGCCACGCACCACATAAATAAGCCGCAGTTTCGATCATATAAATAATGAAATCTCTCGACTTTTTGTGGCAAGACTTTCACTTGCCACAAACGCTCGCAGGAGCAGGTCGATGGTTTTACTTTAGTGTGTAATGACACTCCGCGTAATTGTCTGCCGACGATGATGATGATGCTCCGAACAGTTCGACCTCCAGTTGGCTGTTCATTAGCCATCCAACCACAACCACAAAGTCGGAGAGCCACCTCCGTCCGACTTCATCCCATTCCCCTTCGATAGCAAAACGTTTTAGTTGGCAAAAATGCTTTATCCCCCGCTGGCCATGTCAGTGACAAGATAAGGTCGAGCCGAGCTGGCTAAATGGGAGCTCACCCGCATTCCTGCCTCCTCTCGCTACTGGTCTAGGTCGGCACTCGGAGAAATAATGGGTTCTCTAGAGATGAAGCAATTGTGAGGGAGTGACGTAGTTCAGCAAGTTGGAAACTATTGACGGATGCTGTCAGCTTTTCTTGCGTCGTATTTGTTTCGAAAACAAAAAAGTATAGTACGCCTGTCGTAAAAAAACTATTACGTTTTTGGAAATAATGTTTTACTCTGTTTTTAAACGAAGCAATTATGTCTTACGATCAGCTCTTTGAAATATATATTAAGTTGATTATAAAATATGTTGTAGACTAAACAGTCACAGAGATACTATAATCAATTAGTTTAACATGTCTTAAGAACAATATGCTGATATTGGCTTTAAAAGAAAACAGCAGTAACGTTGATTAACCTTTAAATATTAAATATTAAATAAATTAGGTTTGCAAGCTTATCTTAATTTACCTTGTGCAAGAGAAATAGATTTATAGCTACAAGATTTCTTCAATCAATGATTGCATATCGAGTTCATTTCAATAAGGCACTTGAGAAGATTGCAGTATTTTTTTCAGTGCTTGCCTAGGACTGGCATGCTAAGGATCTGCGTAGGTTGTTGCCATGGGGTATTTCAATTAACCGGGCGCACTTTCGATTTCATTTAAGGGCCCGGATCGGCGACGCTGACGTTCGGTTTTATCTGTGCCGGGGGACAGGTCGCATTTATTTTGCGTATGAAAATAATTTAATGCGCCTCGGCTAATCGTGGCTGTGGAGTCGGGACTCCGAACTGAGGACCCAGGACCTAATCACATCAAAAGCGGCGCCGCGTCCTTGGGGCAGCCGAGGTATGCAAATCAGCGTGTTGCACTGCAACTGCGTCCGTGGCCAATTAAAATTGCTCGCTGGCCATTCCCATTCCCATTCCCATTCCCATAAGCAATCCCAATCCAGCGTGGCTTTCAAAACAAATACGAATGGGAACTTTCGCTAAAGAATGGAGCCGATTCAAAAGACTGAGGCGACAAACTTGTTTCTCCCCCTAAGCGGCTGTCAACAGCAACAGAAACAGCAACAGCTACAGCGAAAACCAAAGCCAAAGCTCCGGCGAGAGCGGATAAACAAATAACAAATCACCGAAAATAAAAAGTAAAGAAACACCGAACCGAACTGAACTGAACCATTCGTCGAAAAAGAGTTAAACAGCTCTAAAAATAATCCGCGACTCATTTCAATACACATTTCGATAAACAGATGACGCAATCGTCTGCAATTCGAGGCGAATTTCTAGTGCGACAATTGAAGTTGAGCACACGGGGATTTGTGGGCGATTTGCGAGTGGATGGATGGACGATCGACAACTCCATTTAGCCGAATTTACCCAAGTTCTTGATTGCGAACTCCCCGAGGGAGGTTTTCGTGTCACAAAGCACAAACACTTCTGGCTCAAAACGTTAATGACAGGCGGGCCAAGAACCTGACTGAGTCCAATATCAAAAGCGACTGAAAGCAATCTCCGGCGAGCGGCCAACCAGTCGACAACTGCGACTGCCTACGCCAATGTCACTCGGCAAAAATAGTAATAGCTGAAAAAAACAGAAAACAAAAAACAAACAACAAACAAACAAGCCAAGAAGCGAGAAAATAGTGCGAAATTTGTGGGCAGGCAAGCCAAAAATGAGGCTTATTAATTAAGTTTCTTCGCGGCGCAAATAAAACAAAACATATGCAAATGATGGATTAATAAAAAGCATAAATGGCATTTTAATGGCAGTCTTCCCAGCCCAAAACCCAAAATACCCAAGATGGCACGAGAGCAAGCGGAAAAACCAGTTGGGCTTTGACAAACTCCGCACTCGAAAGCGAATCAAATGTGGAGCTGCTGCGAATTATGGAGAGCGGAGTAGGAAACGTAGCAAATCCCATAATAATGACTTGCTCTTTGCCCAATTAAATTAATTAATTAAAGGTGTACGCGGCTCATTAGAGAGCGCTCTAGAGGGCACAATGGGGAAAGGTCTTGTCGACTGGAGCGGGGGCATCATTACACATTACGCAATCGGGAGGAGCCTACGCTTTCGAGTGCCTAAAGGCGGACTTGTTCTCGTAACGCCTTTTTAATCAGCCATCCGAAATTATGTCATCACCCAGTTGTACGCATATAGGAAATCGTACAAAAGACTAGAAGGACGCCGACTTGGCCTGATTGCCAGATTTCGAACAAAGGAGCCTCATTTTGGCGTTGCTCCCTTGCCTTTCGTCACCTGTCCGCCTTCGAAAAGCTGGCTAAGTGCATCCACCAGGCCCAAGGCAGAACAGCTGCCAACCCGACTCGTCTTGGCCAAATTTGTCGCTCCGCAAGGTTGATCACGCTCGCATTCGCAGCGGATGGCGCAGTCGCGCTAGCGAGGCCCACCTGTAAAACAGTCGAGTGCCTCAAATTGGTTGAAATTAGTCGTCTTTTAGTTGACTTTTTACAGTCAACAACTTTGACTTTGACTGCACTGTAATTTGCCATAAAGCTCACATGTTAACTCGCCGATGAAAAATGTTGCCTTGTGCCCAGCGGGCGAATAATTTTCCTCAAGCCTCCAGATTGCCGACTTCTTCGCTTTATCTCGCTACTTTGTTGCGTCAAAATTAAATCATCATTAAATCTGTGTTTTACACATAATTGCTTTAATTTGCATGCAAGATAGCGAAGAGCGAGGGAAAAAGAATGAAAATGAAATTAATTTTCGACTTGGGGTTAAATTACTTTAAGCGTTTGTGACTGCCGAGATAATTTGGTACTTAAGAGGTTACTTTGCTAATTGTGCACATAAAGTTCTTTAAGAAGTTTCTGTCTTAGGTTAAGAAGATGACAACTAAAACTAAAGGAAATATGATTTTTAAAGTAAACAAATTGACAACATTTGATTTAATGTCTGGTAATTAAGAGTAGATTATTCTAAAGGAAGTATAAATCTTATTTTTTTTAAAAAGCTGTACTTCTTTGTTTTTTTTTGATCTTCAAAAGACATTGCTCTACTCTTTTTGAAATTATAATGTCAAGAACTGGTCTTTAATTGAGTTGTACAAACTTAATCAGGTCTTATTACCCCTGGCATTAATCGCAATCCTCTCGACTTATGTTTTTGGCGACCTCGTAGCCGTACAGAAATCACAAAGCTAATGAATCGTGCCTGGCCGGCAGATTACCTAATCACGTTACATTTTGGCGACCTCGTCTGGTTGCATTTGCCTAAACCAATTCAGAAATCGCAATTAAGTTCGCTTATGTCCATTAAACGAGTTAACCGAAATGGCAGCCATTTGATGCAATTACGCGACGGGGGAAATCTGGTTCATAACCATTTTGGATCCACGCATTTCCATTGGCAGCTGGCGAAAAGGACTTGTGGCTGTGGTTAATTAGCGATGACCATAAGGAAACGTCGACTGTCGACAGTCGACTGGTTGGCTGGCAGTTCTAAATTGGGGGGACCGTCTAAGAAATTAACATTTGCGCCGGTTTTGTCATAATCAATTTTTAATTTCTTCATTCCCGACAGCGGCCATAAATTCAATCCGGCAATGAAATAAATCCCATGTCGTTGCTGTCGCGGCTGCCAGACATAATCATAACAATAATAACATAGTCGGAGCTGCGGAGACAAAGCGTCCAGATGCAGTGGGTCCCCCGTCCCCCGTTCTCCGCCGTCCTCCTCCTTTCTCCCCTGGAATCCCACCCATTATCCCCTGCTCTCCAACTTTGCAGATATTGCAAAATGATACCCGGGCGACTGAGAGCGAGCATCTCTCGGCTGCGACTTGTAATGCCTTATAAAATATCAACTTATTTTAAATAGTTATATGGGAGCTCTCCACTTTACGCCTGCCCCCCGTGTCGCTGTGTGCGATTATTCTCAAGGTAAACTACATTTTATTGTTGGGGCGGCTTTGTTATTATTATTTTTATTGCTTTTGGCATTCGTTCTGGCTTTATTCGCCCACCGTCGCGCGAGGTTTCTTTTTGTTTTCTTTCCTTGCTTTTCCACACACACACACACACTCACCCACAACAGCAGCTCACTTGTTTGTTTTTCCTCTTATTCTTGGCCAAATTTCAAAGGCTAGAAAACCGAAGAGCTTCTCCGCAAAAAAGAGTTATGCAATCGGAGGTGGAAAGCCTTTGGCCAGCGAGAACTGGCTAACTGACTGACTGACTGACTGGCTGGGTAGCTGGCCAGGTTAATGAGTTGCATTCGCGTGGGTTGTTAGCGTCCGTCATTGATTGACCAAAATTGGCCTACTCACACAAATATACGAGTAAGTTTTTCAGATGCCACTTGGTTAGTAATTTTTTGTTAGCTGGTTATTGATGAGGTTTCTTATGGCTGCTTTTTGCTTAGTTTGTCATTAGAGATCTTTGTGGGTTCGTGTTCGCCGCTCTCATTCGGCAACTGCGCGTGTTGGTTATTTGATTTTAATTTCTGGTTTTGGTTTTTGGTTTTTGGTTTTTGGTTTTTGGATTTTGGTTTTTGGTTTTTGGATTTTGGTTGTGGATTGTGAACTGTGAATTTTGGATTGGGGTTACGGATTGGCGGGGGAGGTTTCCTTATAAACGCACTGACCTATCCGCTTCACGTGCACATCCCGATTGAAGCTGACCCGCGGTCCTCCATTCGCGGCTCCAGTGTGCATCTTATATCTCTGGGATCGGCAGTGTATATCCTTGGGATGCTCTAGTCTGGTTGCAATCTCTGTCTCTGTCTTTGCTTTCTCTCTCCTTTGGGTCTTCGCTCGGAAGAATCGCAACCCTAAGTAAACTCTTTGTGCGACAGTCTCATCGAACTGTTCGAACTCTGCGCATTTTCCATTTATAATAGGCAATTAAATGGTTTTCAGCTGCAATTAAAAATAATTCTCTGAGTAAGCCTCTTTTTCTTTGGTTATTCGATTTGGTGTTATTTGATTATTTTCCTGTGATTAGCCAGCGTGGTTTTAGTTTGCAGCTCGTCGGTTAGCCCAGTTTGTGTTTCGGTTTTTCTTAAGCTCGGCTTAAATCTTTATGTTCTGTACACATGCGAGTGTAGTCTTCGTGAGAGAAAGTATTATTATAAATCAATTAGTTTAGCCAATAGGTAAGAAGTTTCAAGAAGGAGGTATTAGAATTTAGCTATAATAGATCAAGAAAGAAGTAGAAAAAGATAATATTACGATTATTTTACAACCTGGAGGAGTAGAGAGGGAGTATTCTTAAAATCAGAGCAATCGTAAAGTAAATTCTATTTAATGAGATCCGTACTACCTACTTTATTTAAGAGTTGCTTTCAAGTTGCCAAGCTGCTCAAGTCTTTCGAAAGAGTATAAAACATGGCAGCAGTCAAAAGAATAATTGCCAATTAATTCTTATTCTTATTCCAATTCTGATCCCACTCCGACGCTAAATCTGACTGATTCCCCAGTTTCGGGAGTGGGCACAATCGAATTGAGTTTTTGTTCTGCGCTTTTGTTTTCTCTGACAATTACAAAAATAGACACACGACGAGGGTGCTTGGGCTGCATACGAGATTCAAATTCGAGGGGGACGAGCGGCAGTTCAGTGGGGAGTGCCTGAGAGGAGAAAACCGTAGAAATACTGATTGCGATTGGGCAAACGCGATAATATTCATACTCGTATTTGAATACGAGAGTGCAAACTCTATTTAAACAATGCACTACGCCCGAGGACACTTCGACTGAACCGCTCCAGTCTGCCGAGTTCCCTGCCCCCCCAACTCCCCTCAAGATCCCTAAAAAGAACGTCCAGTTTAGACAACTGCTCCATGGACACGCACCCACCCAAGTGAGCACATGCAAAGAATCCGAAACAAGAGCCTTGCCAGGGATCTTTGGACCCAAGCAAATGTGGGATACCCTTTTTGAGTAGCCTTTTTTGTTTTGTTTACTTCTTATTTGTTTAAGCTGTTGTGTATTCACCATGATATAACGATTTGAAGCCATTAAAAAAATGAAACGAAGAGTAAAAACTGGATTTTAAATTGAATAGTTACCCCTGATATGGATAGTTACCATAAATAAATTGTAATATACTATCGAAACCCATAAACTTACACATGCAAAACGTGTAAATACTTTTTGAGACAACTTAATATTACTAAGCTTGGTTCTCAAAATAAAGATACTGTCTATGAAAATATTTGTTCGACTCGTGTTATCAGGGAAATTAAGAATGAAGCAACATTTTCCAAATACTTCCTAAATTTCTTTGGCTCGTTGAAAGTCTTTTATTATATATTTTCCCACAACATGCTGGTAGAGTATAACTAGGAGCTCTTTAATGTGTAGAAAATGCCTGTCTATTATGGCACCTGAACAAGGACGAGGCCGCTGCTCATTCACTTACTGGCTTACTTACAGGCCGCGCTCCTACAGGCTTTTTCATTCCGAATCCGAGTTCGGAGCCAGCCCAAAACTTAGACCCACAGCCAGACTGCGACTGAGACTGCGACTGAGACCGAGACCCAGACCCAGATACAGATACAGAGTGCGATACAGAGACCGATCGAGGAGCAGGCTCTGGAGCCGAGTTCACGCTCTAACGAGCACAATCGCCCGGCTAGACATCAATGGCCACGTCGTCTGTCTGATCACGGGCACCGATGCAGCTCGTTGCAGGGGAAAAGCGCTGCGAGCTGCCAATAAAAATCCTTTACCATATAATTTGAGTGCGCATGCGTGCGCCCTGACGTTGATGGGAGTCGAGTTGAGTTTGAGGTTGAGTCGGAGTCCAGTCGAAGGGGACTGCGAAGTCCCCAGGATGGCTAAGTTTGTTATAAGATGGAACGCAGGCGCTTATGTGCAATGCTATGCCAGATGCCGAAGTCCGATGTCCGATGTCCAATGTCCAATGTCCAATGTCAGATTCCCGATGCCGATTGCCGAGCGTTGATTGCGCCATGAACGTGATTTGTTTGTAAACACGCATTATTAAGGTGTAATAAACATAAAATTTGTATCGCTTGGCGGACCTTGGAGGAGCCGCCTCAACTGCGATCGCAGTCGCAGCAAGTTGCAATTGCAATTGGCCACCCCTCGCCATCCGGCCCCGCACATCTTTCAATTAAACTAAAAAGCTGCACACCACACACCACACACCACACGCCCCACTCCATTCACAGCTCGCATTTGCATGCGTCTGCGGAGTAGCTAATTTCAGGTGAATTATGCGAAATTATACGAATTACGCCCGTACATGTGGGAATGGGATTAGATTAGCGCGCAGAGCAAACAACTTAAGAGCTCCCCTCTGCGCGGCTCTCGGGCCCCAGAACAATAATCGTTCTGAACTTGAACTTTAACACGGCGGTAATGATAGGAAACCCCGCGAGCCCACAACTCGAACCCCACCCAAAAACTGACCCCCTTCCCTCCGCCCCTGCCAAGTGAAACCAAAAGTGCGCAGCAAAGCAAACAAACGCCTCGACTTCTTTGCCCACTTTGCGTGTGTTCTCAGCGCCGCGGAGCCGATCTGACCTCTGGGGTTCAGTTCTGGCAGCCGAGGGAGATCGGCCTGCTCCACTGGGAGAACCAAGCTGCCCCAAAACAAACATCTCGTCTCTGGTTGATCGATCACTGGGGAAAAAGCTATCAGCTTAATTCGAATGTAGTACGTTTACTTTGAATTACTTGGCATACATTAACCTCTTTCTTACTATTGCAGAGTAGAAAGAGAGTAGAGTACACAGGCATTCGTTTTAAAATTATTCTAACGAATTAAATATATTTATTGGTTCATATTTCAATGGACGGAAAATAAACTTTATAATTATTTGCCATTTTATGGTATGTATTTTTTTCGATACAAGTTGTCATGGGCGCACAAGTTTAAGCTTTTAAAAGAGTTTTTCTCTCGTTTGTTGTAAATTTTACTTACTTAAATCTAACTCAAATTAATAATTACATTGGTTTAAAATATTGCTTTGAAAACAATTTTGATATAATTTAGAAGGAAACATTGTGGAGCCAAAAACATGGAACAAATATTCTTAAGGCCAAGTAAAAGAAGTTGTTAATTTGAATACTTTTTATTTAAAACATGTTACCTTTGCAATTGCTTACAAATAATTGTTTTTATTCTCTTATTTTCCTCAAGTACATATTCTTTTCTAGCAGTGCTTTAGCCAGCGCGGCCTTTCGCATAGAAGTGAAAATGAAGGTGTAGTCCAATTTGTAAGTATGGCCAAGCCCTGTGGCCATTCAAAGTCCATGTTATGCAAAGATCAGAGCAGCCCCGTCCCCGTCGCCATCCCCTTTCCCGTCCACCCGGCGCTCCTCGCCCCCCATGGAATGTTGAATTCTGGATCCTACTCCCTCTGGAGCGGAGGAGCCGGCGAGCCAACTGGACGTTGTCTAGCGCTGGAAACATTTTTCCATGCGTGCCTCGCCGCTCCGCCGCTTTGTTGGTGGCGCTCGTTCGCGTCTTCGACTTTGGCAAATACTTAATTGCATTTCGATATCTATGCCGAGGCATCTGTGAGTGAATGCCGCTGCTGCTGCCTCAGCGGGCCGACTGGCCAATACCCAATACCCAATACCCAATGACCAATACCAATGCCCAATACCCAATACCCAGTGCTCCAGACGGCCAAGACATCCAGACAGCCAAAGAACGCGCCGGCGCTGTCTTTGGCCAGGAGTCGCAAATCGAGAATGGGGAATAGCGAATTGAGAATCGAGAATCGAGAGTTTAGAGTCGAGAGACGAGAGTTTGGGCCAGGCCAACGGCAGGGCATTCGGTCTCGCTTTTGGTCTTGGCTGGAGACCCTGGCGACTGGCGTTGTGGGTATTGTCAGGTCTTACAACTTACAACTAAATTCCCCTTGAGCCGAGCGCTTTACTAAGGAAATTAGTAATTGCTACTCCCATTTAGAGACATCTATGCGGGCATCTATGTACGTGTGGCATTCGCCAGATGATGACGATGACAACTTTCCCGCTCGGAGATTGTCTGGCGATTGTCCAGCGCCCACTCACAATCGCGCACATTGGCGTCGCCGAGGGGGGTCGGGGTTGAATTAGAACTTTAGAATGGTTTAAGTGAATTGAGTGAGAGATATGACCAAACCTTATTTATTTTTTTTAATTCAGTATATCTTGCAGCTATTCTATTAAAGTCTCGATAGCAGGAAAACTTTCGTATATGTTATTTCAATGATATTAAAATGCACTACGAAATTTACTCGACGTCTTAAAACTGGGTTTGCATGTACAAATTTGCTAACCAATCTGCATACAAAGGCACATTGAAGTAATTAGGAATGCAATTTAAATTAAAAACAAAAGTTTTTATTGCTTCACGCCTTTTTTACTTAATTGTAAAAGAAAACCTGTGAAAGTTTGTTATTATTTTTAAAAATGTTTTGCATACTCTTTTCCCTACCTTTTAGAAATTGTTTTTATCAAAAATAATAATTAAGGCTTTTTGAAGATTGATGCAAACCTGCTTTGCATTTGGATTATTAAAATATATTTTTGGTATAAAAACGTAAGCTCCGAAATTCGAGAAAATATATTAAAATAATTTTGGTGAACGTTCTTTAACCCCTTTTTGCCCACGCCACTGATTCCACCTACCAATGCCAAACTTGGTCACATTGTCCGTCATCGTTTGTGTTTTTGTTGCCGCTCCGCTGTCGTTTTCACGCTTTGTTAGCCAGCTAAACTGAATCTGTATCTGAGCCAAAGTGGCTTCCCTTTTGTACTAGTATCTCACACTCGAACTCGGACTTAGTCCGCTATGTGTGTTAGAAGGCTAATCTGTGCGGCATTACGTGGCAACTTTTTCGAGCCGTGTGGCAAGTGTCGATAGCATAATTGCAAGCTGTTCCCAGCCAGCGAAAAATGTAAATCAATTTCTTTGCTTACATCTCTGGGTGTTTTTTGCATGATTAATAATGCTCGAGCGGCCTGGGATCGCCGCCGGGCGCGAAAGAAGACAAAAGATTTCACTTTTCGAACTCATAATTAGCCCTGGGAGTGTAAGTATATCGGAGGTGATGGAGCGCCGGATTCTGGCCATGTCAAGCTGCTGGCTGTGCGACTCCTAACCTGCACGGAAATCAATTAGGCACCTCGGCCATCGGACAGTAGAGAGTTCAGATCGATCGATCGATCATAAGTCAACAATCGCTTAAAATGCGACCAGACACAACAAAATATCTAGAAACGAGGAGAAACTCAAAATATTCCACATGATTGGGGTTATTAAATGTAACGTAGAAGTGACAAGAATGATTTCGCTTTTGATTTTTCTTATTCAGGCAATAAAAATGAAATTGGCTCGCTTATTAACTGAAAAATATATTATATATTATTGACATATACAGTATAAAAAATAAGTACGTTTTTTTTACCGTTCATAAACGACTAGAATATATTTACTGTCCATTTTCTTTAAATACATATTCGTTTTATTTATCATAAATTGCTTTGCTAAAAGTTCTATAGAATTTTTTTATATGTAATATACTTTTTAAATATGTATGTGTAATATATTTATAGCAAAAATTCAAAGTTAATGTCTTTAAGCATCCTTCAGTTATTTTCAATTACACTGTAAGGTTCATAGCTTTCTTGTCCAGCTAAATACCACACTTTAATTTAAGCTTGTCCTTTTCAACTAAAATGAGATAAGATCACCCCCTAAGTTTTGTTTTATTGCTTTAATTCTCACGCCTGTTTGGCGTGTTCTTGTTTTTTTGGCGCCACTCCCTACGTTCCATCACTCCCAACTCCAAACTCCCAACTCCCAAGTCAGCCATCTGACTGTCGAATTCCTCGCTCGTTATCGCTGCACGCGGCAACAATTGTGCGCAATTATTGGCCAGAGAATCCACGAAACACGAAGCTTTCCCTGGGAAATCAATAAAGGAGGCAGCGTCAAAGTTTCCGGCAACGAATGAAGCGCGGTGGCAAAGGTCAGCCAGCTCATCTCTCGGCCAGCAAAAAAGCAGCCAGTAGAAGAAAAAAAAGCGAATATACAAAACGGCCTGGAGCCAAGGAAATCGAGTGTCTCGCTGAGTGGGAAAAGGGCGAACTTGCACGCGATGCTGCTCTCAGCCAGCTTGGCTGTTTTCCTTGGCCAAATCCGCTGGCAATGCTGCCTTCTTTGGGTCTGTAGTGCATGTCATAACCAACGGTGCATGCGCCATCTTCCGCCTTGCATAAGATCCCCGCTCGGTTTCACTTTCCCGGGTTAATTAAAGCCAATCGTCCATCCGTCCATCCGTCCGTCCGTCCGGATAGCGGTAGCTGAAATCGTAATTTATGCTAATTTTCGCTTGCAGATCGTTTAATTGATCCGCGTTAGATTCGATTTCGTTGGCCAGCCGGAGTTCATTGATATGCAGTTCGATTCCATTCGGCTCCATTCGCTGGCCAAAGCTGTTGACCGCGAATCAAAGTCGCTGGCTGGTTGGCCGGCATACAAAGTGCGCTTTCAACACGGCCTTTTTTCCTACGATTGCGGGTAATGTTTTTTGTGCCCCTCATTGGGTAATTCGGGGGGTGGATGGGCACGGGACTTATGGCGTTATGAAAGCGTTACAAATCTTCGCTTTGAATACGACACTCCACTCCACATCACTCCACTTCAATTCAGTTCAGTTCAGTTCAGTCCACTTCAATTGAGATGGAGCCGCTGTACGTGATAAGGCAATGATGATGACGTTGACGACCCGTCATAGACCAAATCGCGTCTCATTAACATTTCGGCCATAATCGATTCAGTTTGGCTGGCCTGTTTTACATCTAATTTATGTGCATGTAGCAGTGTCGCTCGCCCAATGATATCACGATGATGAACGGCCCACGTCTTGGGGGCGATTTGATTCTTGGAAATTCGTAATTGGCTCGCAGATGAAAGCGCCCCAAAACAGAGCAAAACAGGCGAAACTATCGGCCAATACATCAAATTAATGACTTCATTGAAAGCCTTCTCGAAGCGCCCAAAAAAATTAAAAAAAAAAACAGCAGAGGAGACCCAAATACATTTTTGGTTTAAGCTCTTCCAGCTTCCCAGAGTTGCCGTTTTTACCTGATTCCCAGGGCGTCGAGTTGCACCTGCTTTTTGCCCCGGCGACACTTGATATCCCCCAGAAAGGTCAGGCTGTGAACTCTGGGCCCAGAAAAAAAGAACCACAAAAACAAATTAAGCCAAACGAGCGTGTCAAATGCGCTGATTTGCGGAGGAAGGGGCAGAAATAAACCCAATTGAGAGCCAAGTACTTCCGCAGTGGTCTATGAAGTGTCGTATGCCGTTTACCGTTCCGTTCCGTTCAGTCCGACCCGATCGGATCGGATCCAATATACAATTTGATTCAATTCCCGCGCTCCAACTTCCGCCGAGGAGCCTCAATGTCAGCCGACGATGTTTGGGCTTTTAAATCAAATGCGACCAAATCAAATAATTTGTTAACACTGCCGCTTAAGTCAACAGTTAAACAATCAGCGATTGACGATTGACGATCGACGCTGGCCGCTTTCAGGCCGATTGCCGATTGCGCCACAGACATTGACAGACATTGATTTTTAAAGCCATTTTGTGAGATTTTTGCCCGGCTTTTGTTTGGCTGTTGAACCCCCATGGGCAATTAAAGCTGCACGATGCCAAAGAGAATGTGCGGCGAGCTGCGAAGATCGCCTCGCACTTCCACGTCCACTTCCATTCGATCGCGTAAGGTCACCTGGGAGTGGGTTATGTAGTCCAACTCGATTCCGATGAATCGGGAGGAAAATGTGTGATTAAAAACAATCCTTAAATTAGGCATTACAAAAACTCGGCTGGAACTTGATATGTTCCATTGAGTTACGATTTGTGTTTGCGGTTTTTGATTACTAACATTTATCAACTTTCCAGTTTATTTATTGCAATAACCACATGGCCCTACTAATTTTGCTAATTTAATCTAACGCACACAGTAAACAAACACTGACATTGAGAATCTTAGAACAAAGCAAATATCTCTCACGAATATTATAACTTTTACTTTTTCTAAGAAAAGCAAAGCAAAGTTGCCTGCATAAATTGGGGTTTACATGCAACGAAATACTTGAACCAAGCAAAGCACTTGGCAGTTTAAAGTTCACAACAATTGCGGTAAGAGGCTGACCTAAATAAAAAAAAAACAGACATGCCTGTAAAAAAATTACCATTGTAGTTCAATTTTATCGGTTTCTTTTGGGTTTGTCCAGACTTTAATGTAAAAGCAAACGATGAGCCGAGTCGCATATTGAAACGAGCGTAATAGCCCCGACTATAATAGAAATACTTATCTAAGAACAAAGTTATGTTTATTGGGGCTAAGCAAACAGCTGCATTAGTTCCGAGAACGAAGCTCAGGCGGCTTGGGTCTTTGATCTCGGTGACTAATTACTAAACCCGCGACGCGTCGTAGGTGTACGTGTTAAAAGCCGGACACGGACACTGACACTGACTCAAAGCAGGAAGCTGCCCGGGTCACCGGCGGAATCGAATACAAATTGAATACAGAAAATCGAAATGCTGGCATCGCCTCATGCACAAATACAAATCATCCTTGACGCATGCACACCAAAAACGGCAGTTCGAGTTAAAAAACGAGCGAGCAAGCAAAAAAATATCGGAGAGCTGGAAACTCGAAAACAAGATAATACGGCGGCAACGCAACTCCCAAAAACGAAAATGAAACAGGCCGTAGGACTGCATACAAGGCAAGGCTGTAGACCTTTTTTGGCCACATCAACAAAAGCGGCTTTTTGAGAATTTTCAATTTTTTTTCAACCCCCCACCCCCCTGGTTGCGTCCCCCTCCCTCCCTCCGTTCGGAGGCTTCGTTTAAATTGACGTTTATTTCCAGACGACGGCGGTCGAAACTTTCGAATTTTTGGCCTTTAATGAGGAGTCGAGTTAATTTGGCCGGGCATTTGAAGAGGCTCACGAGGCCTTTCGGGGTCCTCAGCTGCAGCTAACAAAACGAGAACGAGGTGTTTACCAAGGCACCTACAGAGACACACCAATACAGATATACATACAACAGAATAAATATATATTTAAGCAGCTTCGGGCATCCAGATACAATGACGTCATGGGCCTGGCATTGGCATTGAAACTCAAGGTTGGTTCGGTCAAATTTTTGGGGCAATAAAACGTCTCCCACGCAAATAAAAAAATAAAATATATAATACAATAAATTAGAACTGGAGAGTGCGCTTCAATTTTCTTCTTCCTCCTGGGGATCCCGCCAAAGGAGAAAAGGATGCGATATATATCTGCAGTGCTTGGGAATCAGATTTGATAGGGCCAAAAGATCACCTGCCACCACGATGAAGATCTGCGTATAGCGAACCGATGGCAGGCCAAAGAACCAGGTTATCGTTTTCCTTGGATCCATTTTTTTCGGTTTATCTCTGGAGTCTAGAATATATCAGCTGCGAAACTACTTCGAAATGAGCACTAACTCCCAGGCGATAAGGTTTTCGATTCTGATTGCTAATGAATAACGAATGGCTCTGAACCTGAATTCAAATGTGCCGATGCTGGCCAATTACTTATGTATATTTTGGCAAAAAGCCGCACAACAGCCATAAATATAAAATTCCTAATCGAATTAAAGGCAAGGCTAATGTAAATCCCGCATTTGCAATGCTAATTTGTAAGAACCAATATATAGATTTCCGAGGGTGAGCAGTTTCCAAAGATTCTCGTTTCGAAAACGCGAAAACTTTCACTCAACTCGGCAGTCATCATTGAAAAATGTTTGCTTTCAGTTGAGCGAGGCCTTCGGAATTCTATTTCCGCCCCAAACAATAAAGACGCTCGCATTTGCGGAGTCGGTCGAGTTTTTATTAACATTAGAATTGGCCATTGCTTATTAATTTGCATCCCCATTCAAAAGGCCCGCCGAAGGTTGTTAATGTTAAAGTTAATGTTGGCCAAGATCTCCTCTTGGGTCCGCGAAATATCGAAAGAAAGTGGACGGCGAAAAGATCTTCTCCGCTGAACCCGAAAACAACTTCCAATTAACCAGATCGGGCGAAAGGTTGAGCGGATCAATCAGAAACCTCAACTATAGCTCTCTGACTCACAATTGGCCATAATGCGTTGGCCGACTCCATTCTAAATACGGATTTGGAACAGCCACACACACCCACGTAGCGAAGTGTGTAACTGGGACACTATTCGGGGGTCGTAAAGCCCACTCCAGATCGCTATTGCGATTACGATCGAGATCGAGATCCGAGGCTGAATTATTCAAGAGCATCGCTGGAAGAACCGCACAGAAGCACGGGGTTTAGTATGGATAGTCCGGAGATCCGATTCCGTTTCGGTTGGTTATCAGTTATCAGTTATCAGGGCAAAGCGTCTACGGCGTTAGCTGGCGGTTTTAGGGCGGCTCTACAGTACAGTGAAAAACGATCGTCGACTCACCTCAAAACAGCATTCCTCGTGCGTTTGTGTGGGGGAGAGCAAACGATTTTGCAGTTCCAAGTAATTTGCGCAGTTCTAATTACGTTTGTTTTCTATTTGATGTGGGCTCGTTTTTGCCGCTTTTGTTGTTCCCCCTCTGTTGTTGTTATTATTATTTTTATTATTATTTCACTTGCCAAGTGTCGTCGCGAATGATTGCTTATTTGCAATTTATATTGCTCGCTCTAGAGGCTGTCGAAGTTGGAGTTTTGGTATGCACGTCAAATTTTAATTAGTCGAAAAACGTTTGCACAATTTAGCGAAAAATTTATCACGATTTGTGTTTGAGATTTTGTGTCGTTTTGCGTGGGTTTCGCTCAACGGTTGAATGGACGTGCCGATGGTCGTTGGATGTTCGGCTTTACTATACATATATGGTGTTGGCAGGGAGGATCGGTCGATATATCCTCTGTGGCAGATGGGCGCTGGCCAGTTCGTGTGTTATTTTAAATTTTGCAGTTATTTACTTGCTTTGTAATGCGAACGCGACGCAGTTTCGTTTCGATCCAGAGCTGAATCGCGAGCTTTTCTCCGGGCCAAGTTATCGCGAGTAGGTCTGAGAGCTGACTGAAGTCCAGAGCCAGCGTTTCGGCCAAGATCGCTGCCAAAGCTCGAGGCAGAGAGCCCGAGAGATCGAGAGAGGGAGAGAGAGCTTAAGTCGGGCTAACAAGTGGCGCAGCAACAAGTAGCCGGTGTTTGCCGAGAGCGAGATTGAGATTGAGATTGGCATCGAGAGCAAGTTCGTGTTCTGAGGTCTTTCGTTTTCCGAATATGAATCAAATCAAGGTTCGAGTACTCGCACTCACTCGAAAACAAGTGAAACCAGATCGCCCAAACATTCTTGGGATGTTTTCCTACGCGCTGGCCAATATGAAAATGATGTTCCTGCCCGTTCCGACTGTCAACCAGTTTCCACTGGCTACCTAGCTTCTGTTCGGTGACCCTCCGCTCGGCCAGCTGCTCATCCCCGCCCCCCGCGGCCACACCCACTCATCAATCACTAGTCATTAATGCCGAGCACTAATTAATTCATCTTCTAGATACGACCGACCAGGGTGCTAATCCCCGGCCAAAAAGTAAACAAAGCGTAAAATATGCCCCAAACTAAACACTGGAAACTCTTGTTAACAATAATACACTGCAAACCTGTTCTACCTGAAAGCTAACTTTTCTTTTAATAGAGCTCAACTGATATTTTGCACCTCACAATTCCTAATAGGTCTCCAAAGTTCCTTAGCTTAAATTGAACATATGCGCTTGTTTGTTAACTAAGCATGCTTACAATGCATACAAATTGTATTACATATTTCACAACAAACTAGCAATCGTTAAATGTTTTGAATAATTTAAAAATTAATTTAAAGTACATAAAAAGCACATTAAAATATTTGTTAAGCTTGTAACATGATTATAAAAGTATAAAATTATGTGTCAGCTAGTTCTACCTTTTAAAGCCCCTCTGTATTCACATGTTCATACATTTGCGCCTTTATAGCCACACACTTGAATATTTTAATATCACAGTAATTAATCAAAAAGTCAGAGAAATAAGCAGCACATACAAATAAATCATCGATCGTCATCGTCGGTCAAGAAACTATAAAGCACGTCCACTCCGAACCACCAACCCGAACCCCTCTCCCCACAAATCGAAGGAACCCATTTCAATTTAATAAAGTTGTCAACCCACGAAACTGGCGTGTGAAACGCTCTTTGGCTGTACACAAAAATAAATATATGAATAATTTATTATTCACAAATCAAAATTGCGTATTAATTATGCATATACTGGCTTATCACCCAAATGTATTTGTCTTGTAGTTAACTACAAGTATTATTTGTAATTTGTAGACTTAAGCTTATTACAAATTTTGTGTTTAGTTTTTTAGTAGTCATATGAAGGTATGATTTGCTAATTTATGCGACCCTTGATTCGAGTATTTTAATTTTTTTTTTGTTTTCAAATAATTTGAGTCTTAATGTTTCCATTTTTTTAAGTGTGTTTCTTTGAATTATCAAGTGCTCGTTTTGCATTCCACCTTCGATTGTTTAATTGTGCGCCCAATAACGGTAAACTTTTCGGGATACCTCTCGTCGAAGCCCATTTAAACCCATTTTATGAATGAAAAGCGGGATGCGAAAAGCTCGGCTTCTCCCCTGAGCTTTGCTTTAAGACCTCTGGGGAGCTTTGTGGAGGAAACCCGAAAAGTGCGCTGAGCTTTAGTGCGAAAAACACATTTTCACGAGGCACATTTTCCATTCTGTTTGTTGTTCTCGCTGCGTGCGGTTTGTGTTTCCTTTATCACGTGTTTGGTAGGCTTTTTATCAATTATATTTTGCCAAGACGGCTGCCTTTCCATAGTAACAGTAGCGAACGTAGAATAAATTGAATTAGTATTCAAAATCGAGTGTCATTCCAAAAATGTGCGAATGGCATCATTTGGCCAAGCCAAAAAGTGATGACCCCTGTGATATAAGCTGGCCACAATGGCTATAAAAAGCTCCTAAGCAAGTCAATCCGAGCTTTCTTCCCGTTAGTCGCGACATCAGCTGACCCGGAGCAACAACAACCTGTGTGGAGGAACAAAGTTTCGCGCTAAAAATACCCAAAGTTCATGGTCAACGTCCTGGAGCGGAGTGAGGAGATTCATTCCGTGACACTCGCATCCTGAAATGGCATTGATTCGCTGTTGCTTTGAGCCGCCGGAACTTCCAGAATTCTTTGACAGCTTTGTGCAAAAGTGCACAGATCCTACTTGTAAGTAAAGTCAATAGAAATCTTGGGCGTTATGGCCGTTAAAATACTTAAACAAATTTATCTGAAAAGGCAATGAATTATCATAATTATGATACTATTTTTAAAAACATAAAACGATTTTTCTTTTATTTATTTATTTACTAAATTATTTTCCCATATCGACGCAGTTGTCCCTTACAAAAGTTAAAACAAGGCAACAAAAAATTAACACTTACATTCCATGAAATAGATAGTTTATCATCATGGGTACTTCATCAAAATGCCTTAAGATTAATGTTAAAACACCATGTTCCATTCTTCACTGACTTTTTTCTATTTTCTGGCATTCTCGTATACTAAAGCCAGGGGCGAACAGAAGTAGTCTGGGGCCCGGTGCAAAAAACTGCGGGAGCCTCCAATTTTGGGAGATTGTCAATCCTTGTATCATATCGCGGGGCCCCCATAAACGCGAGGCCCGGGGCAAATTGCCCCTTTGGCGGGGGTCCAATCGAAAAGTTTTTTAGTTTGGAGGGCGGGCTTCGACCGCTGATATTGACAAATTCAAATTAAACACTTTAACATAACTATTTTGAGCACAGTGGTCAGTACTCATGAGAGTACCAGTTAAAATTATGGTCACACCTCACCCATCGGTAGCTTATCCGAGGCGCGCACCAATATTTACTTCAATCCGCGAAAATCACCAGTGTCTGGCTGGGATTTTTTAGGGAATTTGTGGTGGGAGGAAAGCCGATTCATCATCTGACAACACTGCACCACCCACAAGGAAAACAAAAGAAAAGTCGCAGCCTGCGCTCTTTTATCGCAGCGTTTTATTATCTAATGCCGCGATAAAGCCACCAAGAAGCGAATCGCGACGCCGAAATGCCTGGTAAGCGGTCGGCGGGAACAGGTGGCATTCGCTTGGCGTGACACGGGCCATTGAGCCGAATGACCTCGCCTCCGGGCAATTGGAATTGCCAGGAGTGACGACACCGAGAAATCGATGGCCGGAGTTGTGTGTTGGTGTTATGGGTGATTTGAAAGGGGGCAGGGGCTGTAAGGTCGGCGGAAGCCATCAACCAGCGTGCGATGAGCCGTCCAATCACTCAACACACAGCGAAACTACAGTCCACTAGAGCAATTATCGCGATAAGATTAAGCGGAAAATGGTGGTCGCACCCAGTCGATCCGAGTCGGTTTTCACACCACCGCCACCCAGCACCACCAACACACTCGCCTGTGGAGCGGTGGCGCCATGTTCACCTACCGCTGCATCCACGTCTGTCTGCCGAATCCCTCTAACCGCTGTGCCTTTCCCTACGCTCTTCTAGGCTGCTGCGGATGCTGTTCGGCGCTCAGGCCGCGCTACAAGCGCCTGGTGGATAATATCTTTCCTGTGAACCCGGAAGACGGGCTGGTCAAGTCGAACATGGAGAAGCTGACCTTCTACTCGCTGAGCTCACCGGACAAACTGGACCGCATTGGCGAGTACCTCTACCAGAAGGCCACGAAGGACATTAACAGGAAGCGCTACAAGTAAGTGGCTCAATGAATCCGCTTTGAAATAAACTAATTTTGCTTTATTCAGGCTGGCTGAGATTGCCATGGAGGCCATGGATCTGCTGCTACAGGCATGTCACGCCCAGACCACGCTCAATCTGTTTGTGGAGTCTTTCTTGCGCATGGTGCAGAAGCTGCTGGAAGACTCGAACCCCAACCTCAAGATAATGGCCACCAATTCGGTAAGACTCTACCTAGAGGATAAATACATTGGACTCTACATTCACTCCTATGCTTGCAGTTTGTAAAATTTGCAAACATTAATGAGGACACTCCATCCTACCATCGACGGTACGACTTCTTCATCTCGAAGTTCTCCTCGATGTGTCACAGCGATGCGGCCAGCATGCGGGACAGTCTGCGCTTGGCCGGCATCAAGGGCTTGCAGGGCGTCATTCGAAAAACAGTGTCAGACGATTTGGTGGAGAATATCTGGGAGGCGGAGCACATGGAGAAGATTGTGCCCTCGCTGCTGTTCAACATGCAGGTGCGTGTTTATGGGCTTTGCGTCCTTTCCAGCCGTTCGGAGATGGATTCAGCCATCCCTTCCAGTTGTCTGTTCTATTGGCGAATTATTGTACTAATTTCGATGTATTTTGCATTTCGTTTTCGTGTATTTTGTTAATGCAAACCAAACCCAAACCAACCACAACACAACCAACACACAACAATAACCAAACAGTTTTGTGTAAACGTTATGTTCGTGAAGAAAAATTTACTGGCGGTAACGATCGAATTGTTCCATTACATAAGTTTATATATAATATAAGTGAACGCTGATTAGTCACTAAGATCGTCTTGTTCGAACCGATACTAACATATTTTTCGTTGCTGCAGTCCGGCGACCTTACGCCCGTGGAGGATGCCACCAATGTGACGCCGCCAGCGTTGGCCGAGGAAGTGCTGCGGGAACTGGTGGGTCGTGCCTCCTTTGGACACATTCGCAGTGTGCTCAAGCCGCTGCTGACGTAAGTTTTACACCCGGAATCACAGCCTTCCCCTGCTAATCAGATGATAACCTTCCTGATTTACAGCCACCTGGACCGACATGAGCTGTGGGTGCCGAACACCTTTGCGATTCACACGTTCCGCATCGTGATGATCTCCATACAGCCACAGTACTCGTACACCGTGGTAGAGACCCTCATGCAGCATCTGGACAGCAACTTCAAGTCCTCGCCGAAGACGCGCACCTCGCTGGCTGTCGTTTTGTCGAAGATCATCGCAATTGCAGCCGGCGAGAGTGTCGGGCCCTCGGCTCTGGACATTATCAACAATCTGCTGACCCATTTGCGAACGAGTGTGAGCACTACCACCGAAATTACGCCCGAGGAGTCCCAGTACCAGGAAGCGCTGATCAACGCGCTGGGCGAGTTCGCCAACCATCACCCCGACTACCAGAAAATCGAGATCATGCTGTTCATTATGAACACGGTGCCGGACCTGTCCAAGAAGAGCAAGGGCGACCAGATGCTGCAGAACATTCTGCTCAAGTCGCTGCTCAAAGTGGGCACCCAATACAGCACCGTCTCCTTTGAGAAGGCATTCCCCGCCTCCTTCTTGCAGCCACTGCTGAAAATGGCGCGAGCCCCACACGATCCCACTCGCATGGTTGTGATGCAGATCTTGCAGGCACTGCTCGATCGCCACCAAAACGAGCAGGTGCTCAGCAGCGTTAGTGTAAAGCCATACCCGGCACTCTCCCAGGAGCCACCTTCCCGTTCCGACATCATCTTTACGCACAAGTATGGGGCAAACATGATGCAGGCGTTGATCGACTCCATGGCGCTGTCAGATCGCGTTGATGCCCTGTCCTCCAGCTTCAACACCGCCGCCCTGCTCATCGTCGAGATGTCGTGCAACGAGACCGTGCAGGAGTTCCTTCTGTTTATCCTGGGGTAAGGTTAATTAGCCGATACTCAATTTAAGGATATTTACTTACTGATTTGATGCTCTGCAGCATTCAACAAGTGGCAAACACTGCTGAGAACCTTGGAACTGTGCACAAGTGCAGTCTGCACGCCATTTCCATTGGCCTCCTGGTGCTAATTTCGCGGGTGAGCGGCATTAATAATCTGCTGGAATATGCCCAAAAGATTGTGGATGCCCGACGGGAGGAGGCCACCCACTATCTACCACCGCTACTTGAGCCCAAGAAGATGTCCGGAAAGACGTTGAATCTGGCGCTGCCTCACCTCGCCATAGACAAATTGGCTCTGGTGGAGTGTCTACAGAATGCGGGCATGGATGTCCAGCGATTAAACACGGGCGCTCCGTATACACTCAACCAGACAGACCACCCCGGTCATCGCCACTCGTGGGTGGAGTCAGTGAGCAACCAGCTGACGCAGCGAAACAGCTCTGCGGATCTGACCGTCTACAACGGCGACGTGGACAGCGTGAGCAGCTCGCCGGGCGTGTGCAAGCTGCTGCTGGCGCCGGAGTTCAATTTCGATGCGATGAAACGAGCTCTCGCCGAGCCAACTGAGGCTGCCAAGCGGGAGCAACGCGAACGCCAGATGCAGATTGTTCGCACCTTCCGCGAAGGCGAGTTCGACGATCTGATGAGACGCACAGAACCCAAGGTGAGTAGAGTGTTCTCAAAGTCCTGTTTTTAAACCATCTTTAAAGCATTTATATAATTTTAATTTTGAGTATTCTTTCTTTTTGGATCATTCTTCTTTCCCTTTGATCATTAATTCAATATTTTTTGAGTCGCTCATTTAACAGGACTTTACATAAATTTATGTAAATGTCGCTTTTTTATTTGCTGGGTTATTTTTCACCACTCAGGCTGAATTAAAACCTTGAATATATGTGTTCAAATTACTAATCTATTGCTAAAATACATTATTTGCAGTGTATATTATACACAACATCAAATGTCAGGAAATTTACTATGTATTTTAATAAACACCATGAAGCTATATGCATATAAAGCTAGCTGGATTGCGGTTGCATTTTTTGCTAGAAAGTCTCATAGCTTTTAGATTTTAGATAAAATTTTTGTTCCCTACGCAACTTTATTAAAATCTAATTTAAGGCTTACTAATAAAGATTGATAGTCGTTATTGTTTAAATACGTAACAGTTATCAGAAAGCACACCTTTAGTAATGGCTACGAAAGTTAACTCTTAGCAAGCATATCATTTTTTGGTTACACCCTGTTTTACTAAATAGAAACGTTTAATGGTGTTTTTCTTTCAATTTCAGCACGATCTTATCCAGAACCGTCTGAACGAGCTATTTAACTCGCTAGCCGTGGAGCGTCAGATCACGCAGAGCGACAACAAGGCCGCTCAGTTGCAAGCTAGCAATGAGAAACCCATCTACGAGACGAACTTCCCCGAACTCTTTTACTACTGAACCGTATTCCTCGATCCGGAAACCCAATCCGTCGAGTATTGTCTACTCAATTCACGTATATCGATAGCCCTAAATGCGAATTTGTTTGGTGTCTGTAAGGAACTAGTTAAATTTAATTAAATTTTCCGTTGTTAAATGCAAACAATTCAATTGTTAAACCACCCTGGATATGTACTTTGAATTAATTGTTATACAAATATAAACATATGTATACAAATATTTATTTTGTCGCCATATTATTTAGTCGCTATCAACCAGGGGACCGAGGTCTCCGCTCTTAACAGCAATGGGGGATCAACGACCTCTTTGATGTGGACAAGAATAAAGTCGAAAACGAAGGCGTTTTGAATTAATTGTAATCTTTAATGAACGATCACTCAAGGTAATATATACTGTGCGTGCATAAGCGTGTAAAAAAGTGTTAAGGACATTAATCAGATGCGTTGAACTTTCAGGATTCGAAGACGCTTAAACCATAGTTTTTTTTGCCGCGTTCCTTGTTACTTAAACATAACAATCAATCTTAAAACTCCGAATTTACAAACTAGATGCAACATCTACACTGTGCGAGGGCACGAGAGCGTGCGTCTACTCCAAAAAAAGTAGATGACGGTAAGCAATTTTACAAGATACTAATGATGTAAACGATATACAAAAATATAGATCTGCACATACCAAACCGATAGCCGATATGCTCACGTTCAATGTACAAAATTCTAGATCAGATCGATCAGCCGAAGCCAATCTTAATGGCTTGAACGAATTTACAACTACAACTACAACGAGTCCCGGCCGCAGCGGGTTAATGAACAGAAATTGGTGGTAGTGGTGGTACTGGTACTGGTGTTAGTGGACTGCCCTTATGATCGTCGTGCTCAGCACGCCAGTTGGCCGTAGCTGCCGTCCGTTTCACTAGTCGGCCAAGTTATCCTGGGCCTGGGAGCTGGCGAAGACGGCGTTGTGGGCTCTGAGTCCGCAACGAACACGGCCGAGTCATCGGCACTGGACGGCGTTAGTGGCCTCTCGCAGTCCGCACCAATCTCGGAAATCGGTATGGATAAAGATGTAGTCGCCTCCTCGCTGAGTGGCACAATCTCTTTGAAACTCTGATTCGGCGGCATCACCACCAGCATGTTGATAGAGATAAGCAGCGGATGTACCAGTTTCGGGTCGAGCACCATAAGCGGTACCTCCTCGTTCTTCTCGAGGCTCAGCGAGCAGATCTCGGACGTCTGGGTGAACACAGGTTGCCTCTGGGCGTTTATCGAAGTCACCGTGGTGCGGACCATGAACTTGCGCTTCGTCTGCAGGCTGAGCACACGCTCGTGCTCATGCCGGTGGTGGCGACGAATGTTCAGTCTGCGCGAGTCCATGATCAGGATGAGATCCATGCCGTAGTTGAAGCCCGTCCAGCGCCACTTCTGGTAGCCGGGCTCAAGCAACATGCGCCCGCAGCGCATACAGTTCTCGAAGAACTGATCGTTGTCCAGTTGCTGAGGACTACTGTAAGTGGAATCAAAGTTAGAACCAGTAAAATACCTTAAGGGACTTCAGAAGACTCACCAATCCTCCTGGCCGTGGTCAATACGCAGAAGGGCATCCCAGTGGTTATGAATGTGCCGATAGAGCCACTCCTTGGGTATGATGTTGTCATTGTAAATGATCTTTAGATCCATATAGTGGTTCGTCAGGTACTGGGTCCGCAGCTTCTGGAAGACCTTCACGTACGGCTGCCCCTCCGGCGTGGCGAGAAACGAGCGCTCCTCCATGCGACTGGTAAAGTACGTCCACTGGACAACATCACCGCTGGGCGTGTGAGTTTCCACGCCAGCATTGACCAGACGTTCCTGCGTCTTTACCGCCTCGGCCCGCTGGACCGGGTCCTCTGGATCGTAGTCGGGATGCAGGCGCAGGAACATCCATGTGCGCAGCAGTGTATAAAGTGAAAACTCCGTCTGCATCACGTACAAATCGGGGCTGGCCGTCAGGGCACTCATTAGTTCGATGGAGATGTGCCTCAGCAGATTCGGCTGCTTGCTGTAGATGCTCAACAGGTTGATCTGAAACCACTGGAAAGTGGACTTCTTTACCCCCACCACGCCGTACTGGCAGGCGGCCTCGTAGTACTGGATGGCTGTCTCTGGACTGATGTTGTCCACCATCACCTCGGCGCACTTGTCGATGATCCCGTCCAAGTGGAACAGCGTGGCAGTGGCCAAGACTGAGATCACATCGGCCGATTCAAGCTCGATCTCATCGGAGTACATGGACCCGAAGACAGCATCCAGGCTGGCCACTGTGATCCGTTCGTCGAGAATCGCAATCTGTATGAAGTTCTGTTGCGCCTCCCGCCACGTCCCATTGAACATGGTAAAGAAGTAGGGACTCTGGCTCAGGTAAACCTTGTGCAGGTGCCACACTTTATCCAGCGCCATAACGGCCACATCCGAGTTTTGTTCCTCCTTGAAAAGCGCCTTGTATATGTACTGTGTGGTGGTAAGAAGCTTCTTTCTGCGAAGATAAAATATTTTAGGTGGTGAATGACTCCAAAGGGGTAAGCACTTACTTCTTGGGCTGAGTTGGGTCCGACTGGGCTTGCTCATCTTTGCCCAACGATGAGTCGGTGCTGCGCTTACGTTTCCGCCTGTTGCCGAACACCTCGGCCACATTCATATGCATGGAGCCCACGATCTGACCCATGGCTCAACAGAGAAGTTCCCACTCTGAAACGACAAGGATCGTAACAACAATATTTGTTTATTTTGAGTTCTGCGTACGAGATTTGTGTCGAAAACAAAGGCTAAGGGGTCGTTATCGATCTGACAGGTTGCGTGTTGATAGCGCCCCCCAATTGGAACCGGTTGACCCACTTTCGTTCCGCCAAACTGTAACGTCAACCGTTGCAGAGATGTGGAAACCTTTCCCGGGTGGGCGAACATTCAAACATTCGTGTGGGTGACATTTCAGGCCCTTAAACCCGCTGGAAAACGCATCCATTCATCAATGACGGTGATGTCATCGCACATTTGAGGCATGATACCCAAGTTGTAATCGAATCCCACTCGACTAAAGTCGGAAAACTTGAAAAGCATTGCTAGATTGCAACTGATAAATATTTGATGTTTTACTTAGTAATTACATGACTTAAATGCCTAAATAAACTCTGTAATTAAGATATCACCAATGGCTTTTCGTCTACTCCAATTTGGATTACGTTCGCTTACTTTAAAATGACAAGACAGATGAGCACTTGATCTGTACAAAAGAGTCATGTGAATTTACGAGAGAATAATGTTTTAGTAAGTCAGAAATACAGAAGTGTTTGCTCTTTAATCAGTGTTATAAATATTTTAGCCTTTAAAAACCTGAAACGCACTGTAGACACAAGCGTTTTCGGCAAACATCGAAGGGGGTCTCTATAATTAGAATGAGATCAAACGAGCTCGATTCCATGCGCACTTTTATGCTTTGTTTATGGGGCCAATTGCTGGAGCTGGACGAGTGTTGTAACCATGTCAAGGCCGCGGCGGAAGCTACTATACACATATTGCTGCGCTGCTGCCCATAAACAAGTAAACGATCGCTTTCGTCACCTCACCAGTGGATCTCATTGATATGGACGATCATGCAGTCAAGCTCGTTGATACCCGACCGATGATTATCTATTCGGAGCTATCTTAAACTAATGATTGTTAGGACCAGTTGGGGAAAGGTGATAAGTTGGGGGGCCGCCAGCAGATGGCGGATTTGTTTTGGTGTGGCGCAGTTCCGAAAACAAAAGTAAACTATTCAAAACCGGTTTTCGCGGCGTGTATTTCTTATAAGACCAAAACAAGACGATTGCAGCGCGCTTCAAATTACGTCACCAGTTGAAGCCGGAGAGCAAAGAGAGAAAGAGAGGAACAAACAAAAGGGGGTGGGACAAAAGACCACCAAATACAGGCTGACTTCCAAGTATAACTCGATTTTCCACAAGTCGTAATTCACCAACTACAGGCAAATAGCGTGGAGAAAACAACTTCCCAAAGAACCATGTTAAACTGATTCACTTTACGACAAAATCCATTATTAGGTTTAAAGTCTAAAATTTTGATGTTGTTTAAGCACTCTATGCACATATGTAATTTAAATGCATATGTATATTAATATGGATACTAAAAACAAGTCACGAACAACAACAAAATTAGGCACGTTCCACTGAATACAAGTAGAAGCAGCTTCGTCCTTAAAACCTTCCTAATAATTCTCTAAATGAAGTAAAAATTGACAAATAAAAAAATTAATGTTGCCCAAGGAGTTAACGGCTAAATAACGTGGGTGATCGTCGAAAGAAGCCAACAAGCATGGGCGGAGACTCGAACTCGCGAACGCTATTTTGTAGGGGAGTTCCAGTCGCCTTAGACGACAGAGCCACCGCAACTAGAAAATTTCGAACCGCAGAAACTGGAAACGAATTATTATGATTCGGGTTAACTAGTTTAGTAAACTTTCAGATAACGCATAGAGGCCTTACATATTTATTGCTGAGAAATCAGCTGATTGTCAGAGCAAAAAGCATGTTTATTCGCACTATTTACGACTGGCTGTTGTTTGGACCTGATAACGCAGTTTTGAAGATATAAAAAAACGAACCACCAACTTTTTCTCCCATTTTGTTTTCCTGATTAATCTGGACTATAAATAGCAAACAAAAGTGAATTTGGTGGGTGACGTAGTTGGGAAAACAGAGAGGGGGCGGACTAGAAAACGAAGGAGTGAGAGGCGAAAAGAGTAAACGAGAGCGCACTAACGACGCAAAATTAAAGGAAAAAAAGGTACACAAAGGGGAACTGATAAACGAAACTTACTGTAAATATGCAGTTACAGTGTGCACGATTTTATATAACTGCAATTGCACTCCACGTCCACCAAATGTGCTTCAAAGAATAAAATAAACACTGACTAAAATTTTGCGCGTGTCCGGATAGGCGTGTGATTTAAATCATTTCAATTCCGTTCGCTGACAAATATATCTCTGTTTTGCTGCAGCTGGCTCTCTAAATCCATTAGGTGTGGACAAACATCGATAGCTCCGCCTGCTGCGTACTTTTTGCAGGGACTGTCGATTATAGGTGTCAAGCGTTAGTCCGTTTCACGGTATGCAGTCTCATTTCCCGCCAATCCGAAATTTAAAAATTGTTGACAAGTCGCCACGTCTATTGGAAGATTCTGAGAAATTTATTCCAACAATAAATTAGACATACATATGTATGTCTCAGAAATCATTTTAGCATTTAGCTGACATCTCGGTGAAGTCAAAAAGTTTGCAGGTTGGCTTGGAATATTAAAATTTATTGTATATGTATGTCGTTGTTAGGGACATAAAATCCAAACGTTTAGTCGTTTTCTTTTGAAAATATCAAAAATGTAGTTTTCTTATAGAACATACAAACAAACATATGTATTATTAAGTGCAAATTATTAACGCTCTTAAACCATATAATGTAATTTGATCCCAAGCAAAAAACAAAGAAATTTACCATCGCACCTGCAAATGCTAACCTTTTCGCAATTTACAGATATATGTACCTTGGTAAGCAGAACAAAATCGGAAAAAAATTGGAAATTTCTGCAACCGTGTAATAAAAAGTGAAACAGCTGCGTTTAACCGGAATATTTTGGTGAAATTGAGTTTATTGGCTATCACAATGACCGGCCTAGTGTAAACTTTAGAAAATATTTGTTTAATTTACCAATTTTTTTATTAAAAGGTTTTTTTTACTAAGGTTGCTTGATTTAAGTTAGTTTTCCGCTTGAAAATTATTAAAATGTAACCTTCAAATTTAAGGTTTGAATATTGTTATAATTTAAATTTTATAATTTTTTAAATGAAAAAAAAGTTATCAACAAACGACCTCGTTCTTTAAACTGTATAAACATGTAGTGCATGGGCAATATTAGTGTTGCAAAACGATTGTCAGACCTGGTAGTGTGGTATTTTCGCATTGGCCAAATACTAGTGTGCTTAAATTTTCTGTGCTGCGCAGCAGTTAAATAAAATTGAATATACCAAAGCTACAGATATAAATCGGTCTTGAAAACCAGTGCAGGTTGCATTAGCACCCAAATTAAAGGTACGCCGACAAAGTGATACAAAAACGAATGCCGAATAAGTGGTGCAAAAGGTCAAAGTGTCAGCCGTGAAAAGTGGCACACAACAACAAATACACACGCAAACAGACATGCACACACGCAGACGTGGGCGGAATAAAAACACCCACAACTGATTGTTTTTTTTTGCATTCGTTATCGTTATCGCTCTCGTTTCGCATCTATTTTCTTCGCAGTCGCTTTTTTGTGGGGCGTGCAATGTTCAGGATCCATTTGAAAATGGGTCCGCAACGCAACCAGCTCCACAGCAACAACAACAACAATGGTGCCGCCGCAAGTGTCAGCACCGGGAACCGTCACCTGAAGGAGTTCACCTGCTGCTTCGGGTTGCATGTCCACACGGCCACCTTAATGATCGGATTGTGGCACTTGGTAAGTGAAAATACCATTTGACCTTTTGAGCGGTGGACCGTGCCTAATTCCACCCATGTGTCCAGAAAAAACCACCCACGCATGCAATTGTTTGAATGTGCGAAAACTTTTGACCCTGTTCATTGCCACACAGGGGAAAAATCAATGACCCAATGACTGCCAAACTTTTGTTCAGCGAGCCAACTCTGCACTTTCCCCGCCTGTGACGTCAATGCGGTTGATTGGTTCGCAGCTGTGTCAGCTGATCTAATTTGCCTTTAATCGGGGGGCTTTCAACTATAACTTATTTCTGCCACTGCGGAAGTTTCCACAGTTATAGAGTACCGCGACCATTGTCCGAAACTAACCTTTCACAAAGCCCCCGACTTCGCATGAGCAATTGCCGCACTGGGAAAAAACGTTCGGTGACTTATCACCACGTAATAAAAACTAAAGCATTTTCTGCACTTTCCAGAATTGATTAGCCGAAACGAATAGTTCAAATTGTAAATGTTGCCTTGCTTGAAAGACTTTATATAACTACATATTATAAATTAACCGTTTTAAAAGTAAATATATTTACATTGGAATGGATGCAGTGAAATTGGTTAAAAGTTTATATTATATTTGTGTATAGTACTCGAAATACAAACCTTTCTTCGTTTTCTGCTTACTGCAAGTTTAAAAAATCTACAGTCGTCTTCCTTTTGGTATTTCATACTCATTATTTACATTTTAAAATATGTGTACCCTCCTTAGATATTGAACAATTTATAATTATTTTGCCCTCTACAAAATGGATGTCTTTTTAAAAGTTTATTAATATCAAACAGATATTAATGAACACTGATTTTACAAGAGATTTTGTCTGAGTGTACAAATCGTGTGTATCGCTGATTCGCCCACTACTTTCATCATTCAATTCCCCTTCTCTGAGTTTTGGTACCTGGTGTTTATTAGCTCTGGTCACGTTTTACAGCAGCAAACTCCGTCACATGCGTTCACTGGATTACAGTTTGGGCAGCACTGGACTTATTTGCCTTAAATACAATCTCAAGGGTTTCTTTGTTTACATTTTGTAGATAGGCATAGCGTTAGAGCCCTGAAAAAACAAAGCAGTGTCAAAAATCAATGACACGGTTGACTCATCCGTAGATTGCTGATAATCTTATGATAAAGCTGCGGCTCACCGCGTATAAAATTTCATACTGATGAATAATTAAGCAAAATATGGCAAGTTGCCGCATCTAAGGTCGAGGCGTCATCAAAGCGAACTTGAGATATTTAGATACTGAATCGGTTATCCAACGGTACCATATGAACAAACAGCAACCAGATACATATCTCCATGAGCGTTTTAGTTATTTTAATAACTACACGTACTCCACAGATGACGAGAAAATATTTACTCTTCAGGGGGTTTACTCTTGCCTTTCGGTACTCATCTTTCTTCTGGAACAACATTCTGATGTGGGCTGCCATAAATCTGAGAATTGTTAATTCCGCTGTCAGCTATCAGCACACAAGTTGCAAATCAAATCATGCGAAGCTACCTTATCTATTTTGAGCAGCTTATCTTGATGAGCGGACCCACACACCTGCTACACGCACTTGAAATACTTTTAGATGTTAAGATATCTCTGAATTCCCCCCACTCGTGATCCTTTGAAATCATTGCATTGGTTTTGACACTTTACAATTTATTCAGCACTCGTGAAATATTTTTTCGGAGGAAGCTGTTCGAAAAGTATAGTTGAATACAAATCAGAATAAAAAACATCAAAGCTGACCAATTCAGCTTTTTTCAAAGGATTTTACTTTGTTTTTTTTTATATAATACTTTTTGACTGCATCCGGCACCTGGAAACTTAAAGTATTATTTTATTAATCAAAATGCCACCAGTCCCAATCTGTCATTTGATTTTAATATTTTTGATTGTGATTTTAAATTGTACTTCAATCAATTAAAAAACCTTGCCTAAAAAGGTAATTTTGATCAGTAACTGGTGTTTCTTAAAACATAATAATGATGCTAACTGAATTACGAGTGACACAAGACTTGAGTGGAATAGGGTTTGGGATGATTTGGCTAGTTCACAAAAAGGCAAAGAAACTATTGTCGAAGCAAAAATCGTATCAGAATAAGAGTACCGTACCGACAGGTCATTAATGAAGGGATCGCATACACAAACAATCGACTCTTTTGTGAATAAGATCGCAAGGCACAGCATTTTCATAAGATTAGTGCCACAATACTGAACCAACACAATTCAAGCAACGACCGGACGTCTGGCTGTAGGCATCACTTGCATTGCAAGATCACGTTGGACGATAACTTCACTGCAGGAATAGTTGTCAAAATTGTAAAAGCTATCTTGGTACTAAGCCTTTATTCCAGTTTTGTTTCTTTCAAATTATTAATAAACTCAGGGTACCAAATCTATTAAATGTGTATCTTTTAGCAACTGTTAACTCTGTATTAGCCAACCGTAACTCATTTCTTATTTGCAGTTTTTAAACATATTGGCATTGAGCGTTCTGGCAGTCATATGGCGCAATCCCGAGATGATGGACGAATTGGAGGGCGGCACCCACGACTACACTGTGGATTTAAGTGCACCGGCACTGCCCACTCCGTTGAGCAAGGTCGAACCGCCCTACGCCTACCGCGACCACTCCTTGAACTATCGTAAGCGTTACCGTAAGCAGCAGAGAGACCAAGTTCCGCAACGCATTTAATTTATGATTCCCCCCGCAGAGAACTTTGACATGGGCGGTTTGGTGTGCACCTGCATGATAGCTATCACCCTGATGATGATCTACGGCACCATTAAGGGAAAACCCTCGCACCTATTGCCCTTCTTCTGCTTGCAGTTGTTCGATTTCGCCATTACCACGTGAGTACAAATTTTAATCCTGGGAGTTACCGATATCTGTACAGATTCGAAGACAAAACATTTTGCCTGCTTAAATAATAAATACCTCAAGGCTTTTGAGGCTCCCTAAACCAGGATTTTAAAGATTAATATACTAATTCAATGGTTTTTGTTTGTATTGCAGTCTTACCGCCGCTGGATATTTGTGCTACCTGCAGGCCATCCACGGCATCATTGCCGAATCGCACCGCTTACCGTGGCGCGAGAAGCTGCTGGAATTGCCGCCAGAGGAGCTGGTTGTGGTGGTCCTTGTCGTCTTCGTTTGCATTGTCTTTCTAAAGGCCTATTGCATTGGCATCGTTTGGCGCTGCTACAAATACTTGACCCTCCGTCAGCAACATGTTCGCACACTGTTCCCCTTCCTGGAGCCCCCGACTGGAGTGCACAGTGTAGGCGGAACTTTTGGAGCCGAGGAGCGGTCCTACTCCACGCTGCTGCCCAACTACGACGAAGCAATTGCCCAATACTTGAAGCAGGCACCACCGCCATCCTACCAAGTGGCCATGTCCAACTACGAGGAGGGAGAGGAAGCAGCGGCCGAAGGAGCAGAGATCAACCCCTCGGTTGCACCTCTGTTCGTGGCCCTCGGAGCAGCGACCACTGCAAATGCGGCCTCCAACACGGACGACAACATGGATAACAACAACGATCAGCCGAACAATAACAATACCATGCATGTCAACGCCAATACGCCGCCAATGCGTCGCAGCGATGCTGCAGTGAGCACCAATGTTGACGAGGAGGACGACGATTTGGAGGTGATCGACGCCGGCGTGGATGTGATCGGCATTCCACCTCCGCCGCCCTACAACGACGTGGCCGACGCCCAAGTGCAGGTGCCGTCGCAGTCGCCGCTGCACCGTCAGCAAAATATCCCGGGTCAAGTGTTCGGCGGACGCGACGAGAGCCAGGCCTAAGTTGTAATTTTGGATTAGTTTGCTTCTCATGGCGAGTGGGTTTTGATCATCGATGACCACCCCTCTCCACCTCCTCTTCTTGCCCAGATGGTCTGGTTTCTGGTCCCTCATCTCGACGCTATCATTCCCAGGCACACATACACGGTCTATATGGTTGCTTCATTGTATTGATCGGTGTTTTTAGAAAAACGAAACCCAAACAAGTTTTCGCTTTTAGCCGTCGCTCAATATTGTTGTTTAGCGTACAATTAAGATGCTCTAGTTGCTGCTCAGTTAGTAAGCAAAACCAAAAACTTTTGCGATGTCGGCAAGGAAAGCTTCAATTCCTTTTCGGCCACATCTGACCCAAACGTAGCTGCAACAATCTGTTAGATCGTTATTTTTATTTGGCCCGAATTAGCCAGAGCAATTCGGTTAGTATAGGCCCAAGTAGTTGTTACCAGAGAGTGTCGCTGGCATTGTAGACACAATTACGATGTTCTTTGTTTTAAGCTATCTCGTAAGACTATGCATATTGAATACCGAGTACTGAATTCACATCACGGGCATACATAATCCATACATTATGATATTACCAATTGTATTTTACTAATGCGTATTAATACCAACAGCAGTAAAGTTTTATGTGTGTACAATATCTAAATGTATACTGTGTACTAAATATGCAGAGATATTCGAATAAAAATTAGTTTATACCTAATATTTATTGCGATTTTATTTTATCAAATGGGTTTTAGATTAAAAATAAACATTAGTTATTTATTTATTTTTTCTTTCCATACTTAGTATAGCTACTTCTACTACTACTATATAGTTAGTAACACTAACTAGAAAATACTGTATTAATTACTATACTTGTGGTGTATAGGCAAAGAAGAAACCTAACGTAAGTGGAAAGTCCTTACTGGGAAATCCCCGATTATTACGCATCATAAGTAAAGATTAAGCGCTTAACGAGAATTCAAGTTGACCTCACGCCTTGATCGCAAATAATTCCATGAAAAGTCCCCCTAGAAAAAGAACCCGATGTTCAATTAGTATATGCGATTGTTTTTTTTAGCGTTTTATTTAAATTGTTTTTTTATTTTGTTTTTTGTTTTAGAAATGCCTTGATGCATGCTTAGGCCTTCCAGTTAGACCAGGTGCGGATCTCGTTCCAGATGTTGGTGCCGGGGCACTCGGTGGAGCCGACCTGGCGATGTCCGTACAAGATGTATCCGGAGACGATCTGTTTGCGGGAGACGGCGTCGGCCAGCAGACCCTTGGCGGCGGTGATCTGGGCAGAGGTCAGGGTGTTGGTGTTGTAGTTGCCCAGGAAGGAGATGCCGATGGACTTGGAGTTCCAGTTGGTGGCGTGGGCACCCACTACGTTCCAGCCGCGACCCTCGTACACGTTGCCATCGCCGCCGATCAGGAAGTTGTAGCCGATGTCAGCCCAGCCAAGGGAGTCCATGTGGTAGGCCTGGATGTTCTTCAGCTGGGTGATGCAGGCAGCCTTGGTGGTGCAGTAGTTGCCGGCGGTGTGGTGGATCACGGCGTAGCTCAGGGAGCTGGCCAGCGTGGTCTTGCTGGTGGCGGAACGGCCGCCCCACTCTGACTTGGAGATGATGGTCACCCCGAGGACGGCCTGGGCGCAGAAGAGCACGGCAAGAAGGACGAGAGCTTTGTTTGCCATGGTTGCGGATCGATTGTGCCTCCCGTCCGATCGAACCTTATATACTGCCCCCAACAATGCCTTATCGCCTGCGAGCCGATGTCGAGTTCGGGCTGCAATCCGGGTCGTGTGCTTCCATCTGATACGGGGACTATCTGGTGGTCACATCCTGATACGGCGATGACGACGGCCCAATCACGCCTCTAATCAGTCCAAGTGGCAATAATTAATTTGTCTAAGAGGTGGCCATATATTGTATTCATTCGCCGCTTAGGACCTATCAAAACATTACGAATATCTCTTAAAAGCGGAATTTCCAGGTTTAAGTTTACTCCACTATCGTTTTACGTTGTTTCCGACATCGAATACCAGAACTAAATAGTCCTGATCCTACGAAAGAATTTTACAATCAACAACTTATCAAAATCCTGTCGACTGATATTTTGATTCATTTTCAGCGTGACTAGGGTAAAGCCTTTTTCTGGAATGGAATAAATATGTGCATCCATTTTGATCAGATGTCCTTCAAGAGGTCGTAAATGACATCGTCCGGAGTGGGGGGTATATGCACAGTCATCGCGTAAAAATGTGTGTTTCTTTTCCAATTTTGAGAGTTTTACCATTAATTGCCGTATTGCACATTGAGACAAAATAAATATTGGCGCTTCAAAAATGTTATGCTTACATTAAAACACATGCCTGGAAAAAATTCGATTTTATCATCTTATAATTCTCAGACCCAACGGGGGGGGATTGATCCCCCTGATCCCCCCCTATCTACGCCACTGGGTCAGTCTGTCTGTAAGTATGGACGTCGTGAACTATAAGAGCTATAATTCTAGTGGTTTATACGCAGCGAGAGAAAATGAAAAGTAGTACGATGTGCAATAAAAGTTAAGCTTTTATAAAGCTTTAGTTTGGAGAACTGTGACACTTATCCGCTATAAAGCATTGTTTTGAATTCGAATCTTTTCCAAAAAACCATAAAGCTTCATATAAAAAGGAATTCAGACAAGCTTAAAGCAGTGACATCCTATAATGCAGAAAAGTTCCAAAAGCTTTACAGATTTGGTTGTATCGCGGTGTCTAACGTCCAGAAATGTGACATTATGTCTTTAGAAAGGCTTGTTAACTTCCACGAGTCCGCCGATTTAGTAGACCAAATGATTGTTCCTCAGTTGAGTTGTACTTAATTTAACTGCAAGGAAACTAATAAGAATAAAATGTATTAATTAAACATAAACATAATAGAGTGAGCTCTCGTTAAAGATTTTGGCCAGCCACAGGAATCCGTAACAGCCTGACATTTTCTGGTCCAACCATTTATGGATTTTATATAGCCATCTAGAAATAAAAAGTTTTATCATACAATCACTATACAGTACATATATAATACAGTGTATGAATGGGTATAATTTAAGGCTCTTCAGAAAGCAATGAAACTCACGTTTAGCAAACAGTAGAAATATACACAATCAGTTCTTTTCTACTACTATTCAGCCATTTCTCGGCCATTATTATCTCGATTGATTATTTATAATTTATAAGTATTTTTAAAACTTTAGGAATAATAAGGGGCTGATATGAATCTGAAAATGTGATTATAATATTACCAATCAAAGGAGCAAAAAAACGGTTACTTGAAATTCTGATTAGATTACTGTTCATCGGCATTAAGTCCCATACATATATGTATGTCTACGCCTTTATTTCAAATACGTTCCACAAGATAACTTGTCTTAACTGTTTTTTGCCCCTTTTGTGCTTAATGACGTAGATCCAGCAAAACCATTGATAAACTGAACAAAAAACTCAGCGGCTTTAATCTTGGTAGAACTTTGAAGTCATTATGGCAAATTAAGGACAAATGTAGTGTTGAATAGCAAACATAATTGTGGTTTTATATTTCCTTGATGACATTAATATCGGATACACAATCTAAACAACAATAATATTGTTATAAGAAGTGTTTCTAAAAATGATGATGTCCAAAATGTTGACTACTCAATACAACTACTCATTGAATGCTCTATATTCCCTTACAATAAAAATAATAATATCTTAATTTTTTTACAAAATCTGTTTAAAATATATGCGAATTAGGAGTTTGTATGGCTAAATACTTGTGAAATACTTGTAAGTGAAAAATTGATTAGTCATGGGACTACTGATATAAAAGGGGTTTTTTGTTTTCTGAAGTCCATCTTATCAGACACAAGTAGTTGTAGCTGACTTGTAAAAACATCCGTTTCTCGTAATCATAATAGACGAATAGACTGTAAATCTTGATAACTTACTGGTAAATATAAATCCTGAAATACTGTAATAATCTGAAAGTAGGAGATGCCTGGATGCCAAAGTGGTGCCACTTTGTCAACCCACTGAGTCCAACCACCCGAGTGCTTTTCCTTTGGCAGGAAGAAGGTGAATCTCGAAACAGAAAGCTTAAGCAACTTATTAAGCACAAAAGCAACTGAAACTCATTCAGAACTACTTTGTTAACGAGGATGTCGTTAATGAGACTGCGGTTCAAGTGGCGAATAGTTTGCTTTGGTCAGCGACCGATTGTGAAGTTTTCTTCAACTTTTGACCGTATTTATTGTCTCAGTCCAGTTGTGAAAGTTTATTTAACATTTTTATACAAGGGTTACTCTTCAATATGGTTATTCACCCAAGAAAATAACAGAACTGTTCCAAGTTCAGCAAAAGAGTCTGGACGACCTAATGATGTTCTCCAAGTTTTCCTGCCACATATCCTCCAGCTTCAATAAATTTGAAAAGTTTTGGTAAAATGAAACGAATGAATACTTTGACAGCTCGGACGTGACGGTTCGTCTGCAAAACGAAGAAGGATACAGGGAACAGGAGAATGCAACAGGATTTCCCTTTGTCTGCCCTATTCCAGCCTTCAAATCAATTTACTCACTACAGTATAGACCTTGGTTTGATTTTTTATGAAACATTTATTGGTGCTCTCTGAAACCCATTTAACCAGACCAGTGGGACCAGCCGCGGATCTCGTTCCAGATGTGGGTGCCGGGGCACTCGGTGGCGCTGACCTGGCGATGGCCGTACAGGATGTAGCCGGAGCTGAGCTGGCCGCGGTTGACCGCGTCGTTGAGCAGCTGCTGGGCGGCGGAGATCATGTTCGGCTCGAGGGTGTCCCAGTTGAAGTTGCCCAGGAAGCTGATGCCGATGCTGTAGGGGTTCCACTCGGCGGCGTGGGCGCCCATGTTGTTCCAGCCACGGCCCTCGTACACGTTGCCATCGCCGCCGATCAGGAAGTTGTAGCCGATGTCGGGCCAGCCCAGGGAGTCCATGTGGTAGTTCTGGACGCTCTGCAGCACGGCGTTGCACTGGGCACGGGTCTCGCAGTAGGAGCCGGCGGTGTGGTGGATGATGGCGTAGCTCAGGTAGTTGCCCAGGCCCACGGTCCACTTGGGGCCGCGACCGCCCCACTCGGCCTTCGAGATCACGTACACGCCCTGTGCCACGTACTGGCTGCAGACCAGGACGGCCAGGAGGAGAGCCACTTTGGAAGCCATGATTACCAGCTGTAATAGTTGACGATTGCTTGATGGAGATCGCAGGTCGGCCGGGGCGCTTTTATAGCCAACCGCGGTCGAAAATCCCATCTTATCGGGTCGAATTGAATTGATTTACAGCGCTACTCGACGGGACCAGCTCAGATTCGTATTGGGGGAAGCACCTTTGGGAGAGCCTCGTCATAATCTGCTGATTTTGATTTATTCGCTCGGCCATTCGGGTAGGTCCTTATCAGGTCTGGTGGCTGGCCTCGCGCATAATTTTCTTTTTCCAGTTGGTGAGCTTCCTCCGAAAATAAACACCCATTTACCTTCGTCATGGTGAGCTAAGAGACGACTTTTAACGAAAAGAAATTCCATTATTTTCCCAACTGAAACCCACTTTTAGGTTAACAGGGATCTATTTAAAAAACATTCAGGAGTAATCATTCGTAATACTCCAAAAGAAGAAATAAAGAAAAGTGTTAATTTCACAAAGGTTTCCCATTTTATTGCATATAGTATTTTTCGGCATTATACAAGCATTTTGAAATCGATCGAGACTTTTGACACTTGGTTGATTTAATTTCTAACAAGTCTAAAAAACACAGGCAAGTTTGTTGCACAATCTCTGTCAAGTTAACTTACGAATTTTCAAAAATAGTTCTTAAAAGTTCTTAGCTTTGAGTTGCCCAAGAATGGCTAATAGCACGTTTGGTGAGTAAGATGTCCTGTCAGTGGATTGGTAATATACTAACTTAAGGAATTTCATATTAACAGACTTCCTTGACAATTTAAATTTCATGGAAAACGTAAGTGCTTATGATATAAGATGCATTTAAACGTATATAAATACCGATTTGTTACTCCAGATGAGTTGTCTGGCCGTGATGAGTTTTCACTTTGAAAATCGTTGTATAATGGCCAGGCAAATTCCGGACTGCAAATACATTGCCCATTACTTTAATTACTACGAGATGATGTACTGTGCTGTCAAGATAGACAACAAGTTGACTGAAATTCTTGTGATGCTCCTCTTTGGCATAATCTACTGCATTTTCCTCTGCATCCTGTACATAAGCATCAACCAATAGTGAGTTTCAAGCTACAAATGAACAAGCAACAGATCTCGCTCAGTCAATTCTTGCAGCTTTTCACAAACGCTGAAAACCGCTGCCCTCAAGATGCGGATAAACGAGTACATGGCGGGTGTTCTGCTCGTGGGCGTGGCAACTTCAACGCCCGATGTCCTAGTTAACCTATCGCCCTGTAGGGACGAGGCCTATAGCTTAAACATAGCCATGTGCAGTGCCTTTACGATCATCTGTCTGAGCGGAGGCGCCGTGTGCTTCATTCGTCCTTTCAGGATGAATGGTCACAGTATTTGCCGCGACCTTCTTGTTCTCCTTTTCGTCGTGGAGGTGGTGCGACTTTTTGTTGACCTACCGGGTATACCGTCTTGGAAGAAGGGAGTTGGTAAGTCGGCTTTGCCAATAACCTGCAAAATTACCTAAAGTATTATTTTCCAGTGGTACTATGCATCTATCCACTTTATCTACTGCTTAATATAGTCGACCTTCTTCTCCTGCGATACACAATAAAAAGTAAGTATCCAACTTATAACATAGAAGAAACGGATTTGCAACGATTTACTTTTGTCCATAAAGAACTTCGAAGAGAGATTGAAGTTTTAAGACACTCGACATCCTCCAAACATAATGATCAGCATTTGAAGGAAAAAATAATTCTTTTGAACAGTCTTGAGGAAGAAGATGAAATCCAAATACGTGAAACGAAACTGTTCCGTCAGAGATCTGCCAATACCCGTTTCTTTATCACACCAAAACCGCTTATTCATCATAAGGAAGTTGATGTGGAAACGACCAGGACAATCCTCCACAGCGATGCGAATCCAAAAAACCTATTCCTGTTCAGCGAGTTCCTCCAAGCGATTAATCCCATTGACCCGGATGTATGGTACCTGAGCGGTACATGTGCCCGAATCGCACTTGTCCTCAAGTCCCCAATTGTTTTTATTCTAAGACTGACAATTCCATGTGTGGACTATCAGATGGTCAAGCATGGTTGGAGTAAGCTGCTGAATTGCATCCAAATAGTGATAACACCTTTCGTGGTTCTTTGTATGATTCAAAGTATGTATTTACTAGAAAAGGAGTAGAACTCTATCAATTTAATTTATTTTTTGTTGATGTTAATATATAAAACGAAGTTGATTTGCCTGCTTTTGGGCTCACAATATTGACTTATGAATTGCTTATAAATTAATTGTTAATGTACAAGTTAATTATAATATTTTACAAGCTGAGAATGTTGGCTTATTAAAGAACTTACGTAAATAATCACTATTCATCTATTTAATCACTTTTTAACTGAAAGAAGAAAAAGAAAATTTAGCACACCCGTCACTCGTAAACAAAGTAAAAATGTAATCTTAATAGGAATCAAAAGCGTTTAAAAACTTTAAGAACTATAATGTTGCCCTTTCTTTGACCTTTAAAATAGATAAAAGCATTAAAAGTGCAGCACTGAATGCATATTCTTGTGTTGAATACTAAGCGCTCATAATTGTTTTTCAAATGTTTAATTTTATACATTTTTCAATCCACCTCTTAGCTTCAATCGAAGGGACATACTTAACCTGGTATAAAGTTCTTCTTATGGAATACGCGGTATGGTCATTAGTGATAACAGTGCCCTTGGCCATAATTGTGTTTCTCCACTCGCGAACGGACATCCCGCCCCCTATCATTCCGTAAGAGAACCTCCTCGTGGGAATCCTTTAAACACCCCCTTAATACTGTTAGGTTTATGGCCTGCTCACAATTTTCACTGTGATTGTGTACTGTTGGAGTTGTGCCTGGGAAATGGATATCCTGGTGTCGATCATTGGCATTGTTTTCCACCTCAGTCCGTCCTTCATGAGCATCACCTTCAACTCTATGTCTGCTGCTGCGGCAGACCTAATTTACTACGCTCACCTGGCCGAGCACGGATACGGAAAGATGGCTTTCGGGGCCATCGTTGGTGGTTCAGTGTTCAGTAAGTAAATTAAGAGGTAGTAGCGGTAGGTATGACAGAGTGTATCCTTATATGGATGATCTTTCTATGCGTCTGAAAGTGCTTAATTGGTAGAGGGAAGACCCTTTCCCGACCCTAAAAATGCATTATTGTTTTTTAACTAAGAATTTAAGATTTCAAAACTAAACCCCTGGTTTTTCTGGTAAATCAACGAAAACGATTTTAAATATTATAAATTGATTTGGTAGATACATATCTTACACACTTCCACAGGACACTCAAAGTATGAATCAGCTGATGTAGTTTTTGAGAATAATAAAGTCGGTAACATATCTTACAGTTTCTTAGATGATTGTATACACTGGTACCTATAGTTACTTTACTTCTCTATTTTGACTCACAACCATAGACAGTGAATTCAAGTTTCAGTTTTTCTTCCGCAGACGTGGTTTTCAACGTTGGAATGGAGTTGTTGGTGGGGACCAAGCTTGGTTCGCACGGTCAAGTACTTCTGTTCGGAGAAGAGGGCGAGACCATCATATTGTTCCTGGTGATAACCATCTTAACCACCATTTGGTGGTCCTTGACCTTCGACTTCTCTGCCCGTCGATCATCTGGAGTGTTCCTGTGGTGCCTGTTTATCCTGTTCTTCATCTACATATCTGCCATTGAATTTAAGTGGGTGCACGGCTTCGGCGTCAATACGCCCATCCACGCATATTGTGAATTGGACACCAGATTGTAAAATAATATTCAACTTGAGTTTTCTGTGCGCACAATTTATTAAGAAAGGAGTTCGGGTCGGGATCTAACCAGACCAGTGGGACCAGCCGCGGATCTCGTTCCAGATGTGGGTGCCGGGGCACTCGGTGGCGCTGACCTGGCGATGGCCGTACAGGATGTAGCCGGAGCTGAGCTGGCCGCGGTTGACCGCGTCGTTGAGCAGCTGCTGGGCGGCGGAGATCATGTTCGGCTCGAGGGTGTCCCAGTTGAAGTTGCCCAGGAAGCTGATGCCGATGCTGTAGGGGTTCCACTCGGCGGCGTGGGCGCCCATGTTGTTCCAGCCACGGCCCTCGTACACGTTGCCATCGCCGCCGATCAGGAAGTTGTAGCCGATGTCGGGCCAGCCCAGGGAGTCCATGTGGTAGTTCTGGACGCTCTGCAGCACGGCGTTGCACTGGGCACGGGTCTCGCAGTAGGAGCCGGCGGTGTGGTGGATGATGGCGTAGCTCAGGTAGTTGCCCAGGCCCACGGTCCACTTGGGGCCGCGACCGCCCCACTCGGCCTTCGAGATCACGTACACGCCCTGTGCCACGTACTGGCTGCAGACCAGGACGGCCAGGAGGAGAGCCACTTTGGAAGCCATGATTACCAGCTGTAATAGTTGACGATCGCTTGATGGAGATCGTTGGTGAGCCGGGGCGCTTATATACCCAGCCGCGATCCGAAAAGTATGGCATCTTATCGGGTGGCTAATGCCTGATTTACAGCTCTCCCCAGCGGCACATGCTTACATTCGTATTAGGGGAAGACCCTCGGCGTCACAATCTTCCGATGTTGATTTATTCAGCGTTTTATGAAGGTGGTTCCTTTAAATAACTGCTTTATCAACGGATTCCAGTCGACGTGTTGGCTGGCCAAAAGTATGCTGACTTGCTGGAAAAAATGACAATCAAAAGGTGTGTTGTTCTTTTTCCGTCAGTAGGAAACAACATTTTTTTATGTTGCATTGACTTGAACAAAGGAAAGAAACCTAAATATGAACTTAACTGCACTTGACTTCGAATTCGACTACTTTATTAAGAATGTAAGAATGTTTTACGGATTTTTCAAACTAATTTAAATTCTTGTGTTTAACAGATGAGTTGCAGAGCTATGATGAGGCTTCCCTATTCCTATCGTTGCAAGATGGCCACTCAAGTCGCCGATTGCAAGCGCATCATCAACTTCTTCAACTACTTCAGGATGATGTACTGCTCCATTGACATCGAAGACAAGAAGACAGAGGTCGTGTTCATGTTTCTGTTTGTGTTCATTTGCGTGGCCTTTCTCTGGGTGATGTCCTTTAACATCGATACCTAGTAAGTTCTATGAAGCATTGAACATGCCTTTCATAACCTACTGGAGATCTTTCAGCTTCTCACCCGTTCTGAAAATAATCTCCTTGAAGCTCCACATGAACGAGTACCTGGCGGGGATTACCCTACTGGCGTTTGGCAATGCCAGTCCTGAAATTATAGCAAACTTAATGCCAGTAAGAGCCGATGCTCCGATTTATACCATAGCTCTGGGTAATACCTTGGCTATTATTCTTTTGAGTGGCGGGACGGTTTGCTTTTTGAGACCCTTCAAAATGAACGGACATTGCACTGTGCGAGATTTGTTGTTTTTGCTTCTGGCAGTGGAGGTTCTGGGATTTTTACTCATCAAGGAGGGAGCTGCGACCTTGGGAGACGCCTTTAGTATGACCCTGAAACTTATTTGACTTAATAATAGTTTAAATTGGAAATTATCTTTTAGTTCTTTTCTTCATTTACGTAGTATATGTGGCTATCAATGTAGCAGATTTGGCCTTAATGAGATTTCACATGAGAAGTAAGGAGCAGTAAATCCGTACTTGGTATTGTAAAATTCTTTAAACCATTTTTCGTATAGAACTCCGAAAAGAAGTTGCCTACTTGGGGAGTTTATCTCCTCCACCAATGAGGGAATTAGAAGAAAAGCTGCGGAAACTGACTGAATGGGAAGAGGAGGATGACATTCGGATACATGACACCACAAAGACTCGCATGGCCAGGAATGCCAGTAATAATACGTCCGATCCAACGAGAAGTGGCTATTTCACCACCCCGAAACCGGAACGAAGACCTGAAGCCGTCAACTACGAGGCAAATCGAACCAGCCTGCATAATACGGAAAATCCCAAGAATCTTCTACTCTTCAAAGAGTTCTTCCAGTCCCTCAATCCCGTTGATGGAGAAGCCTGGCAGTTGAGTGGTAAATGCTATCGGATATACCTTATAGTCAGATCTCCCCTGGTATTCGTACTACTCATATTTATTCCCGTGGTGAATTACGAAAAGGACAAGCACGGCTGGAGCAAGTTGCTCAACTGCACGCAGATTGTGACGAATCCGTTTGTGGTCATTACCCTGGTGCACTGTAGGTATGCAAAACGATTTAGTTAAACTATGTGATCGTTAATTGCTTGAGTTATTTAGCTGCTGTGTCTAGTGTGTACCACACCTGGTATATAACCCTCAACTTCAGCTTTTCAATGTGGTCGCCGTGCCTCACCATTCCACTGGCTGTTCTCATTTTTTTGCACTCACGGACAGACATTCCACCGATTTATCACCACGTAAGTATTGATATCGAACTCGAATTGGTCTTACCATCTGCCTAGCTGTTTATTATCCTCACCTTTTTCAGTTCCATGGTGACCATCTGGTTTACTGTCACTGAACTGGAAGTTCTCTCTGAGATAGTTGGCATTGTATTTAACCTATCCGAGACCTTTATGGCGGTCACCTTCGAAGCCGTGTCGAATGCCACTCCGGATATTTTAGCCAATGCCCAGTTGGCCATGCAGGGATATGGACGGATGGCCTTTGCAGCTATAATTGGTAGTCCAGTTTTCGGTAAATAAAAAATGAGCATTTCCCTACTTTATTTATAATTATTAATCGAACATTCCAGCGATTTTGATCAGCATGAGCGTAGCCTTCTTCTTCAATCTTCAAGTTCGAGAGAAAGGCGCCAATTTGTGGGTCTACGGCGATCTAGGTGAAAACTGTTATGTATTTCTGGTAATAACCATTCTGACTACATTGTGGTGGAGCATGACCTTTGACTTTTACGCCCGAAGATCCGCTGGTGTTTTCCTTTGGGTGATTTATTTTCTGTTCCTTATCTACGCAGTTGGTGTGGAGTTGGAGTTAGTACATGAGTTTTCCAGAAATCAATATTTTGCACCAATATAATTTGGTAATTAGGAAATACTCATAAAATATGGTTTTGTTGACCCTATACTTTATTTCAATAAAAATATTTTTTTCCTTATTTAGCTTCAATAAACCTTTGAACAATCCGTTGATTGCTCCAATAAAAAATCTCGGATAAACTAATGAAAAATCGCATTCTGTGCAAAACTTCCGCCCATAATCATGCAGAAGCCGACATACTGACTAATTAAGTTAATGAAGTATCATAATTAAAACATTGCCAAGGGAACTGCTTTCGAAAGGCGTTGGCAACAAGCAAAAGAACCCACAGCGGTCCATTGAAATGCAGCGGAGTAGACACTCTTGGCAAACTGTCCTGTCTCGACGCTCCAGTTTCACTGCATAAAAAAGCGAGTTGCATAATGAAGGAAAACCGATGGAAAAGCCGGGGAGAGCTTCTCGTTAATTAGGGTTAAAGTGGCTCGAGGTTGGTGTCCTCTTAACGTTTAAGGGGCGAGTGATTTGTGCGACAATGATACTCGAGGATTTCAGCTCAGACGAATGACTCTGTGAAGGAACCAAGTTAATCGATCAGCGAAATAAGACAATGATTTACTGGTTTAATGGAAATATTTAAACTGCATTGGAAATATTTAAATATTGTTAGGTATTTATTTTATATTGCTTACGCCATTTAATTATTTTATAAAAGTATAAGAATAATTAAAACACTTAACTAGTCAGTCAGTAATATTAAATAAGTTATTGTGTTACTATTTAATGCAATAATTCGTCCGTATATAGAATATTCGTAGGTTATCAGAATTTTTTGTACAATATTCTATTTATTTATTTTGCACACTTAGAACATATTTAAAACTGATAAACAGTTTTTAAAGGGAACCTTTTTTTCTCTGTGCATCACCATAGCCAGCATTAATATTGACTCCAGATGTAAATTTCACTTGCTTCCGGCTATTATGCCACTGCAGCTGAAACATAACCATTAGATTTAAGTACAATTGCATAAACAAGAAGTGCTGGCTCAAATAGGGGAAAAAATACGAAGCGGAAGCCAACTTGCAGTTCCAACTTCAAAGGCGAAAGCCACGCAAAATTCCGGCAGCAATAAAAGCACTCAACTCCCTTAGACTTCCCGTCTATCTGTCTGACTGTCTGACTCTCTGACTGTCTGCCTGTCCATCTGTCCATCCGCTAGACCCTCTATCTGTGCACTTAATGTGACATGTTTTTGCAACAGCTTTGGTTTCTCCTTTCGCCACTCGAGATTCCGATTCCGATTCCGATTCCTCCGCCCAGCAGGAAGCTCCATGGCCATGAGATTTGATGCATTTTGCTTGTTACCAAATTGTTTTGCATTTTCCTCTACGTTTTTACATAGACTTGCAGTGCCGAATTGAATGCAAAAACGAGAGAAGAAGTCCTTTTTCTATGCAATTGGCTTGGTCCTGGCATGATTCGGTGTGAAAGTCATCAAATATTTAAAGTACAAGTGCGGAATCGCATCCACATTGCCAGTCATTGTTTATGCAAGAAGGGAAATTGATTTCGAATGATGTACGAGTATCTTCTGGATAAAACTCTAAACTTTAGTGTTTAATGGGTACTTAGTTCTGGAGCATTCTATTCCTTAACAGCTTATCAGTAGTTTTGTGTTATTATTTCACAAGATTAAATTCGACCGACAAGCCTCTGTTGGCATGTTCATTTGATATCGCTCGTGAATGAATTTATTTATACCGCTGTGGATTGTTTAATGGTCGTCATAAATTTTATAGTATCTTAGGAACGTGCGAGCAATTTTAATTTCGAATAATTATTCTAGACACGTGTTCATGTATCTTTCTTGGTAGATACAGATTTTAAATTATATTTGTTAAATATTATTTTTACTTATTTTTAGCCGCTCAAATTCTGTTCCGGGTCAAACTATTCTTTTTCATGAATCTTTCTTGGTAGATACGGATTTTAAGTTATTTTTTTCCTTTTTTTTGGTAAGAAGTCCAAGCCCTTCTTGCAAACTATTTATAAAGTGGTGCTAAGGAAGCGGGAAACCCTCATCATTTTTCTTAATAAACAAAAAATACCCCAAAAAATGGCAAACATATTTCACGTTGCCGTTTGCAGCCAGCCATTTCCGCAGCAAAACTTTGTGCTGCAGTTGTCAGTTGGTTAAATGGAAAAAATGAAAAGACCAGCCAGGGCCACATTTATTTATGGGGCGAGAACGCACCATATTAAATAACTTGAAACGGAAGATTTATGCCTGGAGACGGCCTGCAGTTGTGGACTCCCCTTATACGGCTGGCCATAAATTGCCGCTTAGCATTATAACTCAATTAGCAGGTGGATCGGCGTATTGCGTATACGCCGGGTTGCACGGCAGCAACAGCCGCATTTACAGCTGTACCAGTGAATTATGCAAGCCCTAATTAATGTCAAGCGGCAGGGGAACCCCGGCTTCAGACTGCTGTACTGCTTTAGTTGCCATTGTAGGTCACTTCCCGCCCAGTCCTGTAAATCCTTTGGGCGTGGCCTGTGTGCACTTGTTGTTGCGGGCTAATGAATCGGCTGCCAGGAGTCTTGCCTTCGTGTCTGCGGCTCGCCGGCAATTAGCGCCGACTCACACTCGACTTAACCGCCTTGTCATCGCAGAGGTGCAGCAGCAGCTTACAGTCAACATGGCGTACTGGCAATCCCATTGCCCCACTGCCTTACATCCACTACCAACTTTAAACTTAAGCGAAATCCTTATACGCAAGTACGTTTACTTCATAATATTGATTAATTTATTCAGAATAACGTGAGCAACTAATTTAAAGTTTTAATCTAAATTTAAAGCTAGTATGCAAATAATTCATGGGCTCAATAAATTATTTCAAGAGTATTTTTTTTAACAACCCCACTGCCTTACATCAACTACCAACATTAAAATTGAAAGCATGGTTAGCAAGTACACTTTTGTAATTTAATACAATTGAAAAATTAATTTGGAATAATATGAACGGAAGAATTACATATCATATTTTAATTTAAAGCAAGTAAACTAATGGTAAAATTAGGTCAAAACTTTTTAAACATTTTTTTTTATACCATGCAGAGGGTTTTATAACAATGCTAAGACGTTTGCAAAACCTTTAAATTCACAACATATATAGTATATTTATAAAAACAAGCATGATTTTTGGCAGATGATGTTTTCTAATCAATTTATTATTAAATCGCCGTTAGTCTTTATCAGAAAATTATTATTTTTGGAAAAAATTGTGGAGGCCCTATGCTCCCGGGTGGAGTGAAGAAGGTAAATTTTAATTTAAAAATAGAAAAATCGCACTTAGCTCGATCTACTAGTATATCATGTAGCTTCCATAGAAGAAAAATAGAAAATGAATAGATAATTTGACATAACTCAGACGTACTAGAGACTCAGACGTGTACACACAGTTTAAATTTTATTTCTTCTTATTAATTTCAGTCTAGACGTCCCCGAAAGCAGCGTGAACTGGTCTGTCCCTAGTAAAGGAATGTATGCATCTACTATTGATCAAGATTGCAAAGAGCAGGTAGATACAGTAAAAGACTATACAATAGATTCCCACGGAGCGCCGTGCATAAAAGCCCAACGTGGTGGACCACAAAAGTATAAGGAATAGGCCAAGGATAAGAAAAGTGAAGGCGTTTGCGCCGTAATTGCCCATTTGGTTTTCATACATGAGCTCAAAGCCAAAAATACGTTTGACGTAGAGCACAGTGTTCGCCGAAAAAATAACAGCTGTGGTGGAGTCAGATATTATTATTAAGCTAAGAGTTAATATTGGAAAGGCTCACTGAAGAAGGGTCCTCCGATGGCAGAGGCGTAGCCCATCCGTGGATAGCCATGCAAGGCCATCGCTATGTTGGCAATCAGTGGTCCCAGACTTCCCGTACAACCCTTCACAGTGGCGCCCATGAAGTCGTCTTCGATGTGCATTGTGTGTCCTATCACCTCCAGGACCTTATCTATTTCCGTGGCGCACACAAAGATGATGAACATGGAACCGGTCAGGTTCATTATGGTAAAGACCTGCGGATAAGGTTTTTTGTTTTTTCTAATAAAAACAGCTCGTTCTATTAGAAATCTGCGCTATTGCAATATTGAGACTTTGCCATTTTGAAATGTTCGTATGTAATTACCTATGTTCGTATTAAAGTGAGTAAAGTGAGTTTCGATAAAGATTAAGTAAGAAATAAATGTTTGTCTAGCATGAAAAATAAACCTACTTTTTAAGGATTATACTTTTAAGCGAATATATGTTTAATAACTTTTAGAAAATTAAACCAGTTTTTGAAATATTTTGCATTACATTTGCCACTCTGATTTGTGGGCTTTGATTATAAACCCTCCAAGCACGCCCTTATTTACCAATTTCGTGAAATGAATACATAAAATACTATATACCTATTTAATATGAATGTTTTGGTTGAATTGAAGATAATTTGAAGCTCACCCAGTGGTAAGGTGGTGGCAAATCGGTTCGGGATTTGCGAAACATAACCAAGGCTATTGGCAATGTGATGAGCAGCGAGTAGAGTCCGTAAATGTATTCTGTGCCGAGGGAACTGTACCAGAGCTGTTCGCGACTGCAGCTAATCAAAGCTGCCGGAGGATAGGATTGGTTAACGGAAAAGTGAACAGGAAGTGCCTGCTGCCACTAACACTTAATTACAATGATGGACATCGCCGGATTCAGCACGACATGAATGCAGTTCAAGAGCTTGTTCCAGCCATGTTTGTCCAGTTCGTAGTCCACCAGGGGAATGTAGACAATGCAGATGACCACGCCCGGAACCTGAACCACCATCATGGCCCGCTCGATCATGTTGGCCTTCCGCCACTTCACACAGGTGATCGGTCTCAGGGCCACAAAGAAGTCACTAAACAGTCCCCAGTTCGGGCCCCTCGTTCTGTTGTACAGTACATTTCGAGTGGCTCTCCTGTCCACGCTGATGCGAGTATTTAGGGTCATTGGCCTTGTCGTGTAACGCATCTTGTTTATGGTCGGACCCGAGCTGCTCCTCTCGAAAATCTCCACTCGAGCATTTTGGGAGTACGCCTCTCGTAGTTTCTCCAGTTCTTGTAGCCGCTTTCGTTTGGCTGGGGTCACTTTCCCATCCAAGATGGCATCGATTTCAGCATTTGTCTCTAGGGTGCAAGACTGTCAGTATCTATTTACCAACATTTAAATAGAAACCGAAAAAGCTTACGCTTTAAAGCCCTCCGGATTAGGTACACATCTGTTATATTCACTGCTAAGTAAAAAATGTAAACCAAAAACATAACTAAACGTAAAAGGAACGTGTTTCAGTATAGAATGGTATAAGGTTAATAAGCGTACATATGAATTCTCCCTCTGCTAGGTGAGATCCGGACTCCAGGAAGTGTTCAAACACCATCAAACTAAAAATTAGGAACAAAATGTCCCGCGCACTTTCGTAGGCGTTCATCTTGAAGGGACACATGTAGCAGATCAGGCCACCAGAAACCATGGACACAAACAGGGCTGCCGCAAAGCTGTTGGCAACCACCGGCACGTCGGCATTGACACTGGCCAAATTGGAAAAGAGGTCGGCTGAGCTGTTACCAAAGGCCAGCAGGGTCACGCCCGCCAAGTGTTCGTTCATATGGAGGAACATAGAAACGGCCTTCAGAGCAGGACTGTAGCTGGAATAATATTTAAGAATTTATTTACCCGTAAAAAAAATGTTTAACACATATTTAATCAGTTAGCGAACCCATTTTCATGTTACCTATATTAAATTCTATTCTAATTTCTCCTAGCCTTAAGTTTTATTTAAATAATGTCAATTATCAGGATAAATTAATTTAATGTTAGCTCTAAAATAATTATTCTCAAGTACAAGATATTATATATTATTACAAAATATTATAGGAATATCCATAGTTACCAAATGTTATAGTAAAAAGGAAACCCATTCTAAGGAGTTTTCCAGAAGTACATAGTTCTTATTTCTTTAATATTTTTCAAAGATTTTTGAAATACTATTTTACCTGCAAGTTATAGAATATGAGTAATGATTGCGTGCCCTTGCGAACTTGAGGTCAAATGATAAGATAGCAATACTTTGGATCGGTACTCACTAGTTGGTGCAAACGTTGATCAACAGGAGCAGTATCAAGAAACAAAGGAGCACAAAAAATGTGAGGAAGACCAACTGCTCGAATTGGTTGACGCAGTTGAGGTCGCAGGCCAGGAGCCTCATGTAGGGCACCAAGTTTGTGCTCGAGTTGCAGTTCTTGGCCTTCTTTACGAACGCGCACCTCTCCTCAAAGGGGAAATTATTGGCCACGAAGCAGCTGACGTTGTCCCAGAAGTTTTCAAACTGCTTATCCATTGCATTGGGGACAACTTCATCGGATTGCCCATTCTGGTTGATGTCCATTGCAGTGTTGTTTGTGTAGGCAAATTAAAGTCTTTAAATCGAGTGACATGTTTTCTAAACGATTTTCAACAGGGTGTGCAAGTCTACTATGTGAGAAGATAGAGTACTCGTATTTGTATAACCATCGAACAATTTTTGCGAAACACGAAAAATCCCTGAATATTTTCCATTCTATTGCTAATTAAAAAATGTTGAATATATTTTTGTTGTTTTTTATCAGATCGACTTGATTTCTTCTAACTGCTATTGAATTTCGGAATAAATTTTATCAAAATCTGATCACTCCATCATATAGCTGTCATAGGAAAGATAAAAAAATAGATATATAAATAATGAGAAAAAAATTATAACGTCGATTTTTATAATCCCACAAGTATGATTTTCAAAATATGTAGTTTTTTAATAAGTTTTTTATCATATAGCTGCCATAGGAAATAACGGAAATAAAATTATAGCATCGTTGTTTTTTATCAGACAGGCATGATTTTTGGAATATAGAGTTTTCTAACCACTACTAATTACGAATTAAATTGCATCTAAATCGGACGACTATATCATATAGTCATATAAACAATAGTCGAAAATATGGAAAGTTAATGGAAATATCGTCATAGCTTCGATGTGGTTTAGCCTTTATGTATTTTCTTTTACATATTAGATGACTGCTTGACTTGATGACTTCGGCTTACCGAAGCTTCCTTTCTTGTTATATTATAAAATTTACAAATGAAATTAAGATTTGATAGATTATCTGAACAGAAAAAGTTCTCTACAGTCCATCGTTGGATCTTCCAAGTAAAAGAGGAACTACCTGTTTGGTAAAGGTGCCCAAAACCCCGACAAGCCGGGGGATAACTGACACTTTTCTTTTGGACAACTCAAAAACAATTCCAAATTGGAGCCAATTAAGAGAAAGCTGACCCCAAGCCGCCAGTAGCTTGCTGCTTCGATCGGTGGCATTGGATTGAAGAGGACTCCTGGGCAAAATGGTCAGCCAGTTGCCCGCCCAGTCCGCCCATCTCGCCAAGCTCGCTCCATCCGGTCCGGTGTCCGTTGCCGTGGTCAGCAACTTGCAGAGGCCTCGTTCGAGTTCCCGCCACAGGACACTCGTCGCGATCCTGGTCTCCAGTGACCTGGGAGCCTACATCAGGAGTCTTGCGGCAAACTTGGCCGCAAAGGTATGGGCGCTTTTTCGCCCGGGTCTGCAGGTCACCTACAAGAAGGTTCCATTGTCTCCGGAGTTGGAACGAAAACTGGCCGAGATGAGCAGAAAGACGCTGGTGCTCGACCTGGACGAGACCCTGGTACACTCATGCTACCTCGATCCCGATACGCACGAAAATGTGGGCTGCCATTCGCTGCCTGAAGGCGCCAAACCGGATTTCTTGCTCAACGTTACCCTGGAGGGGATCGAACCAATAGCCTTCCAGGTCTTCAAGCGGCCGCATGTCGACCAGTTCCTGCACTTTGTGTCCCAGTGGTACGATTTGGTGATCTACACCGCCAGCCTGGAGGCCTATGCCGACCAGGTGGTGGACTTACTGGACGCGGGACGAGGCATTATGCCCCGACGCCTCTACAGGCAGCACTGCCGCAACTTCTCGCCGCTGGTCACCAAGGACCTGACCCTGGCCAGTCCGGACATGAGTGGCACCTTCATCATCGACAACACGCCGTTCGCCTACCGCGATTTTCCGGAAAACGCCATTCCCATCAAGTCGTTCATCTACGATCCGGAGGATACGGAGCTGCTGAAGCTGCTGCCCTTCCTCGATGCCCTGCGATTCACCAAGGACGTGCGCTCGATCCTCGGAAGGCGAGTGGTTGCCACCTCCCAATCGGTTTTGGGAGCCAGACCTCGCGAGTCACGTCCTTAAAAATAAAGTAACAATAAACAAGTCTGGTTTTCAACAAATTTATATTTTGCAATTTTCTTAAAATTTGTATTACAAAATTCTATCAATGTTTTTCAAGCCTGCAGTATTCTTGTACCACACAATTAAAATTCTTTTAAGTTATATTAATTTCAAATGAAAGATGCCTTATTGTAGTGGATAATGTCACAATAAACTTCAAATTCAGTTAGTATTCATACATGCATACATGCTTAGCTTGCGAATTAGTAGAGAAATTGCTAAAGAGACTTAAGTCTCTTTCTATTAATATTAGTCAATGAAAATAATGTTTTAATATTGCAGTGTTACTTTGTTTTCATTTCAAGCAAATAGTAAATTCCAACTAGATTGTATGTTTATATTAAAAACGTGTTCCATGCTAATTGCAGGTCATTTATCCTTTAATCAACCCAAGCCGTTTGAGACACGGCCAAAAGCAACAGCATATGAGGCAACCTCAGCACAGATGCATTTTATTGCTCATACGCCAGGTGGGCCGGCTGTGTTTTTTGCGCTTGCCGTGTGTGCGAGCAGAAGTTCGGGGAACACCGACTGCATGCAAATGCCGGAGCGTAATGATGTTGCGGCTTTTTGACTTTACACGGCCACAGCAAAAGCCACAATTCTGAGCCACCTGATGCCATCCGCCTGCCGCCTGCCGTGGTGGAAAGTTGCAAAAGTTTAAATTGAATTCTTAATTATTGCGCACACGAGGCTGCAATTTTAATGCACACAGTTTTGGGGGCAAACCGAAATGTTTAGATAATAATTCAGCTTTCCTGCAAATTGTCAAATGCGCACCGGCTACGGAGAGAGTCCCATGATAATTTTATTTTCCCCTATTTTTTTTTGGGGGGATCAAAGAGATTCATGCTGGCCCTGGCTGATTTATGTGAACGTGTGCCCGGCAAATTTTGATTTGTAGCTCCATAAAATGTTTCAGCTGGCAGACGAGCAAAAATGAGCCGAAATTCATGAAACAGTAGCTATGGCAGGCACGGTTATTGAAATCCAGCAGATAACTTTGCGCAGGAACAGGCAGTGCACAGTTTCAGTGGCAGTCAACGGTGCGTATGAGCAATCAGTCAGCCAGTCAGTGAGTCAGTTAGCTGCCGATATCAGAATTCTTTATGCTTCGCCTAGTGTAAATTGGCATAGGTCCGGAGCGAACTTTAAAGCTTAAGCCCAAAAGAAAAAAACAATTCAATTTTGTAAATGTCTTCCCAAAATGAAATACCAAATTGTGAATGATGGCAATCATTAATAATACATCTTAATGGTAGGCTACATACATACTATAGATAAAATATAGCTACGGGTTTTCCTTGCCTCTATTCTCTGTTGTCCTGCGGTTTTAATTATTCCTGCCTTCCCCAAGGTTTTCTTGTTTGCCTTGCTTAATTTGCTTATTAGCCGGAAAATGTGGTAACTTGCAAATCGAGAAAAAGTGACTCTCTAATTAACTTTTTGCATTGCAAATGAAACTGTGCGGCTTTTAAGCTTCTCTCAAAATAAACAAAGCGAAGGAGGCGCTCGTAAACTATATGTAGTCCATTCTAATTGACTGTGAGTCACTGGAAATAGTTGATTGTTCGTTGTGGTTTTTTCAACTTGGCCCTAGACCAATTAACAATGCAAATTGATATGGCCAGGCAGCCGAGGGGAGTTGCCAGCAAATAAGTGATTTCGTTTAGCCCCCAACCCTTAATTTAAGCCGCTCCGAAGACCTTCTGCAATCAGAATCAGCGGCTTAAGCTGCACATAAATCTTGCATTGAATGGCAGGAGAGCTTTCACCTGCACCGCCATAAATTTCCATTTTTCACTTCCAGTGCCACCACTCAATGTGGCTTAAACGCCAGAACGACAACGTTTTCGTGAGGACGAATGGAGTAAGTTGCTTAAGCAAATTGTTCCCATTTCGGTGGCAATAAAGGCTTTGGCTTGTGCCAGCAACGTCAATAAAAATTAGTTCATTCGTTTTATTACCTTTGCCTTTGCCAAAAGAAAGAAAGCAGAGCAATTAATTTAAATGGATATTGGCTTATGTGAGCCAAATTTGAAACCTATGTGTTACTCGAACTTGACAGCCATAAGATATTAAATTTTGAAAAACAGGAAATTCTTATAATAGAAATATTTTATTTCATTACTTCCATATATGGTTTAAATAGATTACTCTTATTAATGTCAGCAAATCTTAAAAATAATTTTAATTACCTTCACAAAATAAATCGCACTGAATTTTATAAAATCGCAAAAATATATTTTAATAATTTTTAATTTTTTTTTAAGTTTACTTAATAGTTTTGTTTGTTTTCAAATTGTAGTTTTTTAGTTAGGTCAAATATTTGTAGAATATAGATAAAGGAAAATTCGAGTTTCTTTGCGGGGGAATTTTAGGCGATTCCCATTTGGAGTGTACTTTTAAGAAAATAGAAGTTTTCTTAAGAAACCCAATCGCATAAAAATGAAATCAAAACAGTCACAAATATAAGTGATACTATTTAATGTGTGGTTCCGATAAAGCTAAGCTTACGACCTAACCTACAAGCCATCAATTAGCGGGAAGCCGCTCTTCACCACCTGCTCGTCGATCCAGCTCCTCAGAAGGGAGACGTTCACATAGGCGGCGGGCACGTTCTTCTCGGCGCACTCGATGCCCCAGGACACGAGGCCCGCCAGCCGGAAGCGGTCCTTCTGACCGGGCAGGGAGCAGAAGAGTGGGGAGCCGCCGTCGCCCATGCAGGTGTCCTTGCCCTCCTCCCCCCGCCGGCGCAAAGGATGCTCGCGTGGAGCTTGAAGCGACGCCCCAGGATCGTGTGGCGCAGCAGTCGCTGACAGGACTCGTGGTCCACCACCGGCAGCTCGATGCGCTTCAGCAGGTTTTCCATGGCGGGGGAGGTGATTTTGCTGTATCCCCAGCCGGTGGCGAAGCAGGTGGCCTCCTGCAGCTCCTTGTCCAGCTGGGGAGACGCCTCCGGCGGCAGGCAGATGGGCTGGATGTGCGGGGCCAGGTGGAAGGGTCGCTCCAGTACCACCAGGGCAATGTCGTTGTAGAACGTAAGCTTGTTGAAGTCCTCGTGGCGGCGCAGCTCGCTGATGGCGCGCATCTGGTAGGGATGAGCCTCCGTCTGACTGTTCAGATCCCACTCGCCCGCCCGCGCCACCAGCGAGTCCTCACTGTAGTTGGCCACGTTGTGGCTGCTCGTCAGCACCAGCTGTGGATGGATCAGCACGCCGCCACAGACGAAGTTGCCCACCATGTCCATTAGGGCCACCATCCAGGGGAACTCGGCGAAGTAGGACTCGCCGTCGTTGTAGCCATCTAATTGGTAGTAGAGACCCTTTGGGTTGCTGTAGCCGCATCCTTTGGGCCGGAAGTCCTTCAGATCATGATGCATGGGGTTATGACCCTCATCGATCTAAAAAAAAGAAAGCACAGGGGATGATTTGAAAAGGTCAATTAGGAAGATGTATACAGTATTATAAGTCATACTGTTATTACAACGAGTATAAGTTTAAATTTTAAGTTTGCTCAAAAATTTCTCACATTAACCCATTGAAAGTTCTCAAAAACATTTAAATTTGCATACAACAAAACATACTACATCTTGTTGTACAAACGTTTTAAATTTCCAAACTGAGTTTATAAGTTTACCAAATATAAATAATCAAGCTTGAGCTTAAATAGGAATAAATAAATCAATAATTTGTTTCCAAGATTTTGGAAGCGACAAATAACAATAACCTTTTTGAAATAAACAAATAATAAACGAAAAATAAATAACAAAGTGCAAGATAGTCCAAGCATTCTTTCAAAAATCCCAACCCATAATTATCTGCGCTCGTGGGTTGAACTCGATTCTCGAAGTGACCTTACAATCTACTAAAATAAAACCGCAATCAGTTTTATAATTCGGGTGTCACACTTGCCTACCGAAAATATTATTTATGGGCTTGTGCTTAACAAGTTACTTATTTCTAAAAATTTTTTTTTTTTTTAAGTTAAGTTTATATTTGGAATAAGTTTGCAATTAATAAAACAAAGTTTTATATTAGATATTTATGCTCATTGGCACTGACTTCTGAAATTTTCTTAATTAAAATGATGCCCATGGGAGTAAAAATACTTTAAAGCTAGGCTATTAATAAACACCTGCGTGCCCATTTTTTAATAAGATTAACTTTGTTGTCTATTTCTGAAAACATTTGCTGTATCTCAGAACTCTTTAGCAGTATTTATGATGGTTGTTTTGTCGGATTTTATGTCAACAAGATTTGATTGTGTTTTTATTTTCTTTGAAAGAGATTTTGGTGACAATAATATTTAAGCTGGCAGAGTTTTACAATGTTTACCTGCTTATATTTAGCAACACATCACAGGAGCACAAATATTTCTGGGAGACTGGATGACTTCTTACCTGATCTCCCAACGGACAGCAGTGTTCCACAGATCGGCAGCCAAAATTACTGTCGGCGTTGATGCGCGGCTTAATGATGAATCGCCCGTCCTCGTTGACCACTCCCGTTTTGCAGAGATGACGAGGCACACACTCCCTCTGAATGCCGCAACTTTTATAGCCAATGTCGGGCGCAATGCTGGCCTTTGGTGTCTTATTCACAGCGATGTCTAGGGGGTCTTCCAAAGAGCTCCAGGGGTTTCCCTTGCGCTGGTTGCGGAGCTCCGCTTCTGCCTCGTGGGCGAAGAAGCTCTCCAGCTGCTCCTTGTCGCAGCAGACCACTCCGCGCCCGCAACTGTTGTCCAGAATGCGCTTGACCAGGATCCCCTTGCCGGAGTCATCCGTCTCGTCGCACTTTTGCTTGCTAATACAGATCTCGTGGCTCTCGCAGGTGCGGATTGAGAAAGCCACCGATGCGAGGGAAACCAGCAGCAGGCCGATCGCCAACACTAGCTGCACTTGCATGGCTGTGACTGGAATGGGAAACAACTCGCTAATTCACAAAGTTCATACGCCCCGTGGTCCGCCAAACAATGAGCAGCAAACAATCGGTGAGAAATCGGAACAATTCCAACTCACGCCTTACAGTTCAAGTGAATCAATGCGCAATATGTTTTGAATTACGTTCAAGAGCCGCGACACGTTTTCGACTGACTTCGACTTCGACTGACTCGCCGAACGATCTGCTGTGTTATGGGATCGAAAAACTCTGCTCTCCGGAGATCATTAAAACCATCTAATTGCTCCCAATCATTCTTCTCTCGCTAATTCAGATTTTGGATTCTCTTCCGACCTACACTTCTCAGAATCTCACAAGCCGGTTCTATAAATGTTTTGAGTTCAACTCTAGCCATTCAGTTGAAAGTGCAAATCCCGAGCTATTAGATTGTCATCGGATGTGTTATTAATTTTAATCTCTATCTTCTAAAAGAACATATGCTATAAAAAAGAACTGGTGTAGATTAATTAACTAAAAACTTCTATGATTTAATATTTATGCAGTAAAAATTTGTAGAAAGTTACAGGATCACTCCTACAAAATGCAGACCGATGAAAATCTGTTGTTCCGTGGCCCAATATGCTTTTCTTTAATAAAAGAAATAAATAACGTTTTTCCAGATGAAGTTTACACGAAATCGACAGAAATATATATATAAAGCTGGCACCTAAATGAAATTTCGCCAATATATCTATCTTTTAGGCATTTTTTTAGAAATTTCACACAGATCATGCACTGACATATCTTGTCGGTTTACAACTCGGGGATACCCACTATAAAATACTCCTTACGCATTTACTTGTCAGGGATGGGAAAACCACACTGGTTGACTTAAGTCATTAGTCTCCCACTCGGCTTTGTTTCTCTTACGATCTGCGTCGCTCAGAATCTCGTAAGCCGGTTCTATAAATGCTTTGAAATTTACTCTAGACGCTCAGTCGTCTTTGTGAATCACAAGCTTCAAGATTGCCTTTGGATCGGTTTCATCTATCAGTACTTACTAATCTCCGGAAGTATATAGGTAATGCGCTTATATAGTGCTACATATGTGCATACAGCCGTAAACTATAATGTGTAAAATGAATCGCCGAGGCAACAGCTGATAATAAATCAGTTTCAATGAAAGCGCTTCATTTGCATTCGAGCTTATATAAAAACAAACTTGCTGCAGTTCCGTTTCAAGACTTCAATGGTGGAAAAATGCAAATAAATTAAAGTTAATGTTATTTTTTAAGTGCTTAAGTGAACATATAATATAGAATATAATATTGAAAAAGTAAATAATATTGGAAATAATAAATTTATTTGGATTTCAAAAAGTGCAAATCTGAAATGTGCGAGTTCCCAATACGAAATGATTGTTTATGGTGTTTTTGTTGTATAAAAAATTGAAGTTCTTGTTTTTTTATAGTCCTAGTAAAATAAATTGGTAAAACAAAGTCTGAAACTAATTCCTTGCCATGTTTAAAAAAATAATATAATAGATATAGATAATATCTACATTTTTTACCTTTGATCAGCCAGCGGCTAACGAAACAAAGTTATCTGAGGCATAATTAAGAGAGATTCTAAGGTTGTTTTGTTTTTTTTTTATGGATTTGTTTTTAAATTTTATTATGCGTGCATCTGTATAGAAACAAGTGAGAACTGATAACCTCCGTTGTGCATTGTTTGAAATTGAGCTTTTGCTTATCTCTGTGTTTGCTCCAGTTTCCCAACCACCAAGATGCACTGGATGATCTCAGTGGTGTTGCTCCTGTTGGCTCTTAACTCCGTTTCCGAGGCCCAGGACACCATTTCGGCGATGTGTCGCCGGGACGAACTGTGCACCACTATAAAGCGCTGCGAGGATTCGGATGACTCCGGGAAAAAGGGCATTGGTCCGCGGATAAACCGCTTCTGCGGCATTGGGAAGATCTGCTGCGAAAAGGATCAGCTGGACACTTGGGACAGCCTGCAGAGCTCCAGAGGTCAGCCAGCCCGCTCTGTGGCCCCCATACGAGATAAGGTGTCCGTTCTGGAGCCGCCGCCAAACGAGAGTTGCGGCGTGAACAAGGAGTGCGTGCCCAGGAAACTCTGTCGCGACAACATCATCAACGACTCCGGCATCAGTCTGATCAACCCCAGGATCAGCTCGATTCAGTGCAGCAAGTCCTTGTACCGCTGTTGTGCTGTCGACCAGCAGGTAAGTCTCTAAATAGTTATGGGTAGAGAAAATGTACCCGATCACTTATCAATGTGTTCTATATTATGATTAAAAATTCTAAGAATTAAAACAGATATTATATTACATATATAACATTAAGAGATTAATTTAGAAAACTATATTTAGACTGCTTTTCGTACGAATCACTTTTTGTAAACTACTTAAGATTTATTCTAAAGTATTATCTTTTTGACAACTAACAAAACCACAGCAAAACTTCTTAAAAAGGCTATCTTTTCTGCATTGGCATTACTTTTTGCCACTCTAACAAATTTTATTTATTAATGCTTTTTTTGAACCGTAATTTTAGTACTATGATAACTTTTAAATGAAACCTTTTAACAATAGTAATAATCGTTCTGATACATTGCGCTTTCTGTGTTCGGTTTTACGACAATCATCATCATTGATCATCAAAACGCAAACATCTGTGCATTCGATATCCACTTTTGGTTGAAGCTAAGTAATCCTCTTTCCAGGTGGAAGCCAGCCAAAGTCCTTATGTGCAGAAGCAGGCCGACTTCAAGTACAAGAACTGCGGCTACAGCAATCCGCAGGGCTTGATCCCCGACAATGACAAGTTCAACTACACGGAGGACGTGTCCATTTTCGGCGAGTTTCCCTGGGTGGTGGGCATCTTCACCGGGCGGCAGGAGTTCCTGTGCGGAGGCACCCTGATCCACCCGCGGCTGGTGGTCACCACCTCGCACAACCTGCTCAACGAGACGGTGGACACGCTGGTGGCCAGAGCAGGAGACTGGGACCTGAACAGCCTGAACGAGCCGTACACGCACCAGGGCAGCCGCATCAAGGAGATCATCATGCACCCGGAGTTCGATCCGGAGCGGCTGTACAACGACATAGCGCTGCTCCTGCTGGACGAGCCCATCCAACTGGCGCCCCACATCCAGCCGCTTTGCCTGCCGCCTCTGCAGTCGCCGGCGGTGATCGAGCAACTGCTCACCGCCACCTGCTATGCCACCGGCTGGGGCGCCAAGGAGGCGGACAGCGAGAAGCTGGAGCACGTGCTCAAGAAGATCAGCCTGCCGCTGGTGGAGCACGACGAGTGCCAGGCGAAGCTGAGGAACACCCGCCTGGAGGCCCGCTTCCGTCTGCGACCGAGCTTCCTCTGCGCCGGCGGCGATCCTGGCAAGGACACCTGCAAGGGCGACGGCGGATCGCCGCTCTTCTGCACGATGCCCGGCGAGAGGGACCGCTACCAGCTGGTGGGCATCGTCTCCTGGGGCGTCGAGTGCGGCGTCGAGGACATTCCGGCCGTGTACGCCAACGTGCCTTACCTGCGCGGCTGGATTGACGAAAAGATCCGAGGACTCGGCATCACACTGCCAACGCAGTAACATAACATTCACAACTGTGTAAAATATATGAAAATAAAAAACGTTGTACATTAAATAAGCCCAATTAAGAAAATTCAATTTGAGACGGATGTAAACGAAAAGAATGGTAAGGAGTCGCTTAATATCATTGCTTGGCAATAACTTTTTCTGAACCCTTAGTTAACGATGAACAGGTATTTCCTATATAAAATTAAAGTTAATTTCAAGTAAGAAACCTTTAATTTTTAAGTAGAATTAACACAAACTACAAATTTTTCAAAAAGAAAAGTTTCAGTTGATAAAATATGTTGCTCTAATCTTATTAAATCAATAACACATTGAATGAATATACGAAAACTTCTTGTATAACAACGTAAATTAAATGCCGATGGCAGATTTGCCTAAAATTGAGTTCCATTTTAATATAAATTAAAATATGTATATATAAAGATTAACTCATACACACAATTTTGCAGTTAGTTTTTAGTGAAAATGGTAAAACAAGATTTAATGAATTTATTTGGCATTAATATAAGTAGCACTAGTAGTGTAAAGTAATTTCTTATCAAGCTCATTCTCCCTTATTAATTCATTCAATCTCTTATCATTTACAAGCATTATCCGCTATCTGCTATATCCGCCATTCATCACGCCCGGCCAAACTAAAGCGCCGGGATAGCTTTCCATCCAGGCACTTAACTCGAACATACCTCCGAGTCACTCGATTTATTGCCATCTTGAACAAAGGAGCTCAGCAGCGGGAAATTCGAGTCGCGGAGGAGAGCGTCTTCGTGCCGGCAGCTTATAAATAGTCAAGTCCTGGCAGATGGCTATGTGGACCGTCCTCCATTTGACACCCCCTTCCCCTTTGCTCCTCCTTTGCATCGCAGCCATGGAACCAAATTAACCAGGAGGCACTCGGGAATTGGGAAACAACAGAAGCAACACATCGCATGGCCGAAAATTGAGAAATTACACGCTGGGCCCGGAAAATGGCTGAACGAATTGATTTTCGGGCTGCCTGCAGGTCCTGTTCCTCCTTCAGGACCTGCTCCTCCTGGTCCTCCAACTCCAATGGTTCCACTATTCCTTGGCCAAGTGCTGTGCTAAAAACTCATTTCTCAAGTAAATTGTTTAAGTTTCGTTTTGTTTTACGTTGCTGTAATTTATTGGCCATTTTTACGGCCCCCGCGTTTCGTATTGATTTTTTGGTTCAATTTAGCGACTAAGAACTGCACTTAGCAGTGGAGCTACTGCAGCTGTTTTGGCTTGGATTAGCTAACTATCAATTGCCAAGTGCTGCAATTTATATATTGCTTCTTATTCTTCAATGTAGGTTTGTTTAAGCGTTGAAATGGCATATGCTGAAGAAAAATCTAAACCACTTTCTACATAGTTAAAATTGAAAATAATAATTCTGATTGTTTCTTCAAATAAAAACTGAGCTAACTAAAAAATGTTCACCGAGATTACGCTGTTATTCAGCCTTAATTAAAAGTCAACTAACGCGTTTTAAACTTTTGTCAATGAATTAAGATAGCTTTGTTTGACGATTAGAAAAACAGTGGCGCGATACTTTTATGTTCCTGCATTTACAGCTCGTAAATTTGTGCAAAACAATCAGTTTCCCAAGAGTGGGCTAATAAATAATAAGTTTTACTCTCAGTACTTGAAGAATACTTATCGCTGTGAAGTTAAGGAGATTGCTTATCGGCTGGCACTTAAGTACAGATTTTATAAAGCTGCTTATTAATCTACTAAATGTTAAATAAAATATACACAGGAATAGCAGAACCTTTCAAAAGGTAAATAATACTTTAAAGCAGTATACTTTATGTACACATAAAGTACAAAATGAAATAAAATAATTGAAAAATGCATTATGTAAATTAAAGAAACTTAAAGTTTTTGCCTGCTATTTATTGATGTTTAATCTTTTTAGTAGGAAATGCCGGTGTGGTCGCGGATCCAGTCGAGGTAACCGGTGACGCGGGTGAATCCGGCGGGCCTGCCGGCGGTGCAGCCCTCGCCGCTGCCGAAGGAGACGACGCCCACGATGCGGTTGCCGTCGTGGAGGACCAGCGGGCCGCCGGAGTCGCCGCTGCAGGAGGACTTGCCGCCGTCGGTGTTGATGCAGATGGTGTTGTCGGTGACGTAGTTGCCGCCGTAGTAGTTGCGGCAGTCGTTGTTGTCCGCGATCTGGACGTCGACGCAGTTGAGGTAGTTGGATATGCCGCTGTCGTTGTCGGTCAGTCCCCAGCCGGAGGCCAAGGCCCACCAGCCGGCGTAGCTGTTGTAGCGGTCGTTGTAGCTGGGCAGCTCCACCTTGTTGACCAGGTGCCAGAAGTCCACGTGCGGAGTGCGGATCAGGGCGATGTCGTTGTTCAGGTAGTCGTTCCAGTCGGGATGGATGATCATGTCGTTGCTGGTCACCCGGTGGGTGAACTGCGCCTCGTGCCGGAAGCTGGCTCCGTAGTAGATGAGCACGTGGCTGGCGGTCCTCACGCAGTGGCCGGCGGTCAGGATCCAGGTGTTGCCGATGATCGATCCGCTGCACCAGTGGGTGCCGTCGTTGAAGCTCAGGCCCACGATGTAGGGCACCTTGCCCTCGTAGGCGGGGTAGCCGTTGGTGATCCTGCCCTCGATCTTGCCGGAACGGGGCATGTCCTTCACGGCCACCGCCTTGGCGGGCTCAGCGGGCAGAACCGCTGCGGAGGCGACAGCCAAACAGGCCAGGAATACAATCAGTTTCATGTTGGTCAATGAACAACTAACTGACGTTGGCCAAAATACCCTCTTTATACGGCAGTCTTATCGGCTCAAAGCGGAAGCACGTGTATTCGGACTCATAAATTTTGGTTATTTTGAATTTCGAAAAGGCAGCCAAAAGTGTAAGATAAGCTATCGGTAACTTAAGAGCTTAAAAGTGCTAATAGGTCAAGCAATTTGTTTTGAGATGGATTCGGCGAATGCGAATGCAAATAATTAGTTACATCTTATTTTTAAGAGTTAAACAAGAAAGGTAACTACTAGTAGTAGAGCTTCATTTAATACCTTTAAGGGCTTGTATTTTAAGGCGATTGCTCCCCTTATAATACTTATACTTATACTTATTTATTAATTTTATCGTAGAGGAAACCAGCCTCGAGTCCTTCGACTTACATTGTCTTCTATTTGTGCAAACTGGGATCAATTTACGCTTGATTAGCTTTCGTTTCGCAAGCCGGGCGCAATCAAATATTTGCCAAATTGATAATCATTTAATTATAACAAAGCATAATGCAGAATGCAACTGCTAACAGCAAATGTGTCTCGGATGCAGATGGAATGGGCCACTCTGCGTGTTTGAGGGATTGTGTTGCAATGTGTGTTTGCAATTATAATGGCCCTGGCCGCAATTGTGTTGCATACTTTGAGGCACAGTTCCTTGCCATCTGTCCACGCCGCCCCCTCTTCGCTCCATTCCTTCTGCGCCTCCGCCGAGCCAGCCATCAAATTACAAATGATGTAGTGCCCAGGGGAAAATGGAACGAACGGTCGGACGGACAGTAGAACGGACAAACGGACAGACAAACGAACGGACAGACAAACGGACAGACGAACGGACAGACGGACGGACTAGGAGGCGGTCGTTTAGGTCGGGGAGCGCTGCAGCTTTGTGGCCAGTGAACGGAAATAGAAACAGCTGCAAATGGCAGTTAGCTCAGTTGCCTTCCACACTAACACACACATACACACACATATATATATATACATATTTGAGTGCACGTTATGCATATAGGTTTGTTTCGATGTGGGAGAAAAAAGCATTCCACTAATGTCCCATGCACGCACTCACACTCGGCAACATGAACAATTGACACTGGCTAATTGCCGTGGAAAGTCCTCTAAACGCAGCCATAACCATGTTATTCAGATACCCTGTTCGGGAAGGGCCGCAGGCAGGGCCGGGAAACTCAACCTAATGCTGGCCAACGGAAGAGAAGGCCAATTTCCTGGCCAAAGAAAAAGGTGAACATAATGTAAGTAATATAAAGAATTTATGTATAAATTCTCAGGTTTATCTGGAAATGTATTTTTTATTAGATTATTCGTAGTTATAACTACATCAATACCTTAAAATAATACTTTACATATTATTTGTTTAAGACCGTTTTTAAGTTCTACTCTTTTAAGTTTGGGAAAGAAATCAGACAAAAATAATTATTACACTTCTAAAAAGGGTAGTAATCTATCAATTAGACAGAGCTTCACAATCAACTGACTGTGAAACATTTTCGGTTCTAAAGAAGGGTACATCACAACTTCCAGGACTTTTACAAAAAACTGTCAAGCCCAAGTCACTACCCTCTTTGGGCGGAAGAGACACACATCACGGCTAATGGCTCCAAAGTCACTAAAGATTGCCGTACTCCTACCTCTAAAAGGTACTCCCTAAGTCGATTAATTAACCAGCCAACTCACCCGCTCGCATGTTGTCGCGCTAATTAACAGCCCGAGAATAAATTACGGGCATGCACAGTGCAAAAATCCGGAGAGTACGAGTGTTATGGCCGGAGGGACTGGGCGGACCAAAAATGGGATGGTGTCCGGTTCGAAACAATTAAATGCATGCCCGCGCGGCCCACTGGGAGGCCCACGCTGCGTATACGCAACTCGGTGCATGGAGTATTAGCCGTACACTCCGTGGCAGTGCCTCACTCTCGGTCCCATTCGGATTCACATTCGGCAATTCCATGCGACATGTTGTCAACGTTTTAGACAATTTGTTATGCAAATTGCTTATTAACTTTATGACCGGCACGCCAGCTTCACATGGCCGCCCCAAAACATTTTGAATTGTCAATTAGTTGCGGTGGCCAGAAGGCCAAGCTATAACCTATATCCCGATTCCCACCAGTCAAAAAACGAGAAAGAGAGAGAGATTCTAAATAAAATTTCAGGCATTATTTAAACATTGACCCATGTCGTTTCATGTCATTTTATGGCCACCAGCCAGCCACCAACTGCCATTAAAAGGACGCAAAATTGCCCGGGCTTCGATTTTAATTTATGTCCTGCTTCCAAAGCTGCTGCAGTTCTGGCCGCTCCTGCAACGAGGATCGAGCTGAAACTCCTGCTCCTTTTTACCTGCTAATGACATTGGCTCGCTATCGACAGTGGCCTTTAACTTAATTGAAAATTTCATTTTGTTCCTGCTAAATGGCGGTGCGGTGTTATTTATTGCGCTGCCTGGGCATTGGCCAAATAACCGTCCAGCTTCCAGACCAACCTAGCTTCCCCGGCATGATTTGTGGAGTAGCGCTTTAATGAGATTTCCCTTGTTCAGGGAAAATTGGGGTTTCTCTCAAAGGTCAACTAATCCATTTGCATAATACATTTACGAGATTATATGTGGTAGGTATGCAGTTTGGTAAAGAAAGGTTTGTTAAGAAAATACAATATTCTCAAGATATGCCTAAAAATACCGGACTAAATTGAAGCAAGATTTTATAAGAAATGTATTAACATCTTGTTTCTTCCTTAAATATATTTGATCAATTTTCTTAGAGTTGGAAACATACCAGATATAAACTTTTATTCTTCGAATACTTTTCTTAGATTACCTTGCGAAATAACTTGAGATGTTGTTTTCTTGGCAGTAAGCTGCGAAATTAGGAAGTTAGTTGAAATGTCTAGGCATTAGCGCACATAAGTATGCAACAGCTAGCAACTACAATGTGGCACAAGCTCTAAATACTTCTGGCTATCCCCCTTCTCCTCTGTCTCTCTTTCCCTCTCTCTCTATCTCCCTTTATTGGCGATGGTGCACTTGGCCACATTTGCAGGCCCTGTTCCCCTCGTATTGTTGTGTTTTGCACTGGGTAAGGAGCGCAGCGCAGGTCCTTTAGCGCAATCGTGTCTCGGACATGAATTACGTTTACCGACAATTAATTTCAAGTGAAAATGTGCTAAAACTTTTAATTGGGCAGCCAAGTGGCTGGCAGTCCAGCGGAGAAGCGTTCCGAGCGGGACAGTAAGCAAAAGTGGCAGCCATAAAAATGTCGACAACATGCCTGCAAAATGTTTCATTCCACAAATTTCGCCGCAAGTTGCTCACAAAGCACAACTTTAAAGTTTAAAGTAAAAAACGTTTCCCACAATACCTCTTCACACATTCAATAATATTTAATTTAAGTTAACCAATAGTTCTGCAATATTTTTAACTACTTTAAAGTTTAAACAAGCCATATCTTAAAATGTAGCAACGCAGCAACTAGCATCGTTATTTATTTAGAGCTTATTATATAATATTATGAAAACCTCAGGCAGCATGAAACATAATTTTTTACTTGACTGCTACACAAATTTTCAAAAGGCTTATTGTGAAAAATCGACTTATATATAAACTCAACTTTTATGTTGTAATTCTTGGCATGACAATATCGCAGTTAAATTGATTTGTTTTAAATTTATTAAAGACCTTATATATGTTTTGGCTTATTATAATTCTTAAATATTAAATATTAAAGCAGTATTTCCGTAACTCGTTCTTTCCCAGACAAGCAGATGGCGCACAGCGAATGACTTTCGCTGCTTGAGTTATCAAAACAGACAGACTCAGTTTGTGGCAGACACATGAGAGAAGACAGTCGGCTAATTATGTCAATTAAACGTTTGTGCCCGACATTTGCTGTTCATTGTCGGTGACACGTATCCAACTCACTATGACGAGCATGGTTCACCGCATCTCGAAAGGATGCAATAACTGGAAAATCAACCGGGAACCAGTACACCTATAAAAATTAAAAATGAATTTGATATTTTTAATATCTATATAACTTGCAATTTTAATCCACACTAGATATTATTATATTATTATTATATTAGCTCCAAAAAAGTTTCACTTATAATAATTAATACGGGATATAAGAACTATTTTTTTTTATCCACTGAAATGGCGTCCTGTTTTCCCTGTGCATTTTCTCCTGACACGCAAAGAATGACAACGGAATGACGTCTGCACATGTCAGTGTATAACCGGGTGTGAAGGACTTAATATGCAAATAAGTTTTGAACAACATCAGTTCAATTCAGTCGACTGCTCCATCATGGAAGAATACAAAAAGAAGAAAGGCAAAAATAGGTCAAGGTCGCACTGGTTTTATGTGGAAATGCATGGCTACTCAACCATTAAGTAGACCAATCCGCTTGACCAGAAATTCCAGATGCACACAAACACACCGGCAGAATTCCAACCCGAAAAAATCAACTCACGTACGAGCGCTGTACTAGGTATTTGAACAAAACAAACACACACACTCAGACCGCAGCCCGAAATGTGCACTTTTCCAAATGGCAATGGAAAAGCCAGAAAAAGAAGACAATGCTGTGGCAAAAGAGGAAAAGTGAGGCCAGGACAGGTACAAATCTATACTAACAACCAACAACATTCGCCCGAACTCTCGTAACAATAACAATTCAATCAAATGTTCGCCCCCTTCGTCTATGGAAATCTTCGAATGGAAACAAACAACAATACACGTGCGATGGAAAAGGTTCCGGGGAAAAGGATAAAGGGATAGAGCGACCAAAAATGTTTTCATTAAAATTAGTTGAATTTTCAACTCAAGCGAAAGCTTTTCTTCGTCCTTAAACGCGCTCTGTGAGACTGCGCAGTACAGGATGTCCTAACTTTACCGTTAGCTATCTGGGGGAACAGGGAAGAGAGTTTCTGATAGATAAATCCAAGGAGAAGGACAGTGTGCGATGTTTTCCCCAACTGATATAAAATATCTAACATAATCGACCTAAAAAATTAACTTAAACAAATCTCTTAATATATTGTATAGTTTGTTTTTAGCTTTAGGGAATACAAATAAAAAAGCTTACACGTTTTTTTGGTGAAAATGATAAGCGTCTAAATTAACAATTAAAAACCCTTTAAAGCCCAAAACAATTTAATAAAAATTCTTGGAAAAATAGCCAAAAATTAGCGTCACGGATTTATGGATGGCCCCTTAGCATGAACAAAGACGAATCTAAAATGCAATGTTATAATGTTTTATATTACTGATCACGTATATTGTTTCGTTTTATAAGCCTGCAATGAAATAAAAGTAAGTTTTGGCCTGAACATCACATTTAGTTTTATTTTTACATCAAAGCCAAACAGACCCTAAATCATAGAACCTGCTACTGTGAAATTTATTTACAAAATTTGTAATTTTTCTAAGAATTGGTCAATACCAAAGTATTGAGCAATATTTTCACGTTTAATAATCGAAGAAGTGAAAAGTGAAAGCATGAAATCGCAAGGAAGGCATAGAAGACTCTCGCGCAAGGCGGACACAACCGTTTGCGTGATGCTTATAACCCGAGATGGTCCCATTCCCCTGGTTGCCCAGTGTTCCGAATCTCGGGAACAGGCTCTGCGGATCCTGAACAACGTTCGTTATGTGGAACTCAACTAGGCGATGGATAAATTGATTACTTTGCCGGTGTTTATCCAAATCCTTGTCGCTTACTTAACTGCATATTGATACCCTAGCTTTTGGAGAAAGTTGTTAGATTTCTTCCAGTTTTCAAAATTGCAACACGTGCGCCGTTCTGTTGTCGTTCAAATAGCTATATAGTGCCAGTGATGCTTATCAAATGGCTGTTATCGTTGAAAAAAAAATGGGGAAGGGCAAACGCAGTTACCACCCCGCTGTTGCAGAGAGTGTGCATTTTCACAGCCGTTTGAACTTGCCAACATTCGCAAAATGTGCAACATGGCGTAAAGAATTCTTGTTAAGTGCAGCAGTTAGTTTCCAGGAGGCATCAGTCCCGGCCGAAAAACTTTGCTTTGCATCCAGGCAAGCCATTGCCAGTGTAAATATATGAACGCACAAATGTTGAACTCACAACCGGGTACATTTTTTGCAACAGATAATTGATCCATTGCCCAGATTGTTTAACACAGATCGCACCAGAGCACGAAAAATAATTAAAGCATCTTTATTAAGACTGATTTAAATACAACAGCAAAATAAGTGTGTATTATTGGCAATGACTTCTTAACACTTGAGTGTATGTGCACTGAAACACGATTAAGCCAATTGCACAAATTGACACTTGAGAATGAATAAAAGGACCCTCTTCCGTTTTATAGCATAAAATCCTGGTTTGCTTTCGAATCGCCTCAGAAAACTTATATGCGTAGCAGCAGTTACCTCGGCAGATGCAATTGTGTAATGTTCTTTGAGATTTATTTGATAGTTTTAGCCTACTCAGAAAATAAATTTTACCTTATTAATTTATGGTATCAAATTGAACATTTTAAATTAAATTTATTTTTTTGAATCAAGAATACTTTTATTAATTATACTAACATATTCATCATTGCAAAAAATCATGTCCAAGGACAAAAACAAATAAAATTATCATATCAATTACATTAAAACTTAAGGTATGATTTCAACACCGTCGAGAGAAAGTGGTGGTATGTGCTCGACGGTGAAAGTCGAGAGCAGAGTGCAAACTTTCACTTTGAAGGACACGGGAACTCGGCCACCGACAGAGATGGGCTGTCAATCCCAGTGCATCGACCGCTGTTCGCCGAAGCGCAAAGCGGAAATCAGTCGCCATATCGGGCGGACATGTTCGACAAGGCCCGAGCGGAAATGAAACGCTGGGCAAAAGTATTGGGATTACAAAATTGACTGGGTAAATATGCAGGCAAACATACTTGCCAGCTGCAGCTGGCCAATAAAACGCAGTCAGTGCCCTGCCCATTGTTTAGTTCCCATTCGAAATGGAGATGTAAACCAAGTCAGTTGGGGGATCATCACAATCGATTTCAAATTTGCAGTAAAAATGCAAATGTCGACCAGATATGGAAAATGTGGAATGAGAGGTCGGAGCCCTTTCCTGATGCAAATTCCCATTTGACTAAGTTTCGTTTTGTCAAATGCATCAAACAGACAAAAACACAGTGTCACGCAGGATACGCAAACGACACAGCTGCAGTTGCACTTGTAGATACAGTTGTGAATGCACATGCAAATGTCTATATTTATACATAAATACTCGTATAATGGGCTTCGACTTGAACTCAGCTTAGGATCTGTTCCAAATGCATTCCAAATCTCTGGCATACACTTGTCGCAGGATTTATTGTCAGGTTTATTTGTTACAAAGAGTATTATCTCTTTTGTCAAAGTCTGCGGACATAATGTTCCAAAAAGCAACAGTTACAGAAATTAAACTCCTTTAATTTTCTTAAAGAGCTTTACGAAAATGAAGTTCATATACTTTGTTAAATAAGTAATTATTATAAAATACTTTATACAGAAAAAATGTTATATCATATTATGATTTAATTTTTATATCTATATTAAAATAAAATTATATTTAATATATCATGGCTTTTTTTATTTACTATTTTTAAACACATACTCGAATAGTTGTACTATATGTACCATTCTTTTCTTCTATTAGCTTGGTAATGCGTTTGTTGACCCAGTAGAATCCCGATGAACTGATTCGCTGCTTGGATGGCAGCTTCATTGCTAACGTTTTCATCTGCAACACCACGCCCTCCTTGGAATCGGTCTGTCATCCAAAATCCATTGAGCGTGACGTATGAGTATGACATTCTTAGGAGTTCGTTTGGAGTGTTTTTCGCCATACTTCCTACCCACTCTGTCACTCTGACACGGTCTATTAATTTTATTGGTGTCATTGCATAGTGCTAAAGTCTTAGAATGCTGAATCTTCTTTTTTGAGAAGTCCTTTTTTGTGGTGGGAATTCTCATTTACTTTTCTGCAATACTTGCGAACGCTTGTACAAAAAAGTGCAGTAAATTTTGTCAACCAAAAAAAAAAATGTTCAAGGCAAAATATATTTGGAGAAGAGTTTTCTGTAAGGAACTTCTTTGCGCTCAGGTTGCAGCTTTGTCCCCAAAATACTGCCGAATAATCTCTTCTCGCCCCAGCACTTACGTCTTATGATTTATTTGTTGCATTAGTGAATGTCGTTGGCAGCAGGACCTGCCGGCCACTTCAGACTGTGTGGTCCTTCTCCGAGCGAACTAAGGTGGAAACACTAGTTGGTTTTACAAATAGCAAAAACCTTCGCAGCTTGCTTCTTTTTCAAAATTTTGGAAATGTAATGAAGTTGCTGTTTTTATACCCTTGCAGAGCAAGGGGTACTATAATCTAGGCCAGAAGTTTGCAACGCAGTGAAGGAGACACCTCAGACCCCATACACAATATACATATATATATGTATATTCTTGATAGATAGACCTTAAAACTTCTTTAATTATTTGATGTTATGTTAATGTTAACTTAATAATGTTAACGTACTTACCCTTTGAACATTTATTTTATAAGTAATTTAAAAAATAAGTTTAAATAGCAGTATTTATATATCAGGTTGTTCAAAAGTTTTGTCGTTCGACAAGAAAAACACAATTTTATAGTTCAAAATGCACTTTATTATTCAGTATAATCTCCCTGAACATTAATACACTTGCTCCAACGATCCTCCAATCTATGGATCCCATCCCTGAGAAAGAATCCCATGGTTTTTTATTTATTTAATCCATATTTGAACCCAAAATAAAACGTATTTTAAAACTCAGCGTAGAAGGTAAACCTGACTTTAAATAGCCAATAGACGACTGATGCCCCCAATTGCTTAGCATTTGGCCAGCAGGAAATTACCAATTCCTTGTTTTTCGACTGCGCTTAAAATGCTCAAAGTCGTAGGGGAGCGAACAAACAGAGACAGAGGGGCAAACAGACTCGGCACAGTGGGGCAACGACTGTACAGTAAACACTGCACCAAGTGGAACGCAGCCAGGCGTGCTAATTGTGTCATTTGCATTGGCAAACAAGTGCAAGCGAACAAGTCAAAGGCTCAAACAAATTAACGCGGCCGAGCGCATCTGCCGAGCTCTTTGCACAGTGCAATTAACAGCGGCCGAGGAGCCATGTGATATGCAAATAATTAATTTATGTACGCTGCGGTCAAGGGTAAAAATGAGTAAGAAAACAGAAAGAACTTTCAGAAATGGGACTCCAACCGCAGCGCCTTTAACTCTTCTTTCAAGATTTTTTCTTCTCTTTTTACACACTGCAATTTCATTTTGGTGGGTGCCGCATTTTATCCGAACCCCTGAAAAAACGTAAGGATATTCAAAATAATTATTGCAACTGCACGCTTATTTCCGCACCGCAGCCACAGCAGCACCGCAGGATTAGATAGGATCCTAAACCTAAAAAAAAGTTAGAGTACTGACAGATCTAGCCGCAAGCTCTAGCCAGTTGGAAAGCTCTAAAAAGAAAGCTCTAATAAACTGACCACTTATCGATAGTAAAAGCATTTCGATTGCTGTCAAGTTATTCGATACATCCTACACTGTAAATTCAAAGAATCCAAAATCCAAGTAAAGATCTTTGTTGCTCAAGTAGAACTAAAAATTCCATTTATTAATTTTCCAGTATTTCATACGATCAAAAATATAATAACGCGTCGATACTTATTTGTTATAATTGTCTTAAATCTTTATTTACTTCAACTCATTTCGTTATAATTACAATAATATTTTTGATCAGCGTGACAAAAGTTTTATTTCGATTTTGGGAAGAGGAGAACCACACTCCTGCCCTTGCAATATTACAGAAATCGAAAATGTGTTTTTATCAGTTGAATTTTATTTTAGAGAAACGCAACGTTTCCCACAGAAAATTGCTAAAGTTTGCTAAATACATAGTTTAACTAAAAATATGACTAAAATTTATTCAAAAAGTTTTTGCACATCTAAAACAAATGTTTTTTTATATCTTTAATTTAGGCATTTTTGTTTGGCCTTATAGCGCTGTCCATAGTTTTAATATTTTAGTACTAAGTCTTTCATTTGTTGCATTTTAATTTTGACTTTTCTCTTTATGTGTTCGACATAATATAGTTGATAAAATTTAATTGATGTGAGGGTTTTACTTTAACTAAATTGAGCTAAAATATATTTTACATTTGCCATTTGTAACCTTTCTGCCTTTGTGTGATTAAAAATAATTTTTGGATGGTTCCATTTGTGTCCAGATAGTTTTCCCCTGCGCCAGCAAGAGGTGAATGCCAGGGAAATTCTCACTTCACATTTCAGATGTTGCTTTTAATTCATAATCAAGTCGCTTTCTTATCTGGTTTCTACAATTCATTACTTCAAGAATCCATACATTAAACTTAGCATAGAGAAGTACACTAAATGTTAGATTTATTATACACATATATGCATTTATATAGATGTGTGTATATATCATATGTACATAATTAATAGGCAACCACTTAAGCTTACTATAAAAATAAGTATTGTTTATGCAATATTCATTTGCCAAAAATGTACTAAAAACCGAAAACTGTACAGTATACAATGTTCATTCTCATCATCGGCGTTCAATTATAATTATCTTTATCATTGTCAATCTGTTCAACAGCATTCTAAGCACATACACAGCGCATCACCAAACCAAACCCATCCGCAGACTGCAGCTATCTACCAACAAAACTTCAACGAACTTTATTTATTAGGATGAAAAACGAGTAATTTGTAAAATTCTAGCAAATAAGAGGAAACAAAACCAATTGGTAAATGAGAACTTTGTCTTTACATGCACACTGTGACTATGCTTTTCTCACACGCTTGCTCGGCTTTCAGATCTTTTAGGACTTAAGCTAGTTTGGTTTTGGATTTGGTATGCATGCCTATGCCGTGTGGGGTGCTACTAAATCGCCATTAGTACACACTAGCTTCATTGCTGCTGCTCCACTAATGTAGTTGTCTCCGTGTTGTTGTCGTCGCTGCATCTGCTACCTCTAGTTTAGTACATTGACTTTCATGAGGCGTACATGCGGTTAATATCATGCTGATATCTGTCCTGGATGTCCTTCCGCTTCAGCTTGAAGGCGGCCGTAACCAGACCCATGTCCGGAGACCAGACCTCCTTGCACAACGTGATGGCGGCGGGCACCTCGTACTTTTGCAATTTGCCTGTTCATTTAAAGATTTGCATTTTAGCAGTGTTTAAATGTATTTAGTTATCCAAGGTAACTTACATTTCCTCGCGTGTTCGGCAATCTCCTTGAGAATAGCCTTCTCAATGACGGGCGATGAGCACAGCTCTTCGTATGTCTTGTCTGCCAATCCATGCTTCTCGGCCAGCTCCTCCAAATGCTTCTGGTTGGGGACGACCAGCGCCACTGTGAACTGCTTTGTGGGGTCTCCGTACACGCAAATGTTCTCGATAATTCCGCACGTCTTCAACTCAGATTCAACCTTGCCCAAAGAGACATATTCGCCGGCCTGCAGCTTAACCAAGTCCTTCTTACGATCTGCGGAGAGTTGCGAATTAATATAAAAAAAAAAAACAATAACTGGTGTTCAAAAACCTACCAATAATCTTAAGTACGCCATCAGCTTGAATTTCACCAATGTCGCCGGTTTTGAACCATCTTTGTCCGTCCTCCTCGAAGAAGTCCTCGTTGGTCTTGCCGGGCAACTTGTAGTAGCCCTGGGAAACGCACTCGCCGCCGATGAGAACCTCGCCCTGGGGATACGGCCTGTTTGTGACGCGGTAGTTGCCCTCTTCCCAGTTGACCAGGCGGATGTCGCAGACAGTCAGTGGTCCTCCAGTGCGGCCATAGGTCATATCGCGATCTTAAATTCGACATAGCGTTACTTCATTTCGAAAGAAAGTATCATCCGCCATCACTTACAATCCATTACTGTGGCTCCGGACGTGGTTTCGGTGAGGCCATAGCCCTGGATCAGCTCCAAGCACAGGCAGGTCTTGATTTGCTCATGGGTATCCGCTGACAATGGCGCTCCGCCGGACATGATGATGCGCACCTTGCCGCCCATCAGCTTAGCCACCTTCTTGAACACCAATCTGCAAGTAAGCGAATGGATTTAATTACCACCTCGTGGCCATGGTAAGTGCACTCTGCTTACTTGTCAATCAGCGGCGTCTTGTAACCACGCTGAACCCACTTCACTTTGTACTGGTAGAGGAATTTGAAGAGCGATTTCCGGAACGCCGAGCCCGAGTTGACCTTGTCGTTAATGCCCTTGGAGATGCGATCGAGTATCAGCGGCACCGAAGTCATGCAGGTGGGCTTCAGCACGGTGGCATCGCCCTTGCAGCCGCGCTTGATCTTGCTGCTCGTGTCGATCAGGGTCAGCGGAGTCGAATATCCAATGGGTACACCGGTCATCAGGCACACACTCTCCGCAACCAATTCGAAAACGTGGGCCAGGGGCAGGAATCCGATCAGCACGTCGTCAGGATAGATGGGCACCATGTCAACGAAGCCCTTCATCGTGGCGATGCAGTTCTTGTGGGACAGCAGGACTCCCTTCGGTGTTCCAGTAGATCCAGAGGTGTACATGATAATCGCAATGTCGTCGCCCTTGGGTGGAACGTTCTCTGTGGAATGCAAAGCAGTGGTTAGTAAAATACCAAGGAATATAGGCCGCTCTTGAAAGTACGAGAAGAACATGCTTTACCCATACTGTCACCTTTGCTGACTTTCCTATTTAGTACCGAATATCGAAAATTCTTTCAAAATTGAATAGGGTAAAGATTTCAGTTTAAAGACACGTTTCATAATGGCCGAAATCCTGGAGGAGTTCATCACCCTGACGCCCCTGACTTGTGTGCAGCAGGTAGACGCTCTGCTGGGCACAACGGCGAAACCGAAAAGCTGCGCTGTGTTTTTTACACTTTTTGGCGTATATTGCGGAGCTCTCGCCTACAGGGCATACCGGTCATATTCCTCGAACCAGGGAGGCGATAGAGCAATGATACTGCAAGGGATTGCCCTTGAGCCCAAAGTGGAAGATCTGAACGTGGAAGAGGATTCAAGCCTTGTGAACGATATTGTGCAACCAACGTCGCCGATTCTGCTGCAACCCATCGACTTCTCCAGCACTGACATGAGGTGAGATTAAAAGTTTGCCAGATGATGCATATTCTATCTATCTATATATTCTATCTTTCAGATGGCGTTATTGCAGCCGGCTGCTAGAGGCAGAAGTAAAAGTGGGCTCAGAAAGTAATAGAGAAAAAGACGAGAAAGCTAAGAAAGTCGACATCTTGGAATCGGAAAGGACGAGCATTGTGGCGGACGACGATGAATACGAACCACCCACAGTTTCAGTGGCCACTTCCACAACGCGGGAAAAAGCTCGGCCGCAAGGGGACAGTGTCGATAACGAACACGTCCAAGAGACCACCTTCTTGGTGTGAAACACAATGCTCATTGGCCATCAAAATTCACGTTTAAGCGCAAATAAATTAAACCATCTTTTAACGCACGTACCGAACTTGCTGTCCTGTCCGGTCTTCACAACCTGGTTGAAGGGCAAGATCTTGACGCCATCCTTGAAGCCAGTGGTCTCCGTCTTTTGCAGCTGATCCTCGATGTAGATAATGGTCTTCACCAGCGGGCACTTGTCCAGCAGGGTCTTGAACTTCGGCAGCAGATCGTGTGAGGTGATAACCGTGGTGACTTCCGTTTCAGTGATGCCTGACAACAGATTTGAATGTTACTTAGGAAGCTCAATCCCAGTTGTGGAATGTGTGTACTTACAGTGGGCCACTCCATCATCGCCCAGCGTGGCGTAGACGGTAACGATGGGCATGGCCTGCTTGAAGCATCCATGGGCAGCGATCATCCACTCGGCTCGCGTCTCGGCAAAGATGACAATGTTCTCGCGCGGCTTCTGACCAAGCTCACGCAGGCCACGTCCAAAGTTGGCCGCCGTGCGCTCCGCCTCGGTAAAGGTCTTCCACCTGTAGTCGCCCAGGTTGTACTTCTTGAAGACGCGTCCGTTCTGCTGCACCTCGTCCTCCTCGCTGAGGATCTGGCGGGTGCCCAGGCAACGTTTAGACGTGTACGTCTTGGCCACATAGTTGAAGACCTTCTCCAGCGTGTCGATGTTCTCCTGCAACATCTTCACATGGACATCACGTGGCGGATCCGTGGTCCGGTAGGTCAGCTCATTGTCATCGTTCTTCACGATCTTTGCCTGGAAAATGTGCAAAATCGCGGCGATTAGTTAAGTGCCGGGCCAGAGGTTTCGTTTCGAATAAAACGCCAGATTAGGGGAGGGACCACAAAGTAAAGTCGACAGAGAGATAACAGACATGTGAGTTGTTGAGGGTTTTGTTGAGGTGAGGGCCATAACTCAGGAGATCATGTTTCGTTGACCAACACCAAAAGAGAGTCGCCAAACGGGAGATTCAGCTCTGGGCAACATCACCTTGTCCTTGGAACATTTATTGTGCGTGTGTAGTGTTTATGTTTGTGTATGTGTATGTGTGTGTGTGTGGTATGGGGGTGCCCCAGTGTGTGCTTGTGTGTGTGTGTGTTGTGTGGTGTGTGTACGTTCCGTAACAGATAGTAGTATTAAATTATTAAAAACACATTTGCAAAAGTTAAACCTCAATGTCATCCGGCGCGTACTTGGACTCATCGACCAACATTTTCTGGTTAATGGGCTTGGCCTGTTGAGGAAGGAGTTGAGAAAAGCGATGAGAAGCTGGTTTAGCCATAATAGTCCTTAGTCCCTAAAATATGAAACCACTCTACCCTAATAATTTACAATCCATGAAATCGATTTGACTTAAAGCATTTTAAAGCCATTCAAAGTTTATAGCAAGTTGCACACAAATTATGATGCAAGCGGGTTTAGTTTCCAACGTTGGCATAACCGTAACCCATAAACCTTATCAGCCGACTGAGCAGGCCACCAAAAAGCGTTCCATTTAGATAGTGAGAAATCAGATATTAAGTTCCTCAGCAGAGGCCTTTCCTTAACGAGTTCGAACCGGAAAAAAGTATATAAGTTCTAGCTATCTGAACTCTTTGCAATAAATTTCTGATTTTCGTTTATTTAAACGCTCATTTTTTTTGCGAGCAGATGTAGATATTCGTCCACAAATTTTGAGTTACTTCAGCTTTGAGAAGAGAGTGTGAGCCACGCAGTGATCCAATTCGGCAACGTAGTCAAATAGTTCCTCCATGCAAGTCTCAGTTGTTTTGGATTTTCCATTAACGCGATCATTGCACTCTTGATACTTGTCGTACAAGGACTTGATGTGATCCTTCTCCTTGCAATGCTCCCTGAGAGATTCTTGCGGATCAACTAACTCGTCGTCATCTTCGGCTTTAACAAAAGGCAGCGAGAACAAACGTCTAAAGGCCATACTTTTAACGAATTCGACTTTTGTGACAAGGTATTATAATTTTCAAGGAGTATTGCCAGCTAACTTTTGTTTGACTGCAAGTATATTGTATTTCTGACAACTAAGGCCTTGCTAAACTACAAACTAGTTCTCTTAGAGAACGTTGCAGGTAAACCTAACTATTTTTCAAATATTTTCGTTAGATTTTGCTTGACACTTTGCAAGCGAACAACCCCGCATTTGTACTACGCTACGAGATTCTCTTATCAGGACCACCTACGTTGTCTAAATGGTCTGACAACCAGTGCAATTATCACGTTTAGTCATGATTTTGGTGCCCTCACATTCGCGGAATATCAAAGCAAACCGCAAGCAAGGAAATCGCGAGTCTCTGATAAAGATACACAGATAGTGGAAAAAGTGGACCTGGTCAATAAATCAAAAGTCGTCATGCACATGTAGATTAGAAAAAGGAAATGAATCGAAGGGAGCACTTGGCCGGAATGAGCTTCAAAGTGAAGAGAGTAATATGTGGAAGAAACTAAATCAAATTGATAAGCAAGGGTGCAGTTTTCAATTAGGTAAGTACAAAACTAAAGCATACGATTGTAGCTAAGCAGCCAGGTCGCTGTACTTCGACCAGTGCAAAGTCGAAAGTGTTTCAACTACGCGATTCTAGAGATAGTTACAGGCGGCGGCACTCTGATTGGCCGGGTGGTTAACTCGATTTTTCTTGATTTTCCGCTAGCAAACTGGATCAAGGGATTCCGGGACAGCACCTACCTTCACACGGCGCGAGTCCTGTCGGCGTTTCCAGGGCTGTTGCAGAACCAGGTAGACCGGCAGCGTGATGATGTCGTACACGAAGGCGATCGCCTTGATCGCGCCAATTGCGCTCTGCACCCAGAAGCTGTCCATTCTGGAAGGGCAATAAAAAACACAAATTAGTGGCCAATTGGTATGCAAATTTACACCAGGCAAGAACTATTGGTTTTCCCGCCTCATCGCGTATACGCCCCGTTTGGTGGTGGGTCGCCCGAACCGATTCACCCACTGCATTGCACCCACCCACTCGTTGTAGCAGCGTCGCAAGCCGAAAACCAACTGATATCACCACCTTGCGCTGCTGCCACTGTTAGCGGGTCTTGGCAGTCCCGTCCGAAAGCGAAAAGGGGTAGGCACTCTCACGCCCGATTCTCAATTCTCAATTCTCGATTCTCGGTGCTCAGAAAACGCATTTCAAACGGGCGATAACAAGTGGAGAGCGCTGAAGGTGTTCGGCTTTTTATCAGCTAGAGATTGCCTAGAAGTAACGAGCCGAAGTCCGAATCGCGGCCAATACCTCACACCTCAAGGGCCGAGTAATTGGCCATTGTAATGGACTAAGACTTAAGAGGATTTTCGATACCCGTCTGGACCCTACGATTCGTCTGGTTTCTTATCTGCATCTCAAACCAAAAGCAGATTGCTCGCCAAGTACCTTATAAAACGTGGCATTAATCGAGGATATTGAGGATTATTGAGCAATCTTTACGATGTGAAATACTTCACAAAATGTATTCGTACTATACAGATTACATTGATAGCATTGATTTCCTATTATTAAAACAAATATTTCCGCTAAGTCCTATCTATGTTTATTTTCGTACTTATCAACAACCAAAAATATCCCAAAAATTTGTCAACGAGTCTCACATTTTTTGCAATTCCGTTGAGATTGCCGCCATCATACGAACTTTTATCACGTTATTTATAATTGCAATTAGACAAAAAACTCATGCAAAAAACTTTAAAATTTTGTTTTCTCATTAAAAATTTGATTGCTAGGCACCAGAACACTAGATAAACTTATTATCGGACTGCTCAATTAATTAAAATGGTATGATTTTTTAAAACTGGCAGGTGTTGGGTTCCTAAGAACTTCACTTATCCATAATTGATATCGCACGTCGTTCGATTAATTTAAAAAACCAGTTACGACAATAGGACTAAGCTCGAGCTAGTTATCATAGGAGCGAGTCATGCTGAGATTCTCATTAATTCATATAAATAAGCGAATATAATATAGTGGTTATGGCGATACTGCTGATCGCAACGAATAGCGCTTTTTATAATCCATAGTGCAAAATGTAGTTAAAGACTGCATACTTGATAAAGCCATCGTTTGTGAGTGTGGCTGATAACAAATCGAGCGATAGCCTTGAACTTGTATTACGCAAGTGAGCATGACGTCAATTTCTCATACTAGTGATCTAAAAGATTTCAATATTTCCTTAGAACTTCAATGCCAGTAAATACAAATTTTTGTAGCAACATTTTGAACGCAATCTTTTTGGAAAAAATCTAATGGTAGAATGGTCGAATTTTTCAAAAGCTTTTTTTAACTTAAATAAAGAAGACTAAAAGCAGTTAATGATAGCAAAAAAAAATCTGCCTATATTTCTGTAAAACAAAATTTTTATTCTTTTCCAGCTCCAAAAACAAGCCCATAACCAAACAATAAATGGTGTACAATAAATGGAATACAAAAAAGCGAGCATAAAACCAATTTTGTATTAAAATGATATACTTACTGCGCATCATCTTCGATGAACATCTTGACGTTTTTTTCTTTGTCCGACCTCTGGATTCAATTGAGTATCTTGATGGGTTGTGGGAACAAGCAAGGTGCGAGAGGTATGACGCTCTCTTTTTTGGGGATATCCTCCAAAAGAGCTTTGCTCTAGTTAATGGCAAGGACGAACAGACAATGGGTTCAACAACAACACGATGAGGTCAGTTTTCCGTTTAGATAGTTTTCCGCTTGTTGTTTTCACCTGCAACCGGAAAGAGAACGAATATATGCATTTATGTAGTGAAAATGAGACAAGACAACAAAATGGGGAAATACGAAATACGTGGAAAGCAATAGAGTCTTCATAATCGCATAAAACCGCAACCAAAAGTGTGTGATGATATAACAACCAATAATACTTAATCATACTAAAATAACGCAAACATTTTATAAGTAGATATCTTTAAATTGGCACGTACGTCCCACCTTCATTAATTTTTATTTTGCATCTACATGAATCTTATGCGAAGTGTGAATCAGACTGACACAATCGAGGGTAAATGCAATTCGGCGAATTCCCAGGTGTCATTATCTGTCCAATAAAACGAAAACAAGTTCAAATGTCGGTTAACGACTTCAAAAATAGGGGATTTTTGGAAATAGTACACTTAAGTGAGAACACTTAAGAACTATAACCAAACATGAAAGCTCTAGGCTGGTATAAAAGACCTCAACCGCATGGAAAAATCGTTTAGAAGAACCTAGTCTTCTGTCAGAAAATTATCACTGTTGGGGGCGGAAGACCGCAGACCCGGTGATACAAAAACTAATTTCCCACATGGGTTCTTAAAATAGATTATTGTTATCAAATCGTGCGTAAGTAATATTTTAATTAGGCAAACATAGTTCTGGCCTTCATAAACAAATCGGAAATGAAAGTCCAAACAAGTATTGGTTCAGTCTTTGTTTTTGCTGGACATTTGCCAGAAAACCAAAGGCTGATAATAAGAATATAGAGAACAATAAGAGACAGTATCAACATAGAAAGCTTTATTTATAGAGCTAAATTAAATATAGACAGGTAGTTTAAAAAGAGTACCAAGAGAGCGATTACATAATCGGAATCTAAGGCCCCCCCCTCGTTCACTCTATCCCTCTCTCATTTCGCCCATTTGTTAAGGTGGAGAAATATTGGTACAGGTCGGGGACATCAATAGAAACTATGCAAATTCGTTGGCATTAATTTACACAAGTTACAGAAGAACGCCTTCGCGCGTCTTTATTTATTAACAAATGTTGAAGGCCGGGTGCGAAGTCCGCCTGACCAAGGTTTATCCGCTCTGGAAGCCGATATGAAATGGCTTCCTTAGAATCTGCCGTCACTGATAAACAACGAAGAGCACATTCCAAGGCGCCCAAAGTTCGTTTCTTATGCAATCGGTGAAAACTCACAAATCATGTGATATGCGAGTGATATAAAGGGCATACATATGTACTGTATTTGAAATGTTGTTTCGGTCCGCTTTGAAGGAGTGCATTGAACTGGCCCCAAAATACAGATCTTCTGTTATTCCTCGTAACTCTGACGTATGGTAAAAACCAGCAGCAGAAGAGTCGAGACCGTAAGCGTTGCGATACGTGATTTGTTTGCGAAGAAAGAGAACGAGAAAACATAACGATCGCTGCAAAAACAACACGTTTCGGTATTTATATGTATGGGGAAAGAAGGCAATTAGCAAAACAATCGCCACAGTGGGTCAAACAAGTTTTTTTAAAACTGTTTTCTAGTGAGTTTTGTCCCATAATATATTTTGAGTTTAACACCACATACGCTACATGCTGTTTGCTTAAATGTAATAAATAAACCAAAATCAAATGCAAATGTATAAAAATGTTTGTTTTGTAAATAAATTTTAATTTATATTTTAAAGATACCATAACGATACCATACAAGAAAAGTGTTCATTTAAAACCATTTGTAAACAACTTTAGCTTCCACAACCACTGTGCAAAGTTCACGGCGGTCGCCTGGCGCAAACATAGGCGAAAGTTGTTTAGCTGCCGTTGTAGGTTAACGAATGAAAATTAAATGAAATATCAAATCGTTTAGTGTTGCACATCCATGGGTCGGGTATAATCATTAGCTCAGATCACCAACGTGTCCCGAACTTGAACCCTGGGTCAAAGTTGGACCTCAAAGTACACAAAAACAGCCGTGAAACGAGAACACGGGCAATGGCGTGTTGGAAACAAAGGTTATGCCGAATGTGCTCTCTAACTAAGCAATCATGGTACGGTTGAAAACAATAAGGAAATTGTGTGCATTAAGCCTGTGATTACTGTAACCCGTTCTATGGACGCGACACGCCCCCAAAACATCGCCCCCTTTCGGTCAGCAGTGTGCGGTGTCGCACTTGTAAAAAATTATAATGGTTGTGCCTAAATCAGCACTGCTCTGGGAACTGATTGAATCAGATTCATGAACCTTGGGATTAGATAACACACACACAATACCGGCGTGTGCGTACAAAGTGTCTTACAACGAGCAGTTTATCTGGTACAGAGGTCAACAGCCATCTGACGACATTTCCAAAATAACAAACACTTTGCGATGACCGTAAAAATAACGCAATTAAAAATGAATTTACACTCGAAATTTCCAAGTTTAAGCATCATTAAACTGCAATTTAAAAATGTTTCGTCAGTTGAACACTGTATTTATAGAATATTATCCCATGTGTTACGTTTCGATACAATAAAGTTAAACTGATAAACTTAAAAAGCCATTTCCAAACTGGGTATTTATGTATTATGGTATAAATTATATTCGTGTTGTTGAAAAACAAACAATAAATTTGGAGTTTCGGAGGTAGATTAAATTTCTAATCATAAGCGTGCGGTCGTTAAGAATATTACGGTTCTATAAAGCTTTATGCATTGATAATCTCTATTGTTTGCTTAAAATGCAATGTTAAAATAAACAAATCTTAGTGGGTTACTCATAAAGAGACCCTTAACCACTCAGGCACTTCCAATGGGAATTCAATTTGCACAACCTTTCTAAGGTTTAGTTAGCATTCTTATAATTGCAAATTCCAAGCTGGTTGTAATTTTAGGGTGAAACTTACTTAATTGCTTCTATTAAAACAAAGGCAGAAACCTTGCTTTAATTACGACTTACTATGACAGGGACTTGTAACTGTGTGTTTCCCACTGCTGTGGTGCTTAAACACACAAACTGTTTCCGATCGGCCATTGATTGCTATTATTATTGGCATCCATTGCACAGACTGCAATAGACTGAAACGTAATGCTTGAATTAATCAGAAAACACAATTGGAAATGCCAGAAAAATAGCAACAATAAAACAGAGCAAACCTCGAACTTGACGAATTTGGACAAACTGTTATTTCTGCTGACGCCAGTGGAAATACAACTTGACAAAACGGAAAACTAAAACAAAACGAGCTATCAAAGTCCAAGATAGCTTTATGCTCCAAGTAGAAACATTACGAAATCGCCAAGCGATGCCAAAATTCGAGTACGAAGCGTTCTGCATTAATTGTATAGAATAGCAACAAAGAGGAAACTTCAGTTTGGTATAAAACACGTCATCATTAATGCCGCAGACAAAAACGTGTTCACTTACGTGGACTTCATTTTTGTTTTTCACAGTACACAAATTTCGAATATTTCGCTTTGTTGAGTAAAGTTGCGCAGCAGATAAAAAATTAGTGACTCAACTTTTAACTTTTTCTGTATTGCAAACTTTCTCAGCTCTCGTTTACTACTTGATTCCCCCTCGATCAGCTGTTACATTGTTTGCAATTAAAAATTACTTGAACTTTGGTCAAGGTCGGTTTACATGGCAAATAATAACGGGAACTGATTGACATCGACATTGTAACGATTGCGCGGTGGAATAATGGGAAAAAGTAAGAACGCGACATTACTCTGCCTGCCGCGAGTGCGCATAATATATGCGCAAAAGTATTAATTGAATTGCAACATTTGATTTATTTATTTCCATGCAGGCGGCGTTACGTGAGTGTCTGCTATATATCCGCCTGTCTCTCTCCCTCGAGCGCTCGTTCTCTGGCGAATAATGGGGTAACAAAATCATCGTATGACTGTGTCAAAGTCCAAAAATACTTTTTTTTGCAGTCGCAGTACACAAATAAAAACGAGAAAAATTACTCAAACGAGATTGAAATAAAGTCACAGAAAACTTTGCATATAAATAAAAAAAAATGTTTATAAAGAACTAATTATAAATTTAAAACCATTTTTTTTTAACTATGAGATGTTTGTATATAGTTTAACAAAACCAGGCCATTAATTTGGGAAATATAATTAAAGATTATTGCAGCTTTCGTTTGCATAAATTACAGAAAATATTTTAAATTTTATTAAATACCATCAAGAAAATGCTGACAAATATTTGGAAATAAAATCATACGGAACATATGCAACAACATAATTGAACTGGTATTGAAGTTAAATGTTCTTGTTTACTCTACTTCCTTTAAAATATGTTATAGAAACGTTTTGCACCAAGTTCAAAAAATATTGAATTTATGTGGAAACTTGTAGGTAATGTTTTCTGTGCTGCCTTAACAGCATCGTCAAGTGAGAAAAACTTGCACGGGGCGTTGAATATTTTATTGAATGAAAATGAGACACAGAGAAAGAGTAACAAACATGCCAAACAAACAAGCAAGTGACCGTGAGTGTGGGTGTGTTTTGGAGGCGAAATGAAAATAAATTTGATTACCGCCTCGGAGAGAGAGAAAGGAGGCAGATACTCCCACACGCGGAGAGAATGAAAGATCGGCGGACTCTCTTTTGCACTCGCTCACTTTGCATGAATGCTCGAAATATGTAAATCGGTGTGAGTGTGAAAGTAAGGCAAGCTGCGTAGCGCTAAAATAAATGACCTAGACAAGCGAGTAGTTATCTTTAGAGTGACCATCAACCGTGGAGCACGTGCTCGAGTGAAATTTTCCAGAGGAAAACAAACTTTGGCAATGATCGTGAGTGGAAGGGGGCAGTGGCAAAGCCAAAAGCCCGGTTTAATAAAAGCGGTACTGCGCCAAAACCGGTTAGAAAATCTACCAAAGTCATGACTAAAACAAACACAAATAATGCTCATACGATGCAGGGGCTTAGATCGAAGGGGTCGTTACTGCCTTTCAAACTGGCAACCGCTGTAGCAAATCCCGCATTAAGTACCCCCAATTTTCCGTGCCTCTGCCACTAAATCTGAGATACAAACGACTCGTTTTCTAAACCTGCCGTGCTTGCCAAACATAGAACTTTTTTTAAACCGCAAACAAGGTACAAAAATTCGTTGGCCTGACAACCAGAATTGAAAACGGGAACCAAAGCAACATCTTTCCAATTTCCGACATTTTTAAGCAGGGGTTTTACCCAAAACCTTCGTAGTTTTAATTATTTTTAAAGCCTTGCAGAGCAAAGGATATTATAATTTTGGCCAGATGTTTCCAATGCAGTGAAGGAGTCACCTCAGACCCCATAAAGTATATACATATGTATATGGTTTGCGAATTTTTCAAAAACAAATAGGAAATAAAACGGATTCTTGAATCCGTTTTTCGTAACTATTTGCATATAATGTAACTACATAAAGTTCGGTTATCACCCCATTTCTTTATAAATTTAAATTACAAAAGGAAGCGCCGGACAAACTGCCAAACTGGGGGTTGGGCAACAGGCCGACTAGAGAATGGCGGTACAAACTGAAATCCAGGGCCGGCTGAGGGTAGGCAGTGGGCGTGGTACGTGGTTTGGGTCAGACATCAGTCTCCCAGACATCGCGTGACTATTTTTGACTTTGCGCCCAATAAGATAAAGAGAAGAGGAAAGGAAAATGAAAATCAGCCACTGCTGCAGCTGCACAGAAAAAAATAATACACTATCGAATTTCACTTAAATCATACTCAAATAAAATATATAGTCATTTATTAATCAAATCATATTTAATTATACCAAAGATTTTTCTGAAATGGTCTATTTACCTTTTTTAAGTTTGTTACTTTGAAAGCTTTGCAGAGCAGTGAATATTATTATTTTTGATTTGATATTATTGAATCAAAACTAAACCTTTAATAATAGTGGACACAAGTCTAAGTAAAAAATATTTCTTATACAATTATAAAACACATTGTTCAGAAAACGAAAAAAAAAGCGATTAAAAAACTACAACAAATTGTCCACAAATTAAAAGAAAACATCATTTTAAAAAGCAGAGGAAAAACCTATAAAATTACTTCTCAAGATAAATCAATAATTTTGTTCAGTGTGGCGCAGGGAAAAGTCACGAGGCGCTTGGCGAGGGGGGTTGCAGTGCAGGGTGGTTGGGTGGCAAGCGGCTAGCACTGTGGCACGTTTTCCTTCGATATACCAGCTGAAAATCGTATGAGTTTCAGGGGAAATGTTGCCGCCGCGAAGCTTGAAACAAATACAAGAATAATGCGGCGAAGAGAGAAAGAACTTGAGAGAGCTGGTTGCATGTGAGTGCGAGTGTACTGTACTGACTGTAAGTTCAGGGCGAAGAGTAAGCAAGAGAGAAACGAGAGAGTCACGGGCAAGTATGAAAAGGTCAAAGAGCAAAATGTTTACATGAGGCAACCGCATGAGAGACGACGGGCAAAAAACTGGGCGGTCTGGCCATGAATGAAAGCTGAGACCGGCAAACACCGACCGCCCACGAGGTGAACAATTAGGAGTGTAAGAAGAGTTCCCACCCACAGTAAATTACACCGGATGGTGATTTTACTGCTATTAAATCCCAATAAGCTGGTCCTTATAAAAAACCGTACATATGCAGCAATGAAGGGAAACGCAACTATGTAGGTTAGGAACATTTTTAAAATGGAACGTTTTACATGTTGGTATGGTATTTTATAGTGTTCTGACTTCACTTTTATCAATGGGTATCTCAAAAGGTAACTTCCTCTTTGAAATGTCGGTGTAGGTTTTTTTTTAAACCTTTCCAAAAGGCATTCTAGAATTATCAATTCAAGAACACAATCAACTCTTTAGGACTCTAAAAAATAAACACTTTACAAGCAATTTAATTGACAATCGTAGGACCAAAAACAAGTGCCCCCTTCAAAAGTTGAATACGTACTTTCACATACATATGTACTACATTTCAAACATATTCTTAAAGGTGAAGGTTTATTAATTGTTTAATGGTTTTTATACCTTGTTTCAATTGATAAAAATGTATAAAAAAAAGTATTATTTTTTTAATGATCTACAAAGGTAATGTACACCAAACTTTTCCTGAGATTTAACATTTTCACATAATAGTGCACCTATTTTTCTTCGACGGTGTTACACCGTAGCGGTATGTTGCTACTCTTCGAGCGCCATGTAGTTTCTACCTGTACTATACAGCCGTCCATACCACTCCGTCCGGAACCGACACATTTAAAGAAATAAGCACGTAAGCTTGCTTATCGTATGGCTTATCTGTTCCGGCTGAACTTTTAAATCGAGCTTAGCTTAATGTTCTGGTGGATGGGCCCCCGCTTGGTGAATTACTACCGGCAGCGATTTCAGCGATATTCCGATTATTGAGTGCTTCCACCTCGAACGAGGCGGTTTTCCGGCCAAAGTAGAAGCCGCGCCCCAGAAACAAAAGCGTGGCATTAAAAGTGCAATATACCCACGGAACGACCCACGCCACCCACCGCTCAGCTGGTCGTGAGGTATTAAAAACAGATGACACACGGCACACACAGTCACATACCGATGACCCCGAACTGAAAACCCCCCTTTTCACCCACAAAGGTAAAACTCGCATGATTTTCAGTTGGTATAACAAGCCAGACAAAGAGAGAGGCGTACACAGTGTTCAAGTGGGAAAGGGAAGACGAGAGGGAGAGACAAGCTGGAGAGCGAGAGTGCGCAGAACACGTTACAAGAAATTTACACGTGCAAGCCAAGTAGGGGAAATCCAAAAAGAGAGAGCGGGTGAAAAAAAAGAGACCGTGAGTGTGGGAGAATTTGTTTATGTGCGTAGGTTTAAAACGGAATAGTACTCTCCGCGTCTAATTAGAATTTAAACTGCCTTGGGAAAGAATGCAATTAACAGGTTAAGAATAACGGTAAGTCAGTCGTTAAATACAGTCAAACAAGTATAGGTAGCATTTTTCAAATATTTGTAGAAATTATTTATTCAAAGCATTTATTAATGTGTGTTTATTCTCTTCAAAGAACTTTTTGCGCAACAAAAAATTATCAGTAGTTAAGAATACAAATATTTTAAAACTTTGTGTTTTAAGGTTTGACAGTGAACGCATGATGATAATATTATACAAGTCAAAATAACTTAATAGTTTAATTTTAGGAAAACAAGACTTGTTTTAACTTTGAATAGCATTGTCTAAACACTAAATTAACACTGTTTTGTACAGGAACTACTTCAACCACACTATAATTTATGTTCGTTGGCGGTGCAGTTTATGCAAGCCCGACTGTAATCAAGTGGCGAAAGCCAAACAAATCAATAAACAAATAGCAAACAAAATAAGTCTGGGCTGCCAATGGCAACCAATTGCATAAGGAAAGTGCAGTTGCACCAACACTCAGACATTTAAATTGGGTCAAGAGAGAGGAAGATTGTTGATTCCTCGATTTATTAGGTAAATTGATATGGTGGCGTGACATCCTTAAAAAGTGAAAACCGGCAATAGGAGTAATTGACTGGACTTACCTATTTTAGGGAGCTTAATTCTCAGCTCTAGAAGATAGAATCAGAATTTCCGGAGGGCGGACATGGAAGGTTTATCAGAATGAAATACAAAAATCAGGCAACAGATCACATATCGAAATAAATCAGCGATTATATAAAATTACGTTTTGCCAATAAGAACGCACGGACACACACACGCACGCAAACGCACACGTAATGTCAGCATAAAATAAAATGTTGCGTTGGCGTCAACACGATTTTTTTCGCCTTAACTTGTGTTTGTTCTCGGAACTCTTGGTCTTTTTTTAGACAGTCTATGCTGCGCTTTAATTGATAAAATTTTCGCAAAAACTTTCACAAAACTGCACAATTGCTCACTAACACACACAGACAGGGCAGCGGCGCACGTGCATAGGTGTGTGTGTCAGACGGTGTGTTTATCACGCCACTCGAAAAACACTTTTTTACTTACTCACACTCTTGAATGATTTTTTAAACTGCGTTTTAGTGTCTTAATTTGTTTTTGCTTTAGTTAGTTTGGCGCCCGCATAAATGACAGAAAGACGCACAACGTTCTCAAATCACGTTAAGTTTGTTTCTGAATTTTCGCCGTTCGCTTTTGCCACGAGATTATATTCATTCTCCTTCGCCGCACTCTCTCAACGACTCTCTCTTTCTCTCACGCACACTCTTGCAACCGCTCGAATGCCGATGATGGCGCTCTTCTTCTTCGGTGTGTGTGAGTTGTTCTGGCGTTTTCACTCAAATTATGCCGGAATTGATTTTATTTTTCATCGCGCCGGCTGATCACTCACATTCTATCACACACTGTTTTACCGCACCTTTATCGCCTTTACTTTACGGATTTCGCACACTTTGCAAAATATATAGCCGTGCACAAAAATGTTTATTTATTCGATACTGGGTGTCGGAAACATATGAAAATATCGATGATACGTTTTAAAAAGAAATTTAATATCGATTTTTTGGCCGATGTATCGCATATCGATATTAGTTTGAAATGATATACTGGTTCTAATTAATTTTGTTGGCTTATGGAGTTTCTTTATATCATGCCTTTTTAAAACAAAATAAAACGCTTTAAATTTGAAAAATCAGCCTATGAAGTGATCTCGCATAAAAAATATTAAAACATATGGGTATATCGATATTTTAAATTGTTACACAATTATTTTCGAATATCATAATCAAAACGATATTATTAAAAGATTAGGCAACCCAATTCAATACTATCAGTTAAATTTCAAATTTGAAACATACTATCGTTGTTTTTCCGTTAAAAACCCGGATAATAGCCGGATTCCACTGGTAAATTAATAAATTATTTTTTTTTTTTTTTGATTATTTATCTGTTTTAACGTTATTTTGTACCAAGTACCGACCCAGTTCAAGGAAGATTATGAGTGAAGTATAGACTTTCAGAATCTAAGAACTGCCTTAACTAATATGTGTTATACAATTCTACAGCAAAATTTTTATAAAATGCAAGCCATGTAGACATGTAAAAAAAATTTTGGACACCAACCCATTAGGTTACGGTTAGCTAAGACACAAATTGAGACGTGAGCCTTAGCTAATTAAAAGCTGAACTGTAATATACTAAAACATAGAATTTGGAAGAAAACGTAGAATCAAATCAGGAAATAAATTTACCGGGAAACTCTGGTCGCCGGTGGGCAGGTTTATAGAGCTGATGAAAATTCTCCTGTAAAAACATTTAAAATTATAGCAGTTTTTACTGGGCGGACTGCAATAGTTCATATTTTCGTTATCACTGGCTTACGAAGTATCGATAACACACCATGGTAATCCGTGTAAATATGGTGGGAATGCAATTTAAAAACAAGGCTTCGGAGCACGGGAGAGCAAAACGGTGAAGGATGCAATATAATGTGTTTAATATTTATTTGTATGTATTAACTTGTTAAACTAGTTTAAGCATCATTAAATATTGACATTAAAATTTCTCAATTTCCGATTTCCAAACCCATCAAAGTTTCCAATTCCATTCATAACCGAAACATAACTCAAAGTTTCAGCTTACCAAATCCCCTTTCCTTACTTTCCACAATAGGGTGACAAGAAATAACCCGGACTTATATTTTTGATCACAACTTTTTTAGAAACTATATTTGAGAAAAAATGCAGACACACAACTATTAAATAGCTATTATGTTAACAAATATTCATCCGGTGTCAAAGGGGCTTCCTTGGGCCGCAGGTCTTCTTCCGATAATCGATCCCATTTATCGATCCCATTTATCGATCCCATTTATCGATCCCATTTATCGATCCCATTTATCGATCCCGTTTAGTACATGCCCTGGACCATGGTAGAATTATACAAGGTAGTCTCGTCGGCTGCAAAATCGTTCGGGTTTTTTCCCCTATCGACCCGAACCCATATGAAAACACTCTCTCTCGCTCTATTTGTAGTGTCGATAGGGGGAAAAAAAGCCGACGAGACTACCTTGTACTTATTATACCATGCCCTGGACTCCATCGGATTGAGATCTGGCGAGTAAGGTGGCCATTCACTGGATGTGATAAAGTCTGGAAAATTTGCTTTGCACCAGTCCTGAGTCAATTTGGCTCTCATTTAGATGAGAACACATCTAAATTCAGAGTTATATTGTTAAAAATGAAATTAATTTAAATTCAAAATTATTTTTAAATTATGGAACTCCAGAAAAATAACGCATTTGTGTCGCTTTTAAAAAACTGTATAATATATATATTTTTATTTATAAAAAGACAGTCAGTCTTTGTGCAACAAATGTACATGGATAAATGCCGCGTTTACAATGGTTTTCCATTTTCTTGCTTGTTTATATTTATACTCTTGTTTTATTTTGGTTGTAAGTACCGTTAGGGAGGAGGGTTTTCTCTTGTGGTTGGTTAAGTAATAGTAATTAATTTTCTCTCGTTCTTTCGTTTCCGTTTAAGCGATACTATTTTGGTTCAAGTCCTTGTGTTTTATGTACATATTTAAACTAAATTACGAGCTACAAATTACTAGTTTGTGTGTTTTTTGTGTTGATGAATCTCGCTTTGAATTAAATGTAAGTACAGTGTGTGTGTGTGTTGTGTTGTGTTGTGTGTGGCGTGTGTTACAATAAATATCTCTAAGTTTAAGTATTCCTTAGGTGCTACGATACATACATACAAAGCTGCTAGGCAGAGGGGGCGGCAGAGGCGTGGTACAAAGGGGGTTGGGCGCATTTCGGGGGTGGAGGAGCGGGGAAGGCAGCTGCTACAAATACCGGACTCTGGGAAATTAACTAACATGCATACACATATACATACACAAAGGTCTGTTGAGTATTCTAAAACTTTATAGATTGTTTTTTGAAAATTATAAACGGTTGAATCTCAAAATTAATAAAAGGTTTCTAAAAAAGGCTTCATTGATTTTAGCACTCTCAAAATCAATCTCCAAATAAGTATTCGTTTCAAAATCGTTTTTTAAGTTAAGTGTTGCTTTTTTGAAATTTAGTGTTGAATAAATTTGTAAAATATTTTGATGGTATTCAGGTTCAACTATTTTTGTGGAAATTCTATAATATTTTTGAGCTTCCTAGTGTGATATCCATAAAGTTGGAATCCCCAACAGACCCGTCGGACCGATCGATCGATTATACAGATACAATTAGGGCTGCGGCTTAAAGTAGATCCTACAGATAGGGGCTAATGGCTACAGGAACTAGTGCTAGTGCTAACTCGCAAAGTTATAGCTGCGGATCGCCCGACCGGGCGTCACCAGCTCCACCTTGATGTTGGCGGTGGCCGTCACCTTGGTGGTGTTGCTGTCCGAGTGCGTCGTCTCCACCGTCACCTCCGGCTGCACCACGATGCTCTGCAGCTCCGGCGGATACGTCGCCGGAAACGCCGGCGGAAATTGTGGCGGCGGCGTTATCGGTGGCGCCGTCGGCGGCTGCTGCGGCTGGGCGGCCGCCTTGTGGTAGGCGGGGGGCGGGGCAGCGTAGGAGGCGGGACGGGACTCGCGCGGCTGGTAGCTCCAGTCGTTGGGCATCTGGATGGATGAGTTGCTGGACTTCCACGACTGCGGCTCCTCGGTGATCGTGGTCAGCGACGGGTCGTTCACGTCCTTGTGGTGGTAGTGGTGCGACTTCTGGCAGCTGCCCCGCGAGGATCGCGAGGATCCCTGCACCACGTACGACTTGCCCGATCTCTTGCTGCTCCGCACTGGCAGCGGCGACGGCGTGGATATCCTGTCGGGGTGCTCGAGCGGCACCAGCTCCGCCTCCGGGCCCAGCATGCTCAGCAGGATGGGGAACACCACCAGGCTGTTGCACGCCCCCACGCACAGCACCACCAGCAGGAGCCAGCAGAAGTGCCGGATCACGAACTCGAACGGCGAGGTGGAGAGCATGAACACCGCCACGCCGGAGGTCAGCATTCCGTGGACCAGGGGACCCAGGGCCATCTGCATGCTCAGCTGGACGCGTCGCTGTCGGTTGCCCACGGACGTCATGAAGCCCTGTAATTGGAAAGGAGATTTATTAGTTGGAGTTGCAAAACAGTAAGAGAAATTATCCACAAATATTTTAAAATCCGTTTACATAACAGGCATTTTCTCAATTTGTTGGAGTTATAAATAAGTAAGAGAACTTCTGTGTAAAGAACTTCTGTTGAAAGACAAAAATTAATTGATATCGAAAGTACTGAAATTGTATTTTAGGAGGTACGGAAATTGCAATACTGAATTGACTGAAATCATAGTGTTTGAATTGAGTTTAAAGTTTAAAAGCCTTAAACAAAGTGTGTATGGTAGTCTGATTACTACCATTATTTTTTATTGTATTAATAAATGAATTTAGTATGATTTCAAACTTTTAATCTGCTTGTAGAACAATATTTTCGAACGAATTATGCACAACTTTCCAATGTTTCATTACTTTGTTCCTGATTTTTACTGTCACTCATATCTCTTATAACTCACAGCCCTTGTTTGAACAGATTACTCACCAGTGAAATGAGCACGTTGAAGCAGAGCATCATGCCCACGCTGAGGATGAGTATGACTGCCGGGATGGCCGACAGCTTGATGCCCAGCAGGGTCATGGCCCCGAAGATCTGGGCCAGCGAGGCGAGCACACTGAGGATCACCAGGACGGCGGCCCAAACGGAGAGGAGGAGCAGGGAGACCAGGACCAAGGCGGCCAGGAGCACGCAGGCGAGGATCGTGGCCAGCGAGGAACGGAGGGTCATGTACTGCTCCCAGAAGATGAACGGAATGCCTGCACATTAAAAAAGAGATGAAGGTTAGTTGGGGTTAACTGGGAGTATTCAGTGCCACTTTCAACTCACCCGACGGATAGTTGGGCAGGCCGAAGCCCTCGAACTTGACGCTCAGATCGCGGATGTGACCTATCAGGGTCTTGATCTGCGAGGTGTCCGTCAGTCCGTGCAGGTAGAACGGCATCTGGGCGTAGACCAGCGGCAGGCTCTTCGGGATCTTCAGGTCGTACTCGTTCGGCTGGTGGAAATACTGGCGCGGTTCCGGATACAGTTTGCCCTGCACAAATTGAAGATGAGAATATAAAATTAATTGGGAGCTATTAAGAAATTTATGCTATAATAATTGTTAAAACAATACAACTAAAGATTAAAAAATGAACTCGAAAAAAGAGACATAAAAAAGTTACTTCGTTAAGTAAAGAAAAACATTAAATAAAAGTAGAATATTAATTATTAACTTAAATGAAATCAGAAAGATATTTCTACAAGGTGTGTAAATTGAAGCTTTAATATTTATTATTATTTATTTATTATAAATTTTTTAAGATTCTGAATTTTTCAATTTTTTAACTTGAATATTCTTTTTTTACTTTTGTGAAATGTTTCTGGGTTTGGAAACCCTTTGTTCAGACACAGTTCTGTTGAATATTTTTCGGATAATATAATATGACTGATAATTATCAAACTTTTAATCAGAAAATGCAATAAATATAAAAGCTACATGAGGTTTATTTTAGATATTGGGTTCTCAAATTGGTTTAAATTAAAAAATCGATTTCTTAAGTTATCCCTGGTAAATCAGGTAAATCTTAAGCGAAACCCACCTGGGAGGCTCCGTAGGCGAAGACGTCGTTGGTGGCCCACGCGGACAGGTAGTTGTAGAAGGCGCGCGGATTGATGATGCCGTCGCTGGTGACCAGGCGGTTGGTCTCCACGAGGCCCTTGTCCACCGGGTTGTCCACGTGGCCCGTCTGGACGATCAGCTTGTAGGCGAGGATGGCGTCGCTGCTGGCGTTCTGGAACCAGCACTCCTTGGTCAGCCTCCCATCGCGGATCTCCTCGTCGAAGGTCTTCTGCAGGTTGCTCAGCCAGTCGCGGAAGTGGAGCAGCCAGAAGTCCGGCAGTCCGCCGTTGTCGTTCTTGATCACATGGGGCACCCTCACGAAGGCGTCGTGGTAGTCCCTCAGCAGCTGCTGCTGCGTGGGATACTCGAAGTTGCCCTGGGTCACGGCGTACATGCTGTAGAAGCCGAAGAGTCGCGTCTGGGCGTCCAGGAACTTGTGCTCGTTGCTGTGCTTCGGCACCAGGTCAATGATGTCCAAGCCGTCCTGCAGCCGCGTGGAGGCGTACAAACTGGTGACCAGAGCGGCCAGGAATCCCATCACGGCGAGGAACTTCACCCAGCTGCGCATCAGGAAGGGCGTGTAGTGGTCGAAGGCGAAGCTGGCCAGCGAGAAGTGGGGCAGCGAACGAATGCCCTCGACTCCCCTTTGCTCCAGCAGAGGATTCTGGGCGGGCAGCGGCAGCCGGTTGTTGTTGTTGCATCCCTTCGGGTTCCTGGGTTGCCTGCCTCCCCGGCCGCCGTGGTTGTTGTTCACCGGCAGCGCGGGATGCGCCACCTTGGGCCGCTCCTTCCACACCGGGAAGCAGCAGCAGAAGATGTCCGCCCGGCCGGCGGTGCGCCGGCGCAGATCCAGCGAAATCATGGCGGGAAACACGAGCAGGGCAGCCGCCAGATTGGAGCACATCACGATGGCCGCCTGGAGGCAGAACACCTTCAGGGCGGGCACGGGAATGAAAGCGGCCGCGAAGAAGGATCCCGCCGTGCTGCAGGCGCCGAAGAGGATGCTCGGACCCACCTTCTTCAGGATCAGCTTGGTCTGCTCCCGGCGATTGCTCTCCGCGTAGGCGGCGGTCAGCATGAAGATGTGGTCCACGCCCAGTCCGAGGGCCAGGAAGGGCACCACCTGCGTGCTGGCCGCATTGAAGACGATCCCCAGCAGAGCACTCAGTCCCAGTCCCGCGGCCGTGCTGAAGCACATGAGCAGTACTCCGGCCACGCCCACACTGCTCTGGCCACGGACGGGATCCCGCCAGCGGAGGAGGGTGCAGAAGGCGTACAGAACGGTGACCGCCACTCCGATCACAATGGACACGGCGCTGGGGTGCGAGAACTTGGCCAGGATGTCGTCCAGGGCCGCCGAGCTGAACACGTAGATGTCGTAGTTGGCGGCGATCCGCGACTGCTTCCGGAGCAGCTGCTCCACCTCCCGGGAGAAGTTGCGCTGCCAGGCGCTGAGCACCTCGGCCGCCTTCTCCTGCGTCCAGCCGAGGTGGTGGACCTTGTAGTTGTCCTGCCACTGGTCGAACATCTCCTTCTCGGTCATCAGCTGCACCACCGACTGGAGGGCCTGCGCCTTCCTCAGGTGGCCGCTGCGGTTTCTCTTCGCCCCGCCCACGATCAGCTCCTCCGGCCAGTGCATGTGCTTCGCCGCATAGCCGTAGCATCCGCCGGAGAGGATAGCGCCCACGTCCGGCGGCTGGGTGCTGTTCTTGTTGGGAGCGGTGTTCGGGCAGCTCGGGTTCAGCGGATTCAGGCAGGGCTTCTCCATGTAGCCGCTCCCGATCGCCGCCCGCTTCATGTACTGCTCCACCGTCTCGAAGTCGAAGGTGATCTTCTCCTCGGACATCTTCTGCTTCATGTACTGCATCACCGAGGCGGGATTGAGGGTTGTCCACAGGAGTCGCTGGTTGAGGCCTCTGCGGGGGGGAGAAATGGGAAAATCAACATAGGTTGGGGAACACTTTTTGTGGAATAAGTTAACACTAGGGTATTAAATAACGCAGTTCAATATGGATATATTGCTAAGGAAATTAATAATGTGTAATTTATATATGAATAACCATATTTGCACTGATTAGCTATCTAGGAAAGCCTTATCCATGTTTATGTAGAACGCATTATATTAAAATAAGAAAAAAAAAAGAGTTTTTCAACTAAGATAAGATAAAACGAAAGCAGGCGCATTTAACTTTTTAATAAACATTTTTTTTTTACTTTTTAAATAAAATAAGAATTACCTTTGTAGATAATTTCCCGATTGGATTAGAGGAAGTAAATGATAAACTGCACTGTATGTACTTTTGAAATCTAGTTAAACCTTTGTGTATAAGTTCTTATGGCAGCTTGCTTGTAAAAAAATCACAAAAATGGAAAAGGAAATGGAAATGGAAAGCACTTCTAAGGGGTTTATATATTTACATGCTATATAGGTTATAGTAATAGTTAAGGACTTACGGTATCACAACCGCCGATTCCGGGCCGAGCAGCTGGCTGCCCTCCCAGAAGCAGTCGAGCGGGGTGATGATCGAGCACGGGATGAGGTGGCGCAGGATCTGCTCGATGTAGTAGATGCCCTCGAAGGAGGGCGTGCTCGGCATGTTGCACATGTCGCGCAGCCCCCACTCCGTGTCGTAGAGGTGCACCTTAACGGCGGTGGCCTTCACCAGGACCTCCAGATGGGCCAGCAGCGCCTGCGGATGCAGGACGGAAGCGTTGGGATCGTGGGTCGTCTGGATGAGCAGCTGGTGCGTCGCCGCCTCGTCCTCGCCAATTGTCTTCTGTGTGTAGGCCAGTTCCGCCTCCAGACGACCGCCCTCCTGGATCCACAGCTGGTGCACCTTCGAGTGGATCTGGGCGCTCTTCAGGCCCACGCAGAAGGTGCTTAGCACCAGGATCGCCACAAAGAGGACCTTTCCCGCGTGCTTCTGCACGGAGCTCCCGAGCGTTTCGAGGTGGGACTGGAATACTGATCGCAGATAGATCGCCGTGCGGCTGCCACGCGCCTTCCCCTGGAAAATATAAAAGAATAGGAAACCTTAGTTAGGATACTTTTAAGTTTTACTTAGTAGATTCCCCTTGCTGCTATGAACAACGCATTAAAATTATAACGAAACAGCGTGTGGTCATGTGATTTATTTGTTTTGCTCCGCACAGGGGCGTAGTCTATAGGGTTTCTAAAAGAAGTTCACTAAATAATCAAATCAAAGCTGATCAAATCTGAAGCTTTGACTATAATAGTAAATATAACATTATGAGTAATAACAATATTTGAGCAACCATACTCTCTAGTTCTATATTACAGTGAATATTTCAGATTCCTGAGAGATTTGCTTACCCCCTCGCCAGGCCACAGATTCCCGACTCCACCCAGAGTCCCGGACCGAGATCCCAAACCCTGGAACCACAAAAACAACACAAGACGCCGCTGTCGTCATTGGCGGGCCGAAAAAAGGCGAACCTATAATCGCCTGCTTGGGCAATTGGATCGATCGCTGCTCAGGCTTTGGGCCTGGCTCAAACCCGGCAACCATTCCGCTCCCCCTGACCCTCATCCCGATATTTCGTGCTGCTTCTCCGTTCTCCAGCTGCTGCAGTGCTGCACGGAAATTGAGCCCCTTTCCCAAAAACAAAACGAAAAAACCCCAAAGAGCCAGGAAAAAATAATAATGAGGCTCGCGCTAACGCTAACGTCTCAATCGAAGTTTTAGTCCAACAATCAGACAAACAGTGGAACGAGTTTTTGTTTTAAAACGCAAAATAATATATGGAAATAATTGGGTTCTTTAGAATTAGAAGACATAAATTATTTTCAATTATTTGTTTTTTAATGAAGCATTTTTAATGACTGATTTTAATTTCACAAGATGACTGCCTGCAAACAAGTTATTAATTAAGCAAAGGAATTTACTTTAAAAACGCAAAATAATATATGGAAATAATTGGGTTCTTTAGAATTAGAAGACATAAATTATTTTCAATTATTTGTTTTTTAATGAAGCATTTTTAATGACTGCCTGCAAACAAGTTATTAATTAAACAAAGGAATTTACTTTCCAATTTATTCAGAAACAAGTTTTTGGTAATGTATGATTAAGCCATAAAGCAAATGTCACTAAAATTACGGGTTTTCAATTTTGAACAGAATGAATACAAGAAATTCTGGAGTAAGTTTCTTTATCATGAGCTTGCACCACTGTGCAGCACCACTGTGGTGGCGCACCCAGCGAAGTCGGGGATCGAGGCATCCAAATAACACATTCCACACAGACCCCAACTCGAATCTTCTCGAAGTTTGGCTCTTCTCTTCTGGAGGCTCCTTCGCTGCCTCCGCCTTTTATCGCTTTTCACAGATTTTTCCCGGCCAAGTCAGGTTGTGGCCAGCAAAACCAAAAAAAAAAAAAAAAAAAAAAAAAATAAAAGAAGTGGAGAAGAAACTTGAGGCACCCAGAAAATGGCTTTATTGTTTGGTCTTCAGAGCGTTTTACGACTACCGTTAAGATAGAGCGGGAGTCACTCGTAAATAATCCGCCGCTTAATGTCTTTGTTTGCCCAGGATCAAGAGTTTTCGGATGGATTGGGTATATATTCTATATGTATATGTAGTGGATGGGATAGGATACCGATCCCTGCACTTCCTGCTGCTTGTTTATGCAGCAGAGTTTGCTGCATTTCCGCAATCGCTGAAGAGTGAAACATCAAACGCGGCGCGCCCGACTTTGTCGCCATTAATTAAGTCGTTGGCGGCACATCCACTTTGAGACTGCCTGTGGCGGCGACCTGTTCGTGGAATTTTTCCATAATTTCCTCCCCCCCTCCGTTTCACAACAACAACAACAACAACAACAACACCAACAACAAGAACAACAAGGTGCGCAAACAAAAGATGCACAAAATTCTAGGAATCCCTGGCCACAAACATTGTTGCCTTCTTTTCTTGGCCCCTTGGGGCGGCAGGGCCTAAAAATAAACTTAATCTAGATTAGGCCGGCATTCCAGTGGCTCGCAAACTGTGCGGCTCAAAGATTGAGCCATCAACGCTTGTCAGCAGCCGTCTCTTTCGCTCCGCTCCAGTTGTCTCTTTCTGTTCTTTGCTTTGAGCCTCGAAAACACGCTGCTCGATCTGTGTGACATATCATCAATCTTTCGCTGTTTTTGCCTTGCGTGCCTTCCTTTTATTTTCCGCAGCTCAGTTTTTCTTTTTTTTTTTTTTTTTTGCCCACCCCCGCAGATCTTGTTCGCTGTGAGGAAATGTCACGCATTGATTTATGATCCTGCCCGGGGTTTCCTCTCCTCAGCGCTTTCAAATGAAAATGTTACTTTGCTGTGGCTCTTTGTAGTGGCCTTTGTTGCTGCTGTTGCGACAGCTTCATTAGAAATGCGCACACACAGCGGCCTGGACTGGAGGCTCTCCAGCCTCCAGCCTAATCCGCTGCCCAGGAACCCGGGGAAATGAAGGCAGCCTCGGAACACTCGCTGCCATGACGAATGGGTGCGAGGGAGACGCAAGACGGCGGCCGAAAAAGAAGACGGCAGTTGGGAACAGCAGGTGCAGGTAGATGGCATTGGGTATAAGTGTATCACAAGTACACCGAAAGAAATTCAGGATCATGGTTTCGAAACCTGAATGTTATATGTTCATTAAATGATCTATTTTTTGTCAATAATTCTAAATTTGATCAATCAATGTATCGAAATCTAAAGAAATAGGTAAGAGATAGTATCAAATTACTTATGAATCAATAGATCAATTTAAAAACCGAGTAAACAAACCATTTATGTTCTATATGTATTTGTATTTATATTTATGTTTAATGTTAGATATTTGTTAAATGTTTTTTTTCACAGCTAAAAATAAGAGATCTGTATGACATAATTAGTGCAATGAATCAAAACTCTTTTAAATTCTTTAGTTAGAAAACAAGTTATCTTATTTAAGTTATTCTTGTTTGTTTTATTAAAATAGTTCCCACATTTCCTGGTACAACCTTTCTCACGTCAAAGCTTTCTTCAAAGTAAACCAAAAAATAAATCGAATGTTTAGAGTTCTCTGTTCTCGCTGTAAACAATCTCGAAATCTTGAAATCTCCGCATCACGCATCAATCAATCAAAAGACCCGACACATCAACTGGCCGGGGCAAAAAACGAAAATCGAATTTCCTGCGCGGCCCCCCACGGTGGTTGACTACTTAATTACACGGACCGCTTCGGGAACCACTCTAAATATGAAAAAAAAAAAAAACAATCTTTTCCATGCCACTCGCAAACCCAAAAACCACTTGAGTCGCGGCTCGAATATGGTGCGTTGGTCCATAAAATATGAGCGCACCCAGTTATGCCGCAATAAAAATCGAATGCAAAACCTCAAATAAAACAAAAGCATTTTAGCATAAAATGAAATTCAATATGGCAGACCACCCAGAGACATCAATAGAATTATGTATATGGACAGGCGATTCCATTGCCAACCAAAATTTATGGATTCGGCGGGAGCGTGAATCACTTGCGGGGAATCTTTGCGGATCTCAGCGATCGCAGCTCCAGGGATTACCGATCTGTATATGGAATCGGATGCGAGGGGCAGCTTTCCCATGTTTCTCACGTAAGCGTGTGCCATAAAACTTGTAGCTACCATAAAAGTTATATGCCACTTGATAACGTTTTTGAATACGAATCCCATGACTTATACTTTTTTCTTTTATTTTTCCTGTATCGCCCGCCTGGCATTTAAATGGAGCAGTGTTTTTATTTTCACATGCCGTTCACACAGCTGCGGAGGCTGTCAAACAAAATAGCCAAAGAAATGGATATACTGCGTCACCGCTGGGACTATTCAGTGTTTATTTTTAGCAGGAACACCGAATTCCCTATTATATCGCTCCGCGCACACAGATTTTGCCGCCGTTAAAAAGGACCACACACAGCAAACACATTTGCCGGGTCGGGCTGAGAAGTAAATTGATTTCGAGGCAATTAAAAATGAGGCCCAAGCGAATGTGAAACCGTTGAATGCAAATTCTCGTTGCCGCCAATTTATGGCGCCCCCAAAACGTGACTAGCAAACCGTCCGCCGCATTTATTACCATTTTATGCTCTTTTTATTTTTTGCAGCGAGCCCGAAAAATAAAAGAAGACATGATACTCGTATTTGCATGCCCGTAAAACGAAATCGTTAAAAAAAAAGGTTTGAAGGTCACAGTGCGGCTCAGGTGAGCGTTCAGTGAGACGATTTACAGTTAACTCCAGAAGCGCCAGGTGCAAAAAATAAAGGCACAAGGACCACCGCCGAAGCTCCCTGATTATTTTCCCTCCTTGGGGCAGTCTGTCAAGAGAGTTTTGTAATAACTTCGATTTCAACTGCACAACGCAGAGTGCAAAGCGAAGTAAACTGAAGTGAAGTGAAGTTCACCTGCCCTCTGAAGAGGCCGTAACAATTTTAATTTCTTTATTATTTCGTCTGAAAATCGAAAACGCAGCCTACCTGACCACCGGCACTCGCATTCACAGGTACACACGCACTCTGCGTATCGTATCGTATGGATGGTATCGTATTCGTATTCGTATTCGTGTGCGTATTCGTATCGCTTCGAGTTCGAGTTCGAGTTCGCGTCCGTTCAGCGGAGTTTTGTCCGTCCGTTTGTCCGCCTGTCCGTCTGTCTGTCCGTTAACTGCTTTTTCAGTGAATTCCGTGATTATTGCTTGAATGTTTCTTTCCGGTATTCGCTCTCTGTCACCGTGTCTCCGCAGTGTACGAGTATACCTTTTATTTTGTTTTTTTTTTTTTTCCTGGCTCTAGTAGGTCTTGATCGTAAGTAAGCCCCTCTCTGGGGTTTCGGGTTTTCGTCTTTCGGCTTTCGGTTTTCGGTTTTCGTTTTTGGGTTTTGAGTTTTGGGCCTGGTCTTGGGCTTGGGCTTGGGTTCGGGCCGCGTGCTGTGTGGTCGAGTTAATGTCTTCATAATTCTCCTGATTTTTCTTCTCTCTCTCTTTCTTCGGGCCGTTGTTGTTATGTCT